GGTTGGTACCCTTATTCTAACCTCTCTACTGGAGGACCTAGTTGAGATACGTGGGTGTGCTTCTTATGGTTTCCTGAAGCTGCTCTGTCGGTTCTGTTCTTGTTGGTTTAGTACCCTATCTTGAAAGGCGCGATGTTAAGGACTTTCCTGTTCGATACTCACCTGCAGTGTCCCTTTCCCCTCCTGCCACTGGTGACATGGAACTGAGTGTTGTTTGTAGGGGCCAGGAGGCTATTCAGGTTCTTGGGGGGAACTTTACCCAGGTATTTGCCAGTTTTATGGCAACTCCACTTTGAAAAGCTGGGGAAATTTTCGTTAACTCTGGCTTAAGAGCACCGTTTTGAGGTCAGGTTTCTCATCCGACCCAACCTCTATGAACTCGAATGGGGGCACGTCCACCGGGCAGTCGGAAAGTTAAGCGCTTACAAAAAGCGGTTCATGAGAACCTGACCAATCAAAGGGCTCTTCGCCGGATCTGGCCAAAACTGGGTTTTCACCATGTGTTCGTCTTGATCAATGCTCAACCCAAATCTATATATAAAGTGGTGATTTGAATATGCTTTCTTAACATGTTTAACGGAGGGCCAACATGTAATGTTGCCAAACAAGCATTGTCCCAGTTGTGCGTTTGCGCGCACTTTGCTTTGCCGACTTTGCTTCGTTTGGAGCGGGGCCAATATCAAAGGCTTGCCAACATGGGATGGAGCATTGTCAAATGCGGGTATTCTAAGGAACTTCCATCCTGTGGTTTGGACAAGTTAACAAGTCCGGAACTGTGTGTTTTTGCCAAAATGGACCAAAACAAAGAATGAAACAATTCGAGTCCAGAAACTCAGGGAATGACAAACACAGCTTGTAGATCTGTCTTGGCACCGGCACGGAGACCCTGAAACGATTGAGCCCCGCCACCCGGCAACTCACTTCCTGACTGGATTGGTCAGAAGAACTCCCCAAACATCTCCAACCTTTCGTATTTACAACTATTATTCTGGTCCAAACCTTCCATTTGGTTAAGACCCCCGGAAAAATATTTCCAGTAGTGATAATTTCCTTTTAACACCCACAAGGGAAAATAGAACATGTTCTTAAGCAATTGGAAGAGACCCCAAAAATTGGCTAAAGCCCAACACGGAGCTCAGGGCTCCTGAGGCCAAAAAACGCCCCACCCCCCCCTGCGCGCTTCGCCCGCGCGCGGTTCGCCTTCTCCGGCGGCTTGGGGCTCGCGTGGGTCGTGCGCAGCGCGGTGAAGCGCTGCCGGGTGCGGCGCCGGGCCTCGACCAATACGCCGCGGGTCACGGCGATGCGCACCTTGTGCGGATCCAAAATTCTGCGTCATGGGACTCGGTGGCTCCAGTGCGGAAAAGGTTCATACAGCAATTTGTTGAAACAGATTATATAGCCTATAGCTGTTTGCCTTAAACCAGGTTACTTAGCTGCTTGCTTGTTTGACCCCAAAGCTTTCAGCTGTTGGGGAAAAAGGCGCTTTAAGAGACGATTTAACGGGGAGCTCGGGCTATGCTAACGACACTCATTGGCCCGGAATCTACTGGTAGGGCGAGCCTCACTTCGTATCTTGAGTGGATTGGCCCAAAGTTCAAACTGAAGCGGCAATCCCGAACATGTAGGCGCATGGAGTGAGTTTTCTTGGGCGCGCAAAAGGGTCCAAGCACTAACATCCGTTTGGACAACGCCGTCAAGCAAGGAACTGAACACTGGTCAAACACAAAGTGCTGAAAAATGGTCGCAACCAAAGGAGGGGTCCCCTATGGTCCCCTGGTTCAGGCTCATTGGAGGTCTCATATGTTTTATCATTATTTAAATCTAGTTTTTGGGGAACCAACCTTTTGAGATGAAACGATCACCTAGGCCACCAGGCTGTAGCCCAATCAAAGTGAACACAAGGCCTACGTCCGGGAATCCACCGGACTCGAAGATCGATCCCAGAGCCCGCAGCCCCGCAGAATGAGAAATGGCATGACCCTAGAAAAACCATCCAACTGGTGGTTTCCTGTAAGGGGACCCCGAGGTTCATTCCCGCATTCCCTAGCGCACCAGCAAGAAAACTGCCTATGCCACCCTCTTCCCGTTTCATACATTTCGGGCTGGGGATTGACCAGGGCTGGAGCGCAAAGGCTCGACTTGTAGTAGTTCATCTGGACAATCAAAGGTCACCAAACACTGACAGATTCTGTGCGTGTGATCCCCTTTTCTTGCAGTTGCGTGACTGAACGTTGCTTATGATGCAACCACTAACTTCTCACTTCCTGAGTGGATGGGACAAAAAAAGTCCAAACTTTTGTGTACCACTAGAATCAGGAACTCAGAGAGTGAGACTTGCACCACCCCACCTTTACCCCAACCAAAAAATCAACATATCCCCCAGTTAGATGGTTGGGCAGGGTTTCAGGGACACTTAGATATGCCCCTTGATCAATGAAGTCGGTTGTCATCTGTGCGATCCGTATCCCGCGCTCAGCGCCAAGCAGGCCAAATAGGGCCTAAGGCAAGCCTGGGGTCTGTGAAGAAGCACCCCCTGCGGGTCCAAGTGGACTCTGCGTTCGGTGGGTGTACCATTTTCGGGAGCCTTGGCTAATTTTAGGAAGCCTCGTATCCGATTTCTTTTCTGGTCATGGCGAGGCGTAGCAGGCTGCCCTTTTTGGAAAGCCACTCCTTAAGAAGGCCTCACTCGGCTCAGGGGCCCCTCGATTTCCCCGATCGACGCTCGGCGCAAAACAAAGGCAAAAGGACCCCCAAGCGAGGTCCGTACCAAGATTCTCTCTATAGATGCAAATCTGCAGGATTCATTGAAACTGTTTTGGGGGAAATCCAGCCACCCCTGCTCGTGGTCCGCTGCTAAAAAGAAGTGAAAGCTTATAGCATTCCACGCCTGAGAAGGAAATGGTTCAACTGCCCGACAGAGTGACACCCATCCCAACTTTCTCAGTGTTTGAGTGGTGCGAGCTTGCGCCACTCCCAAACATCAGTCAGCTTTTACTCAAGCAAACGCGATTTTCTCAGATCAAAGTCCATAATTACCATGATACCATTTGAGACTTACTTACCAATCCTTGGTATGTTAGAAAAGTCTGCAGCCTGCAGCCCTCCAACAACCAACCATGAAGGTAACCAAAAAAACAACTAAACTTAGAACCTGCCAAGACTTTCCAGACTCAGGCATAGAGCTTGCTTTCAAGACCATGGCGTGGGCCCTTTGCCCACCTGCGTTGCAGAGTGGGCTGAGGGTGAAAACCCCCTCCGCACACACCGTGACCACTTTCAGTGGAAACGTGAAGTCGGCTGAAGATAACCCATGCTCGGTGATTGTCGCTCAAATCCGCCCGTGGTGAGCGAGCTGTGACTACCGCTGCTGAAAAATCGAGATCAACCTTTCAACTTGTGGTTTGCCATTAAATGTGTCTTCCAACAAAAAAGGTTGAAAGCGCATGTCAGGGAGTGAATTTCAACGCCTAGTTGAATGGGCAAAGTTAAAAGGTAGATTTGGGACCAAAATGCCTAAACACTTAGCAAGGCCACTGCTGCAATTGAAGGGGGTGTCGATTAGTGGTTGACATATGTTCAAATTCTCAAGCCTGGTGGAGGAAGCGTGTAGCTGGAAGGGACAAATAGATCTGGGCAAATGGCTGTAATCCACACAATGGAAATCAGCAAGAAGTGATGAAGATTCATCATGGGTGTCCCTCGTTTTACGACCAAATGGGGGGCACCTAGATTGCCTACGCATAAGCCAATGTACAGTTTGGGACACCCAAAGCACGCAAGGGCCGTTGGGGGGCATGGGTGAATCACTCAATCCGGAACCATGGAATGGGACTTCCAGAAGGGCCCTTGAAATCCTCCATGGCCAGGTTCCTTTTAAAAAATAAAATCCAACAGACCGGGCAGGAAGGCACATGGCCTTAGCTCCCGAGCCGTGGGCTCAAAAGCATTCCGGCCCTGGTGAGATTCGAGCCAGCTCTTTCGGGAAACTGAACAGAGAACTCGCCTTCAGGTGAGGCCATGAAAGGCGTGCCCCGTACTCAACATATTTCTCTTCGAAGATCTGACCATTGGGAGAATCAAACGCCGGAGACGGTAGAATCCCTTTTTCCCGAAGCGGCAGTCAAACCGTTCCACAAGGCTACGGCTGACAACGGCTCAGAGATCGTTGGCGTCACCTGAACGAGCATCTACATCCATTCATGCATGCTATCATCTTCCCACTGGTTACGCTGCAAAGAACGGAAAAAGGGGGGGGGAAAAAAACAGAGGCATATTGACAGCGAGAAAGGAGGAGAGAGAGAGAGAGAGAGAGACTGAATAATAGAACAAGAGACATTGAGACAGAAAGGGGATTCGAGAAACAGAGCGAGAGACGTTCCTGGCAATGTCAGCACTTACAGCCGATTTGAAACCGGGGCCTGCTCACCCGTCCAATTTGTTCGTTCGTTTACCCTATCAACAACGGAAGTGAAGAACCTCGTCTTACACCAAGAGCCTCCAGTGAATCAAACCAGCGGCGCCCTTTTCTTCGGCTAACTTGGGGATCCTCTTTAACGGAGACATATCGGAGACATTCCAGGACGTCCTGAGTCCTTCACGGGGCGGTTGAGGGCGGATGGGACGGTGAGAGCTTTGACTTGCCAGCCCTTCCAGTGGCCCATGGGGAACCAAAGGGGCCATTGGATCTTCTTGGGTAGATGTTCAAAGACTGCCTGTAGTGAAATCGCCGGAAACAAGAAGCTGCCCGCTAACCAAGTAGGAAAACGAGTGGCCGAGTATGTTCAGAGCCCCCGGGAAAAAAAAAGGGACACAAGGCACCACACCTGGGTCCAGGCAGCCAAAACACAAAACCCCACACGAAGTGGGCAATTCACCTTGGCCCGCGCCCAGCCCCAACTTGGCGGTGGTGACCAGTCAGCTTAGGCTGGCCAACAAAACCAAACACACAAAGCAGGCCAATGGGGTGGGGGATGGAAGCGTGCAACTCCGAGTTGCTGGCTTCATTGGGCGACCACGGGCTTGCCAACCACCACCGGCGCCTGGAAAGGAAATCCAGGAAGGGGGGGGTCAAGGGCAACCAATTAGGTGCATGCTGGGTGTGTCTGTTGTAGGCCCTCTCAAATGGCGGGGGTTCCTTTGGTCTCCCTTTAAAACCACCAAACACTCGCTTCCTGAGTTGATTGGCCAAAAAAAGTCCAAACCTTTTGTTTACCACCAAAATGGTCTTCCCAAAAAGTATAAAGTCCATGAACTCAGGGAGTGAGAACAGGGGGTACTCTCAAAAACAGACAGCCCCGCGTGCTTTCTTTTCTTGAAGCTCAGCTTGGCTCATAAAAAAGCCAAACGGAGAAACACGACGCGTAGGCCGCTTTTGAGCCGATTCGTTGGCCGAAAGACGGTGCAAGGGCAGCCGACAAATCGGAAACCAATCCGTTCACCAAAGTTCTTCCCTTGACCATCCTTTGAAGCTAGTTTTTTGGGAAACCCCGAAACCCTAGGAACAGGGAACTGCCTAATTAGTACGATCTCCGGAGGAACCCGAAGTAACATTGGAGACAGGTTTGACATAAACTGGGGCAGGTTTTCAAGCACCCAACCATACCCAACCCCTTCCCCCCCCCCCCAACCAAGGAGCATCCGACTGAGCAAGCACCGAAGGACTTAGTAGGGTCCTGCTAGTCATAGCTCTGTAGTGAAGCATTGCAAGCGGTGCTGCATCGTTTGTCCCCGATTGAAGGTGGTTTGGCGGTGGCAAACCTCTTTTCCGTCGTCCCAAGCTACCCGCTGAGCTGAAGAAACCACTCGGAAGATTGACACGGATGCCGTTTCTGAGGTGCATGATGGTCAAGTTATAGGGAAGCGGCAGGTACTTGGATTGTCCCAACAGGAAAGTAAAGGCATAACTTTTACTTCAGGCAGGCAATGAAGAAGGATGGCCTTTGCTTTTCCTTGGAAGCCAATCCAAAAAGGTGGGTACCCTCCAGTTCCCTATCGAGCCACACCGGAGCCACCAATCAAAAACCTGTCCAAGGAGCCTATGCAAATCCATGCGAAGAATCCGAAGGGCCACACGGAATTTTCTGGACGGTATCGTGCCCTAAACTTCCTCTACCCCTGCGGCTCAAATGCCTGGATGCCTATGGCCTGTGGGTGCTTCTGTTTTAAAGAGTTCCCTCTTTGGGCTTGGTGTAAAGAGAAACCAAAGGGAAACGCCCACATCAAAGGGGGCGTGGTCGAACGCCCACACCACGCATATGCCATCGGATCGCCTGCCCCATCGTTTGCACCGGCGAAGACGGGGGCGGCGTGAGGCAGCACGTGAGGCAGCCGGCCACACAGCACGTCACCAAGCCGGCTGCCCTCGGCAACCCACCCGTGGACCCCCTGGGGCCAATGTTCGGTGGAAACGCCTGCACTTTCCTTCAGCTGGCTTGTACGATGGTAGAAAAAACATTTCCTGCTTTCTCGGGAGCCAATTTTGCCTTTTAAGGGTTGGTTCCCTTGGTTACCTACTATATATATATATATATATACAGGGACATGGAATCACTCAGCTGTTCAACAACCGCCTTTGCCGGGGTCTCTGGATTCATGAGAAGTTGCAATTTGGTTTTTATTGAAATTGTTTTTGGAGGTCCAACGATGGAGGAGAACCTGATTCAACAACCGCCTTTTGCGATTGCAAACGGGACAGGCTCTTTGCTTGCAAACTTCGAAGGTCATGGCGAAGGAACATCTGCCTCTGCTCCTCTTCCCCCCCCAATCTTATCCTAGAAAAAAGAACCCAAACCCAATTGGCCATTTTGCACGAGACCCATTCAGCACCCGGGCGACCCAACCCCCCCCCAAAAACAAAACAAAACCGAGGGGCGCGATCAAGAAGCCCACCATGGTGAGCCCGGCCAAGGCCATGGCATTGCCCATGTTGCTCATGCTCCCCTCAAAGACCTGACGGCCAAGGGCCATCAAAGAGCAACCCAAGGTTCGAGGAAAAGGTCGATGACAAAGTGGCAGGGTTTCGCGGAAAACAAATTCGTGTCCAACAAGTGGAAGGAGGTAAGGTTTATATCAAAGACTAGTCTGGCTTGGTAGCGGACCCCATGTTGTTAAAAAGGGGCCGGGTCCAGTCAAACCTCTGAGTCCAACTCTTCCTGGAGTGGGTCAAAATGCTGCCCAAAGCTTCAGGCAATCCCTACTTCAACCAGAGGGTCACCTACCCAAAACAGTGCGCTTCTCAGCCCTGGTTTTGCGCGCTTGGCCCCCCAAAAGCCATCCGCACCCACGCCCCCGGCGTGGCTTTTGGCGTGTTTTTGCGCGTCAGCCGAAAGGCCCAGGTGGGATAACCAGAGGTGACCACAAAGCTGCCAGTCATCCAGTTCCCGGCGGTGTCCTGGCCGGCACCCGTCTAATTGGCCCGGGCGATGCCTAGAAACCACAAGGGGACATAAGAGTTGGGTCATCAACCAAAACCACACCCTGTAAGGGAAACTATGTGACTTTGTTTTTTGCGTGTTGTGGGTGTTCGGACACTCACAAGGGCCCACGGGCATATTTCAGAACGGGAAGATCATTGAACGAACATGGGGGAAAACAAAAGCAAGCAAGTTAGCCCGACTGATAGCCTGACTGTAATCACGAGTCGTTACATATCAACGTAAAAAGCTGCATTGATTCACATGCACGCGCACAAAGGCATGAATATCCTGTCATCATACATGTACATGCGCCCAATATATATATATATATATGTCATAGAATGTCATAGATATGAACAATCCACATGCACGAGTCTGTGTATTCACTGGTCATACTGTCACAACCCAGTTTACTTGCCAGCATCAAGCAACATGTATCTTTGCTCAACTGCAGGCAGCATTGTCAAACAATGGCACGCGCTTGCAAAAGCAAAAAAAGGTCATCCCCGGGCAGTGCATGTTTAGTCCGAGACTGCAACACCAATGGCAGTTTCACTGTAGCTGTTTGCTTGGTAGGCACACAAGACGTCTCAAAAGTGGATTTTGATGGGAAAAGAAGAATCGGCGTCCTTTGTTGGTTGGTCAACTTCAAAGGGAAACCCTTCCCCAAAATTTGCAACCAACTGGGCAACCGGGTTATCTCCCAAGCTCGCTCGCCGAAGCTCTCTCCTGCGGCAAGAAGCTCCCGAGGTTCTTCAGTATCTTACCGTTGAACTCCTGCCGGCCTTCCAGTCGCGAGCTGCGAGTTGCTCGATCGCGAGCGAACGCAACCGCGAGACTCTCCGCGGTAAACCCAACCACTGGCCACCTAAGGAAAATCCAAAGGATGGTGGGTGCGTCTGAATGCCTGTAGCGGGGAATCAAAAGGACAGCCAACCTTTTGCACGCCCATGTGTAAACAAAAGGTGTAATCAAACCAGGGTTAAGCAGCCTGGGCAAAAGACGGGTATCAAAATGGGAGAGGAACCAAATTTCCGTTTTCCTAGCGTTGCGGACACTGGTAATGCACGACATGCAGCGCCTGAGGCGCGTTCGCAAGTGGACGATTGTGAGTTGGACAACGCAGATTTCCTGAAGGAAGCAGTCAAAGGTAAACCTGCGGATCCCAGTTGCCACGGAGGCTGGTAGCCAGCAATCGTCCTTGTGTTTTTGTTTCGTGATTTCCTTGGTTCCCTCTATGGAATCAAGAAATGTGGTTGAAAACCCAACCAAGATTCTGCACCGCCTCCATGTATGATGGGAGCGATTCCGCATTCCCTGCTGTCAGCTTGCATGTTCCACGAAATTCGATCCTGAGGTCCATGAAGGGAAATAATCTCGACAGGAGGCTCTAAGACTCTAGGAACATGGCTTTCAGAAGGGCCAGCCAAACAGCTGGCTGGGGTATATGAGTTTAGGAGGGGGGGCGAGAATCACAGCTGACTCGAGCTACCGAAAAAGGCAATGCTCCAAAAGCATCGCCACGAGCGACGCATAGGGCTGGGACCATCTGCGGGTGCCCGATCCTCGCCCCATTTCGTAGCGCCGCGCCGCGCCTGCAAACCAGCCGTTGCAGAGGCTCTCCCAATAGACGGACTGCTGCGAGGAGTGGCTGATGGACAACTTAGCCGCGGGGCTGAGGCTGGAGTTGGCTTGAAAGCTGGCGCTCGCAAAGTCTTCCAACTGGGACCTGCAAACCTGGTTCATGGAAGTGACATCCACTCAATTGCCTGAGTTGGATCCGCAAATTCTGCAGTTGGAAAACCTTCAGACTCAACAATAATTGAAGCCGCAAGTACAGGACCTACACTGGCCTTCACCCGTTTTACCAGCCCGGATCGGTGGAACCACCTTAAACCGCGGAAAAAAAAGCGAGCGGTCCACCGATTCGACTTAGGCGCCGAGGTGTCGTGGGCATTGCAGTCCGTGTCGTCGTCCTTGGCCCAACTTTGGTTTTCGTATGGCGGAGTCAAAAACGGATGACCCCAAAATGGCTATGGGCAAATGGAACCAAGGGCTCAAACCCGCGCTCCCCTGGTGGCTTAATTTTTGACCCATGTCGTGCCCATATGGCTATCTTCTTTTTGGAGGCGAAGGGTAGGTTGAGGATGTTGTTGTTGCTGCTGTTGACTGTTTGTGTTTGTTTGTTTGTGTGTGTGTGCTTGCGTGTTTGTGGTTGTTTGTGTGTGTGTTTGCTTGTGTGCTTGTTTCTTTGTGTTTGCGTGTTTGTGGTTGTTTGTGTGTGTGTGTGTTTGCTTGTGTGCTTGTTTCTTTGTGTGTTTGCTTGTTTGTTTGTTTGTTTGTTTGTTTGTTTGTTTGTTTGTTTTTGCTTGATTGAGATTGTTTGTTAGCTTGACTGTTTGTGTGTGTGTGTTTGTTTGTTTGCTTGTTTGATGGTTTGCTTGTTTGCTTGCTTGAGTGTTTGTTTGTTTGTTTGTTTGGTGTTTGTTGTTTGTTTGTGTGGGGCTTGTTTGCTGCTTGTTTGTTAGTTGCTTGGAGGTTGTCGTGTGTTTGGCGCTTGTTGCTTGTTTGGTGTGCGTGCGTGTGTGCTGTTTATTTGGTGTTTGTTGCTAGTTGTGTGTTGCTTGCTGCTTGCTGTGTTGTGTGTGTGTGTGCGTGTTGTGTTATTCGATGGTTGTTTCTTGATTTTGTGGTTATTTATTGTTTGTTGTTTGTAGGTTGTGTGTTGTGTTCTGTGTTGCTTGTTGCTTGTGGGTTGTGGGCTGGTTGCTGTTCGTTGTGTGTGTTGTGTGTTGTGTGTTTTGTGTTGTGTGCTGCTTGCTGCTTGCTGCTGCTGCTGCTGCTGTAGTTGTGGTTACGGCTGTGGTTGTGGTCGTGGTCGTGGTGGTTGTTGTTCTTGTTGGCGGCGGCGGCGGCGGCGGTTGTGGAAGCCAACAGGAGAGCTTGTTACTTGTGTGTGTGGTGTTTTTTTGTTTTTTTTTCAACGGAAGCCACTGGGAAAACGTTTGTTTGTTTGTTATTTCTTTCTTTATTTACTTATGTACTTATTTCTGTCTTTCTGTCTTTCTTTCTTTCATTATTTATTTATTCCTTTCTTTCTTTCGTTCATTCTTTTTTTTTGTTTATTTATTTATTTATTTCTTTCTTTCTTCTTAGTTTTTAATATTTCTTCTTTTTTGTTTTGGGAGGGGGGTCCCTTATTTTGACACATGTCCGTATCTAGTCAACCTTGCAGTTTCTGCCAGCCTTAGATGGTATTTAGACCCTCATTTTTCTGCAGTGGTCATGGGAGTACAGGGGCTGGAGCTTCAAGGGGAACCCTTCCCAAAAAAAGGAAGGGAAGAGCACTGGGCAACAGAAATCAGCTAATGTTGACCCCGGATTAATAAACCCCGGTTTCTTCATCTGGGGGTGTTTTTCTCCAACAGTGGTCTGAACCCCACTAAAACCAGGGAAAAGCACCCCCATATGAATAAGGGGTTTCTTCATCCGGGGTCAGCTTAGTGCGACCTCGCGTCGGTGAAGAAGCGAAAGCTCACCAGGTCGGCGTCCGCCACTGTGAGGGTGAAGCTCCTGGACTGTGAAAAGAGTCAAACATTGTCATCAACGCTGGCTCCAAACAAAGATTCAAAATGGGGGGGGGGGGGGGGGGGGGGGGGAGGGGAGGGCTCCATACGGTGGCTCAAAATGGGGGGGGGGGGGTGATCAATATTCCATAGGCCACAGAAAATAACCAAGGCGAGCCTTTTCCCATTAGATGTGAGAAATATGATCTTTCGTGGTGGTTTGGGGACATCAGTGTCAAAATAGATAAAGATAACACACATTTGCCAAACAAAGGCCATGGTTGAAGTGTTGCAAACAATTGGGCGCAGTCTGCCAATACCAACAGAAAATGGTTGAACACCCAAATGACCTCCCCTGATCAAATGACTGGACCGAATCAACCTTCGTTTTCAACCTGAGATCCAAGCTTTTCAAGAAACCTACAAACGAAACGTGTCAAGTTTGGAAGCTGAACAGCCACGTAAAAAAGACAAACAAACTAAGAGAGGAAGACAGGAGGAGGATCGTTTTCTCACTTACGTGGAATGGTCACAAAACAAGCGATGAACTCAGGGTGAGGCATGCGACAAATTCTTTCTGAGATCCGCCCTTCATGGCCTTCGCTCGTTTTACTTTGGTCGGAGTAAGGTGGCATATTTGATGGTAGCGTTGTTGATGTAGATCTATATATATGATGATGTCTGTTGTATTCTACTACTAACAAATGGCAAGGAAGACCATTACTGGGCTGCCCTCAGATCCCCTGCTGAAAGTCTTAGTTTTCGCGGGATAAATGGAGATGTCCGCACCAAACCAACCAAAGACATCTAGAAAGCTAAGGAACCGGGCATCGAACCGCTTCCAAGGGTCGACTCCCCCTGAACCTTCCAGGCGGCCGCAATCGCGGCATTGGCACTCACAATGCCCCCGATGTATCTCAGGCACAGGCCGAAAGAGAAGAGAGACGGCCCTTGCGACGAACTGCTAGCTGGTGGTTTTGCTGCACCCTTGCAGAATAGGCCATTTGCCCCCTACCCTGGACTGGTACCCCTTGTTTGTGGTTGGGGCACGTACCCACACAATCCCACACGTCTACAGCTACGCGCATGCATGCGTTCCCACAAAAGCCTTATGGAAGGTTCTGCCAGTGGTCATCAGGGATCATGCAGGACCAGGGGGTGCTCCACACACATAGTCGCACAAGTCAGCCCGGGCTGGATTCCAATGTGGATTGGCCCAAATAAGCAAGTTTGCCCAAACCTCGTTTTGCCGTACCCAAATGGGTCTGGGTCAAAAGCCCGTACCCCCACTATTAAAATAGACTCACATGGGTGGTGCACATACCCCAAAATGGGATCCCATTGGTGTTCAAAAAAGGTGGATCAAGTCGCCGAAACTCGGGAAGTGAGCCGATTTCCAACTTTCCCGCGTGGCAAGCGGTCAGTGGGCTCAGAACTCGCCAAAAATGTCGTGATTCCACTTGGATCCGGATCCCCTTCGACATGGGACGCCCGCATCAGCATCGGCTGCCGAACCGGTTGGGGGGGGGGGCAGCAGGGGAGGGGTGGGGGGAGAAACAAAACGTCAACATGATCCATGTCCGCTTCTCCGAATCTTCGGAGGAACCAATCTGCGCATCCAAGATCTGGCAAAACTGATTGGCCGAAATTCCGGGGGAGGACGGGGGGGCTGGGATCCTGCAAAGGAACCCGTGTCTAATTTCTTGTTCCCCCCCCTCCCGAGAACAAAAAGGCCCACAGACCCGCAAAACTTGCTTGCTTGCTTGAGGGGCATGGCCGCGCCAAGCACGAACACAATGCTGCCGACGCCGCAGGTCACCTTCGCCGGCAAGTTGCAGTGACAGCCACTGCCCTCGCACATCCTCAAGACATCTGCAGATGTCCATGGGGAAGAAAGAAAGCACCGACAACTTCCGATCGAGTGGAGGGCAAGAGGAAGTCACCCAACTGTTGCTTTGTCACACCAAGTGTCAAAACCCGAAAAGTATGTGAAGTCCAGGAACTCGGGAAGCGAGGCCCCCCGCTGTTTGGTTGATGTTGTCGATCTTGACGGGTTCGACCGATCAAACTGGCCCAAAAGCTAGACCTACTTAAACTACTTACAAAGTGAGAAACTGGTTGCTAAGATGGGGGACTCTTGGCCCACATCTGGGTCGGGACAGAAAATGATCTTATTGCCAGACGTTTCTCATTCATTCCACCCTGAGCAATTATATGGGGAAACCCGACAAATCAGAAAGGTTTGACTGTGGCGCACGATTTGTCAACCCACATTCGCAAACGAGACCTGGAAGAAGGAATCCCCGCCATAGATCCCATGGATCAGCTTGAGAAGCTGCACCCGACAACGCAGGGGTGTCATTTGATGCGCTTGTCTGGGTCAAACAGCCTGTATGTTTGTGTTTGCGTGCGCCTGAGCCTTGACATTTGGTTGAGTAGCACAAGATTGGGCTCCACCGGTATTGAAAAGGTCGTACTCCCTGATCCAAGTAAAGAAATAAGAAGGCGGCCGCAGCTATGGCAAGGGGATTGTCCCTTACCAATCTTCATCTACCCGGGTTGTAAATTTCTGGCTCGGGGGGTCATGCCTGTCCGAAAATTCGGGGCCGTCGGGGCCCTCGGCCCTGAAGAACTGTGGAGCAAACGAACCCGATAGAAACACGCTCACCGAAAAGGGCAACCTGGTAAGTGGGTCTGCCTTGAATCGAACGCACCAAAATTGACTGGCTCGCTCTTGATCCAAGGGCCGCAAATGTGAAGGAACATGCCCTTGGTTCGCCCCCCTGGGCGGATCTATTTTAATTCCCACGGGCCAATTTTCCTCCACCCGGTGTAGAACCAAAGCTTTGGGTTTTCGGAGGGCTAGGAGCTTCACCTTTGTGTTGCGTTTTATGTTTTATTGTTTTGTTGAGGGGGGTCAAGTATAACAGACCCCTGACAACCTTCCATGCCGCCATGCCAAAGAATGGGCTGTGTCAAATTTTGCAGAAAGCCAGAATCGGCTGTCGAGTTTGAAACCTCGTCCAACGCTGCCGGAGCGTCGATTGAAATGCGCAACGCGTGCACCGACTGGAGTTCCGCCTGACACCGGCCTTTGAGCCAATGCTGCGGTGGGTGGTGTCATGAGTGAGAGCGCCAAACTCGGAGTGTAGAACCATGTAAAACCACCCGTTGGGCACACGCCCTGTTTTCAACGACGCTGTCCCAAGAAAACGCAAAGGGAAACCCAGGCGGGGAAGGAATGGCGGTTCTTTGTGAAGGTGGGTGGGTGACGGGGAACGGGATTTTCATCTCGTTCTTTCATCTTCCTTGGGTTTCACGGTTTCACGTGGCATGTCCAGCCAGGAGAGACTCCGTTCCCGGGCGGTGCAAAGGGTTCCTCATCCAATGCCAGCTCCAAGATAAGGACCCAAGCCCTTTCCAACAGACACAAACACAGGAAAAAGGTTCAAGGTGATCCCAGAAGAAGCTTGACATGATGGTGGGACCTATCATCTCTCCGCCACTTATTCTTGTTTTGTGTGTGTGTGTGTGCCTTGGGATTATTTCACCGGCAGCTGCTCCTTTCCTGGACCGCGCCTGTGCCCACAAGGATGTAAACTTGGGTATGTCTCATGCGATCTGAGGGCTCCGGGTGGTGTCCTTTCATGTCTGTTTCTCTGTTTCTCCCCATCGAAGTTTCAGAAAGGGCTTGTGAAAGAAACATGTGCTGAATTAATTTCGGACGTGTTGCGTTCCTTGATGTTCCTTGTCTCCCGTTTTGCTGTTTATTTGCGGGCAGGTACAAATGTGTCCCTTCTATCTGGACTCTTGGCCTATGAATGCTGGCCTCAACAAAAACGGTACCAACACTGGGCTGCCCTCAGATCCACCGCTAACAGCTAGACTCACTCTTAGCGGGTGAAATGGACATCCAGCCATCAAACCATATCAAACCATAACTAAAAACATCCAAACAGCCAAGGAACCTAACAAAACACATCCAAAAGCTAAGGAACCTAACAAACAACCTCTAAACATCTACTAAGCTTATGAACCACCGGGTTTTTTGAGCCATCCGAACGGTCGCGCATGGAGAACCCCCGAGTCCAGTGGATCCGAATCCGTCGGCGGATTCGAGGCGCGCAGTAGCGCCGCACCAGGCGACCCAGGTGGGGACAGGTGCGCTTCCGGCGCTCGATGACTCCCATGAGGCCTCGGAAAAGGACGGCTGCTGATGGGGTGGGGTGGGGGGGGGGTGGGGTTGGGGTTTGCTTAGAGCTTAGGTCCCCTGGAGAAAACATGAAAACAGGTGTTTTCAGTAGTGAAACCGATTCCCTTTAAAACCGGCTGGCTGCTGATGGGGGGGAGGGGGGTTGGGGTTGCTTAGGGCCCCTGGAAAAAAAAGCAGATGAACAAATGTGTTTTTTTGTGAATCGCTTCCCTTTTAAACTATGCTTTCAGTAGTGAAACCGATTCCAACCAAAAAAAACAGGAGGGTTCTTCAGGAAATGTCAGATTTGGTGGTGTGGGGGATTGGAAGCTGCGGAAATGGGTGGTACGTTTTCAGATGCCCTGCTCAAACTGACTAACTTGTGGGATAAATGGAAATCCAACCATTAAGCACTAAAAAGCTAGAAGGCTAAGAAGTTAAGGGGATGGCTGGGAACCACCAAGTTAAGTCCAGGGACTACTTAGGGTTGGGTAAAGTACATGACACAATGCCCATTGTGTAAGTCAACTGAACCTCCATTTGCTTGGTCGCCCCCTGGAAAAATGATAAAATGTGGCCAGTACTTGGCCAGTAGAGAAACCGATTCCTTTAAAACCAGCAGGGGAAATAAAACATACATTCTGAAGCACATGGAAGATTTGGTGGGGGATTGGATGCAGGCCAGTGACAGGGTGGGAAAAGGGGGACCAGTTCTTTTTGGGACAGACCCAGGGAGTTTCATGGGACGAACGGGGAATCGAAAGCAACCTTTTATGGTTACAAAAATTGGCCATGGGCTGTCTCAATATGAGAGATGGACTCCCTGCAAAACCCGGTGTGTTCCACTTCTCAAGTCCTCCTTACCAACAGGAAACCATTGAATCTGCAAGTTTTTTACGATATGTCCAGAAATAAGCGATCCCCAAGCAAAGGATCTTTACTATGGCTTTCGCTCGTTTTACCCCGGATTGGTGAGCTCGCCATAACGCAACATATGTAAAAGGGTACCAAGGCGGTTGAGCGAACCCGTTTTTTCCATTGCACTACCTGCAGAGGGACAATCCGATAACCATAATATTCTCTGGGCTCTCCTCAGATCGCCTGCTAAAAGTTTAACTTTTACTGGGTTAAATGGAAATCCAACCACCAAACACGAAAAAGCTAAAAGGCTAAGGAACCGGATGCCTGGGAGCCAGCCATGTATTGCATGTTCATCAGGTATCGTGAAACCAAACCTTCCAAATCCAAGGCCGCCGCTCTCCCGGGTGAGGTACATCACCTCCACATAGGTCAAGGCAAAGGCCTGAGTCATCACTTTTGGAGGGAACACGCCCCCTGATAAAAGGGCTGGTTTATGAAGTCGGGGTCAACATCAGAACAGTTTAGGCCTTGTAACCCCTGTAGGACCTGTTGAAAGTTGGTCTGATGCACCTTAGACCCCTTCTGCCTTCAGAATTGAGCTCTCTTAGTGGGAAGGGCAATGCCTTTGGGGAGCTTCTTGACGAGCCCATTTAAGTCCTGTTCGACTTCTCCGGAAGACGAGGCGCGCTGCACAAGACACCCCCAAAAGACCAAGTATCATTCAACGGCCGGGGACCTTGTGCAGGGTAGTCGCCTCCATACGTCCACAAATTACCCTTCCTCCCATTAAGATAGCACCTGTGGGAGGGTACCTAGAAGATCAATTTCCCCTTGAAGGGACCTCCTGTCAGTTGCAACCCCTCAAGAAGCCCCTTCTTCAAATACATTATCATTGTTGGATTCTCGCCTTCAGTCATGAGCCACATGTCAAATGTATCAACCCCCTCTGCCCCAAAAAATGTGCTTTCTACAGGCGCCAGCCAAAAACATGTTCTTTCTACGGGCGCATACGGGCGCCAACTCAAATAGACAATCCAGTTGATCCGTTTCCTGGAAGCCCGAAAGGCAAGAAGCCCAGCCAGCATCCACGCCTCGACAGGGCGGATGAGGCTCAGGTCTGACAGGACGAAGTCTTCGCCCCACACCTGCTGAGCGGACGAACCAACCAAAAAAACATGGCAAAAGGGTACGGACACACACGCACACACACACACACGTATATGTATATACGTATATATATATATATATGTGTATATATATATATATATACGCGTCACTAGCTTCAGCTTCCCTAGTGGTTGGGAGGCGAAGGCTGGTTTCGCATCCCCGGATACCAAAAGAACCTGGGGCTCAGATCCCGAATCCAAACCGCCGGGGGGCCATTCGCTCGCTTGTTTCCCCGCGCCCAACATCACACGGGTCAGCTTGGAATTCTCAAGTGGCCCGCTGTTTAGGCCTGCGGTTACTGGGAAATGGGTGTTCCCCTCAAAGGCAGGTACTTAATTGGTGGGACTCAGACATGAGAGCCCTTTCTGCACTTGTTGCTTGAGTCCAAGGAAAACAGAACGGGCCTGTAGATATTAGCTGTCCCGGGGAACGAAGCGCGTCGGAAGCTCATAGCCGTTCAGACTTATTAGATCAGGTGAAAGTTAGGAAAGGTCCTTCAAGCTGGAAATGAAGGGATGGACAATGTCTGCATTTTGCAACTGTCATGAAGCAAGGAACGTATGACCATGCCCTTGTTACGGCCCCTCCCAACAGACCTGAACGAAGAACGGGTACCTACATCATGACGTCAATACCAACTTACATTCAAACGAAACCTACCACAACTCTGCCATTGCCGACACCCACCATCTCTTGGTTGCTGTAAGGACCCCTCTGCAAAAAGTGCTTCACTTTGGTATGAGTCCATGCAAATGGAAATATGTTCAGTCCAAACATCCCTTCCCAAATGGCTGTGGCTCAAAAAAACGGTACCAAAATGGAACCCTGGTAAGTGGAAACATGGACCAACACCTGCGTAACCCCTCTTGTTGGAGTTTGAGCCATACCCAAATAGCGATAAAGATCATGGCGATTTCTGGTTCCCTCCGTGAAATGAGCGCTCGCCCATTTGGGCAGCTGCTTGCCGAGCAAGGGGCCGTGCCGTGGTGGCCGATGCGATTGTCCAGCGCCACTAGGCCCTTGGACAGGATGTACAGCACCTGGATCGACGGGTCCCTTTGCATTGGCACCCCAATCCGGGTCCCCACCTCCCAAAATGGGCCTAAGACTGTCTCATGTGAATTGTTTACCCACCCCTCTAGGAGGGACTCCTATTTCATACTGCCTTAAGGAGTCCCAGATTCTTATTTTTATTTTGTTTAAAGCGATCTAATAGCCTAAGAGCGGTTGAAAACCCTGGTGCCGGACCGGACTTGAGGTCTCATTTCTTCGATGTCGCCTGGACGTTGTCGAAGGACTCCTCCTGGGCGAAGGCGTCGGACTTCAACTCCCGGCTGATGTCCGCGATGCCTCGCAGCGGACTGTCCACCGCGGCTTTGGGGCGCTTCAGTGTGAGTTTCTTCCGCGTGTCCAAATTTGGGGCGTGCCTCAGAATGGGTTGTCCCTTTGAGGCTTCCCTGAGCAACTCCAACCATGTAAAGCAACTCACCCTCCTTTTTGGACCAAGATTGAAAATGGCACGAGTGGAAACCATATAGTGGAAAGGTCAGTTTTGGGCCAGGAGCTCTTTCAACCCCGCCCCTCTAACCAGTTTGCAGGGGTAACACCAGCCAGATTTGAGTGGGAGGCAGGGTACACTCTTTTAGCCATGCCGGTTCTTTCTCCGGAGAAAGCCTGACACAAAACGCCGCAGTTTTTCTTGGAAAATCGAGGGAGGCTGAATCCAACGCAACTGGCACATGACATGAGCGCAAGCAGTTCCCTGGTACCGTTCAGGGACCGCCTTCAGTAAATTGGTTGTGGGGCGTGGGGATGGTGCCAAAGCCAAGTATTACCCTGAAAATTGACCTGGGACCAAAAGTTGCCAAAACAGGGGCTTCCTCGAAACCAATTCGATGGTTTTCTGGAAAGTCCACGTTAATTTGCAGGGGGGGCATCGTATTAAACAAAGTGTAGGGTGTGTCTTCTAAACCCGCTGGATTAGGGGATTGCTCTTGCGAGTCAGTACGTTCCAAAAGGCTAAAAGGCCTCATTGCTATCTGATTGCCATTGCCCCAAGGTGGAACAGCTCATTTGGATTTGGATGCTAGTGACACGATCTTCTAGACAAGAACTTCTCGGTTTGTTTTTGTCATTTGAAAGGCCGAACGGCTTGTCCGGTGTGCGTTTGGCTGGTGACTTAAGACGGGCACTGGGACCTTTCATAGGCCTCTGCCTGGGATTTACTACGGTACACAGGCGTGGGACAGCAAATAAGAACTAAACAATCGAGGCAGCTGGGGGAGGAGGTCTTTTAGGAACCCAACGACCCCGCCCCCACATCCCCGGGAAAGCAGCTTTACATCCGTTGAAACCTTTCAAAGTAGTCTTCCCAGGGACCCAACCATACCGGGCCCCAGCTTTTGCCCACCAAACATAATTGGTATAACTCTCTGGTCCAGTGCAAAACCTTAAAACGCGCTCCGAAATTCTCGCAAAGATCCAACAACTTGATTGCTTGCCCACCCATTTTCCCCCAAATAGGGGCGGCTCAAACCCCACTCTCAGCTTTCTTCCATATACCAAAGCCCCCCAGAAAAAAAATCAGTAGGAAAATCGATTCCCTTTAAAACCAACAGAGGAAAATACGAAAACAAAAAAAAAACAAGAAAACAAAAGCAAATGGAAGCTTCGCTTGCGATCCGAGGCGCAGGTGTGGTAGGGCCCGACATTCACCCCGTTCACCTCCTGGGCCTTGATCAGCTTCATGAACCTCGAGCTGCGAACTTCGCCCGGCGCTCGTCTTTGTCTGAGGCTGTACCGTTTCCTGGTTGGTTCTCAAAAGAAACAACTCGAAAGCAGTTGCTATTTATGAGTCTGCTTTCTTTGGGCCCTCAAAAAGTCACCCTCGCATTTCATACTGCAAGGAAGCGAATAAGGAAGCGTGTTGCTATGGCTTCGTTGTTGAAGAATGGTTTACTTGCAATACTTGCAGTAGTCAGGCCAGCCGTAACTGGTACCAAAAGGGTGCATTGTTCGGGACGCATGACTGTCCTTTGGTACAAGCTGGAACCCGTTTACTTGCTGAGTGGGTTGGCTAAACAAATGCAAACTGTCTGAGCAACTAAATCGGCCTCGCAAAAACGTATAATTCCCAAGACATCCGGCAGAAGGTTTAACTTTTTGTGGGTCAAGTGGAACAAAACCACTTCTTCAACCAAACAGTTCTAGTCCAAACATCCGTTTGCAAATGCCCAAAACCACTTGTAGCCAACCTTCCCGATTCGGATAAAATCGGAATACTCTGAGGCGAGGACTGCTGCAAGAAGCAGACCTTCTGAATCCACGGCAGGTGCAGCGTCGTGCACACCTGGCAAACATTTCATCCGACCCGATTGCACCGATGGACACAACCCAAAACCCATGGATCTCCCCTGGACCGGCTTTAGAGTGAAGGCAAAGCCATAAATACATGGGGGGTCTGGAGCGTGTTCATCAACTTGTTTTCTGTCCACAGCTCCCCTAATGAACATGGGTTGCCCGAAGCGAGGATCCCCCAAAAGGAATTGCGTCTAAACATGACGGCCTTTTGGGTTCCACGTTGACCTGGAGGGTACTTGTCGGGTTTGTCCTGAAAGGGGGGGGCTGTTGAGCGCTATGGGATATTTTTCGCTGGTACCAATCTCCTGGACATGTGGGAGGCTTCCTGCTTGGGTCCCATGTCATGCTGGCCGGGTTTTGGTTCATCATGCTCCAGTTCCAGTGCTTTGTGAGCGGAACAGTAGGTTGGGCTGCTCCCTGCCGCCCAAAAATTCGGAACAGCAGCCCCCCTGCAATCTACGGAGGTGGCCCAAAGGAAAACCACAGCACAGAGCCAACAAGGGTGGTCAGCATATTTGGCCGTGGGGAAAAACCAATGGTACCATTTTGGGGTAGGTGCACCACCAATTTTAGTCTATTTTAGTAGGGATTGTGTTGTTCACTGGGAGTACGGGATTTTGACCCATGGCCATTTGCTGCCAGGATCTAACATAGCTGCCACTGACAAGGTCAAGCCCAGAAAGGCAGGCGGTTTTTTGCCACCAGGATCACTCAGCTGGGAAATCGGTTCAACCCCCCCTTTTTTGGTATATGGCGTCCGTTTTTGAACGAACATATTTTTGCCTGATTTGAAATGGATACCAATAGGACAACCACCACTTCGGGCCCAAAAACGCGGCGGCGTTGGTACAATCGCTCAAAAACCAAACACACCTGCGAAACGAACATCGAAAACAGGGGAATGAATGAAACCGCCAGCTTAAGCAGCTGGGCCAGTCTTGGCCCCGCCGCAGCAAGTTAAACCTCAAAAGTGCAAACATTCGAAAAGGCAAGCTGAGCCCTGGAAGAAATCGACTGCCTCTGACTGGAGCTGAGGGCTCATTTGCTTCAGCAGCTCCTGCGGCGGAGGGGTTGCTAAACCCCCCTGCGAAGGGTGAAGATTTCTCACAGCGCCCAAATCATATCATATTCGGGTAGTTCTGAAAAACAAATGAAGTTGTTGGTGTCCAATGAAGTGCCTTTAAATGCCAGCCCAAAGGGGGTCGGCCATTTGGCGAAACTCCCATACGCTGGCTGGAGGGGGGGGGGCCTGGGTTCCACACTTGAAAGAACCGAAAACACAAGTCGTGTTCAGATCATGTCATTGGACGGGTAAAATCAGGAGGGAGGGGGATTTGAATGCTAGGTAGAGTCAAAATTGCATGTTCCCAAGAGGATATGTTGGACAGGGTTTGTGCCCTGGTTTTCGTGAGTACTGAGCCCCCCATGTTCTAGGCGAAGATGCCCCATTCTTTCCAGGAATCCTTCTTTTCAGGAAACAATTAAAAGCCCAGGAAAAACAGCTGGCTTTCGAAAAGAACGATGGTTGAACAGAATGTCAAGAATCAACCCCTATCTGGGCTGTCCAAACTGATCCACCGCTAAAAGTGACTTACTTGTGGATTGAGTGGAAACCCAACCACTAAATCAATTAAAAGATCTAAAAACCTATAAGGATCCGGATGGAATTGGGCACCAAGCTATGTGCTTCTCTGGGGAAACAAATCAGGAGAAACCGAACCACCGAGCCGAGCGTGGCTCGAGGCTCTCGGGGCTCCTGCTGCCTGAGGTACATCGCCTGGTGCTTGTTCTGCAGGAAGAAGCTCCGTAGCTTGCTGCGCAGCCTCGGTGCTCGAGGCAGTAGAAATGAAATGCCTACTTGGCGCACACACATATATATATATATGTTCAGATTATGTGTCATATCTCGTCTACCCCAATGGCTTTGGAGACCGTCGACCGCAAACCAAAAACAAGGCACTAACAATAACACGTTCAGATGATGTGTCATATTTAGTCCACCCCAAGACAGCTTTAGAGACCCCGGAAAGGGTTCCTTGAAGGATACGCACCAAAGGTCGGCCGCGAAAAACCTGCCAATCCTGTAGAAGGCAAAAGTGTTGGTGTTGCGTACTGGCCCAAATTTCCCTGTAATAAGACCGGCAAAACCCATTGACTGGCTTTCCTTTTGGTCTCTGTGCCGAAAGTGAAGTTCCCCGTCGAAAACGTCAAATATGGCAACTGTGGAGGTTTTCTGCGAAGCAAGTTCACTTGTTCGGCCAGAGGGACACAACTACGTTTTCTCCCAAGGTCGGGCCTGTCTTTTTACTAACCCAGGTGTTTTTTAAGCAGCAAAACACTGGTTCCCTTCAGTGGGGAAGGAACTTAACGAGGGTCCGAGGGGCCTGCACTCCACCGGACCCAGGCATGTCTGCCAAGCATCTGCGAAGGGAGCTCCTGGTGGTCCATCATGGTGTTCAGCTCGTGCATCCCTGGGCAGCTAGGACTTGAGTAGAGGTTAAAATAAGTGTACCCGATTTTTCGGTAGTCTATTTTAGTAGGGGAACCCTCCCCCAAAAAAGTTGGTACAAGGGCACAACTGGGGGACCTAGGCAAAGTGCCCAGTTTGGGGTGGGGGCTTGGCCACGTCCTCCAACAGTGACCCACGTCCCCCTTGTGGGGACACCCCGTGCAACTCATCTGCCCCAAGCACCTGGACATATATATATATATATAAATATATATATATGTGTAAGGTTAGCCTTTTGGGGCCACCCAGAATGGGCCAACATTGCGAAAATGGAAGGTCAGATCTGGTCGATTCGCAAAAAGGGCAAGTGAGTTGGCACAAATGGTTAAACAAATGAAAGGTAACAGGTTCTATCAACGAGCCAGGGGATAAATGTACTCCAGAAAATCAGGCCAATGGTAAGTAAATTGTAAGAAGGGTTCCCCGTGTTTGTTTTTTCAAATCGACACATCCCATGTGATGACAAAAATGGGAGGGATGCCTCACTGCTGAAAAGACATCATTTGGTGGCTCTCCTGACGTGTGCTCAAAAGCCCGCAAGTTGCCTGGACTGTTTGTTTGCCAAAGTAGATGGAAATAGCAACTGGGGCCGTGAGATATGGCGACAAAGGTGATGTGCTCAGCCAAGAGGTGACTTATACGCATCCCCCATCCACCCCTTCCGATGGAACACGGGGATGCAGTTCAAACATCGAATGGTTGGGACGCCTTGTCGCCACAAAGGTACCATGGCGTTGGCCCCTTTTCAAGTGACCATGTTGAGTAAGCCACGGCACGAAGCCACCAAGCAAGCAAAAAAAGGACACGAGATCGCTGGAATCCACAAGGACTGGGTTCTCTTGCTGGTGCTCAGTAGGGAATGACCCAGGGTGTTGGGAATGAACCCATCCCCTTAAAGGAAACCATAAGGGATGGCAAAAGAGAAGGAAACGGATTGGAGTCCACACGACTAGGTTCTGCACCAAGGCAGTCAAGCGATTCTGAGCCGCAAGGCGAGCTATAGGAAGGTTCTGGCCCTTAGCCGGTCATGGCTCCTAGGCTATGGATTGGCAAAAAGAATCCTCATATTGGCAGCTCGTCTGTTTTTGGTTGGTTGGTAACCCTTTGTTGCTTGGCTGTAAAAAAGCCAACAGGAAAATCCACCCTATGAAGTAAGCCATGTCCCAGCGGCTCTTCCTAAACTTCTGGCTATCTCGGGTCATATCGGCCACAATGCCGCACACTTCTCCTGAGATAGGCGAGGGCCCGGCGAGGGCAGTGAGAAGTGGGTTGGACCATCCTTGTGGTGCCACCTTTTGACGGGCACCCCAAAAAGGGCCCTGAACAAATTGAAGTGTTGGACAATTCAATGGCACTTGAGATAGTGGCTTTGTAACTTTGTAGGGGTTACCAAGCAAGTTCCAACCTGGGGCGGTGGTTTGTAGGGGACTGTTGACAACCGATGATTCAGCCTGGCTTGGCCGAGCAGGGCTAAAGACTATGGAGCAAGCAAGGAACCTGCACCCCTTTGGTTCTCTAGCTGCTTAACAATGACGACCGTGGACTAATTCCTCAACCTGGTGGAGTATTAAGCGGGTGTTCCCCCCGCCCATATCAAGTAGAATCCGTTTCTTTCCCCCTTAGCACAAGGGGCATCCCATTCCAAAGGGCAAAGGGCGTTCCCGCAACTTCATGATGTCCTTCGGGGCAAATGCCCAACAAACCGTCTTGTCGCGCCTTTGTTTGGCATGCTTCTTGCAAAATTACCCCATCCTGGCGACTTCTCGCCTGTCCGGATGGGAAGGAACTCGGTTGCAACCAGCTTGGGCCTAGAAATCTAAATTGATCGTGCGTTCACCATTTGGGGCCGCCGAAAGTAAGCATGGACCATGGGATCCGGACACTCATCCGGTCGATCGATCCGCTCGATCCGATCGCCTGAGCCTGGCGCCCGAAAAAGCCATCCAAACATATCCAAACCTTGTCTTCAAATGGTCCACCCACCAAAAAGGCTGTTCAAGGAGTCAGAAAAAGCCAAAGGTCCTCTGCGTTTTAGGAGGGGGTTCTGACCCAAGGAGTCTGATTTTTTTTGGGTTGCGTCTGATTCCAGAGCCTCACTGAGAACCCAACCGAAAAAGGGTGGACAAACTATATTTTGGAGTAGGTGTAAAGGCATTCCTTGCGTACCCTGTTTTCAGAAAATATGTCCAACTAGAAATTGCATCAGCTCACTGTGGACACACGCAAAGGCTGATGCTCGAAACCATGTGAAAGGGAAACACCGCCGCAGATCCAAACGCCCAGGCGAATCAATAGCTTAAACCATGGCTCACGCCGCATGAAGCAAACACATAAACGCTCGATTGCTTTCTGCTCCCCTGCTAAACGTTTAACTTTTGGTGGTTTAATGGAAACTCCATTAGTTGGCAAAAAGGTAAAGTCCTAACATCCAAGCAACATGCACCAAAGAACAAGTCTCCAAGTTTGAAAGCCGGTTCAGAACCAGGCCCTCAGAGAGAAAACCCAAGACCCCCTGAACCAGGGCGAGTGGAGAACCGGTTCTGAGACGGGCACCAACATTCATACAGAAAAGCAATAGGACACTGGAGGTTTCCGATTGGAAGTTCATAGGTCCTGAGGCTGTCATTCTTTTGAGGGTCCCTGCTTTCAGGTGCTTTGATTGACGTAAACTAAGGGAAACCACATGCTACCCACCCACCCACCTCACCCCACCCCACCCCACCCCCGCACCCCAAGCAAAATGCACCAAAGATTTGACTTTGGAGGGTTCCCTCAAAAACAGACGAGCCCCCGACTGCAGCTGACGGCAACTGAGGCCGAGAGGCCAAGGACGTAGGCCCAGCAAAGCCCCGCCGTAAGGATCATCCTTAGCCAAACGGGCTGGAAAACGTTGGCTTCTGCCCAAGCCAATATGACTGTGGCTAAATTAAAGACCGAGGGTTCCGCAGGTTTTATTTAGTTGTCGAGCCCCTATTTAATCACCATTTTGGTACATGTTTTATAAATGTACCAAAATGGCACCTTGGTAAACCGCGTAACCCTAGCTCTTGAGATTTGAGCCACGGCCTTATGTTTGATTCCGGACCAAATCTAGTAAAACTCCAAAAGTGAACAATACGCTCCAACAAAGTCCCGGACAGTCCCCTGCCAGGGGAAGTAAACGAATCGGAGTTGCACAAATCCGGAGTTCCTACCTACCCAGTGACAAATCAAAATCCGCTTGCTCGGTCATTTTCTCGCTGTTCGAGTGGTTTGTCCTTTGTCCAACAAATCCACACTTGCTATTCACCACTCTATGATATGGTTTTCCCAAAAAGTTCAAATTCCAACTCAGGCTGTGAGCAATGGAAGTCCTGCCAAAGCCCCTGAGCTTAAAACATCTGGGCGGTTGAAAAGGCCAAGCAACCTGCAAAGCAGAAACCCAAACCCTACAATCTCAAAACTCTGAAGCCCGAAAACCTCTAAACCCTGACACTCCCAAGCCTTAAAAACCATCAACAAGTGTCCTAAACCCCAAAGCCGCCCGGAAAACAACAAGGCACTGCTTTGTTGTCCTTCCTTCGTGTTTGCCAGCATGTGTATCTTCGCCCGCTTCCTTCTGACGCGCAAATCCCCCAGTCCGGCTAACGTTAAACATGGCGCTCTAACATGAACGTCAACTGAAGACATAACTTACAACCTCATGCAACGTATAACAATTGCCCCGATTGAGTTTTGCTTGTCGCTTTCGTGTGCCTTTTCTTTGATGTCGCTCTGAGCGTTGCTGTTGGTGTGCTGTTGCAGGTGCGGCTGAGGCTTCTGCTGCTGCTGCTGCTGCCGCTGCTGCTGGTGTTGCTGTTGCTGTTGCCGCTGATGAGGATGACTATGATGACGATGACGACGATGATGACGATGACATACGATGACTATGATGACGATGACAATGACAATGATGATGACGATGACGATGAGGATGATGATGATGATGATGACGATGATGATGATTATGATGATGATGATGATGATGATGACGATGACAATGACAATGACGATGACGATGACGATGACGATGAGGATGAGGATGAGGATAATGACGATGATGACCATGTTGATGATGATACGATGGTGACGATGACGCCGATGACGACGCTGATGACGACGATGATGATCATGATGATGACGATGATGATGACCATGATGATGAGAGCTGCTAACAGCCCGAATGCGGCGGTGCTCCTGTTGTCTTTTAGCTGATTGCCACACTGTGTTTCGAGGCTGGCTGTTGTCGAGCCGCGACTGTTCAACCCACAAACATCGCCCTGAAATGAAAAGCCGTTTGACTCTTCTTCGGGTATGGGTCAAGACGGTCAAAACAATACCGGGACCGCAGGTTTTGGTCCTTGGTTCCATTAGCCATACCCAGTTTTGCCCCCGCAGCCTTTTGTAGGGATTTTGAAAGTTTGAGGTGTTCCTCCCTAGGAACTGGGGCTGACCTAAACCGCAGCCAGGGCTTTCGCCTGCCATGGAAGAGCATGCGAAGCCAAACCGCTGCCCTGGCAGCGGGAGTTGATTAAGGGCTTGCAAGACAAGCGTTGCCTTAAAGGGACCCTCTGGTGGGTTCCACTGGGACCCTGATCTTAAAGGGAGCCCCCTACGGAAGGGGCCACAACCGGGGCACCCAACATAAAGTGCTTTCCCTTTGGCTTCCCTTCAAACCGACCCCAAACAGGGTACCCTCACCGAAATGGAGACAATTTCAGCAAAGCCTTCGGGCAAAACGTGGGCTGTGCTGACCGGGCAGCATGGTACACACCACGCGCTCCAAGACATTCTTGGGACCCAGATCCCCATAGCCCACCGAGGTCATGGTGTAGCTGCAGAAATAAAACCTCGGAGAACCAAACCAACCTCCAAAGAACCAAACCGACCAAACCCAAACCAAACCACAACTTTTTATCTTTGTTTACAAACACAACACATCCCAAAGAGCGCACCCCCCCCCCCCCGGCAGGAAGAGTTTTTGGAACCTAGGGCTCTGAGAGCCTTTCCGGAGGTCGAATCTTGTCTCTCAGGTCTCTTCACGCAGTGTTTCGTTGGGTGTGCTCGCGAATGTCGAGTGGAAGCTGCAAAAAGCAAAGCCCCACTTCCAACTGCCAAGCCCTGGCAGTTGCTTTCCCCGCAAGTGGCTTAGCAAAAACATCGACTTCCTCGTACTCTCCGTGCCTCCCATGTTGATGCTGCTTTTGTTCTTGACTTGTTTTGATACCGCTGGCAAACGCCTCACGTGTCAGGTGTCAGGTGGCACACTTGACATCCGCCTGCGGCCTAGAAGTTAGTCGTTTCAGAACTCAGTGGACCTCCCACTCGAAAAAGGGGCATCGGGATATTTCCAGTGGTGAAAGATTCCCTTTGGCACCAATGGGGGGGGAGAGTATAGGTGGGCATACGCTAAATCAAAGCCAATCAAACATGTCCAGCTTGTTGATTTGCATGTTTGCCTGCACACACTCGTTTAGGGGCAACGATCCGGTGGTATGTGGGCAAGACTTGAAAGCGGTATGGTGCGATCATCTGCCGTATTGCAGTATACGAAGCTGTCACAAAGACAGGAGAAAGCAGATCTTAATAAAAGGCAATGAAAGCTTTCTCACAAAACAACACCACGTGCATGGCGCAAATGATGGGTGTATTGAATAACCTCCTGGGTTCCATGTTGGTAGGAGGTGAACCACATGCGGACCTTCTTTCCTTTTGGAGAAACAACATGCAGATCGCTGGCTTGCCGAGAAGAAATGTGTAAAAGAAGGGAACTCTCTTTGGCATAGGTGGCCTTTTATGCCTTTTGAGAAAATAGATGGCCCTGGTAAATGGAATAAAACCCCATCTAAACCCGGGTCCTCTTTTCTTAAGCAAACCAACCAAAAAGGACACATCTTAGTTTGGGGTAGACCATGTTTAGTGGGTCCCGCCTGCCCTCTCTCCTGAGGTAGACAGGATGCCATTGAGCAACTGCGCAGTACGTCAATTGCAGGATGGGGATGAACAAACAAATGCCAGACTAGCTTGCCGCTGAGGTTTAAAGAGAACCCCCCTTGTGTTTTTTAAAGAGAACCCCCCAATGTATAGTTTTTAGGATGCCTAAAAATGAAACATCTACATGTTTACGGCTCCTTTAAAGGACCCCATCATGCATCACCGTCTAAGTGCGCCAAACCGCTTTCTGCGGAAGCCCACGATGGCCTTTGTTGGAAGGTGTCCGAACAGGCACTGACTTTTGTCTGAAAATGGGTGGCTCGTGTTTCGGGGGCTCCCGCTCTTGGTTTTAAGGGAAGCCACAAGAAAAATCACATGTTGAGGGATCCCCTATAAACAAAGGCACGCCAGATGCCTTCTCTCTGATGCCTTCTCGCCGGGTTTTTCGGGGCCCCCGAGTCTCCGGGCGCGGCGAGGTAGATGCGCCAAGGCGAGTGCAAGGTGTCGATGCCGAAGTGAGTGTCCGAATCTTCGATGTCGTTGATCCAGCGAGGATATCTCAGATTACGATCGCAGGTGCAGCTGGCTGAGGATGGCTGAGGGGGGGGGGGTTCAAAACAGTTCCTAGCCAAGTGACAAGCATGCAAGATGGCAAAACAACATCTTGCGAACGCACGCTCGGCACCAAACAGGACAACCGAGAGCTCGGATACACAAAAAAACACTAAGGTTTCAGCCAGCATGCCATTCCTGTTCTAAGCACGAACTGGAATTGATCTTCTTCGTCCGGGTCCTGCATCCTCTGAGCATGAGTGGTAGCAACTCCAAGGGTATGTGTAAGTTTAATGAAGGCACCACCTGCTTTGCTGCGTGCCTGACACTGTTTCAAACAACCTGGGCCGAACAAGTCACGATCTTCTGGATCAAACTGCACAATCAGAGACCAGAGTGCACCAAGAAGAGCAACCGCATAACAACTAAGCCAAATACACCGGAATCATAGAACCGCACACGTCGCCTTAGACGACCGTAAGCCACACGCACGCCTAGAGCAACCGCATGCACTTGTGAGAATCCACAGCCCCGATTTCATGTATAGTTAGCGTTTGTTCAGCCCTAGGCACTTCTAGCCTTTCGACAAGCTCGTGCCATCTCCTTTTGGAGTCCCTAAGCTATCCGAAAAAGTGGTGCTGCCGCACGCGAATTTCGGGTGCATACGTTTTGAGGGTAGGGAAACCAAAACGAAGAACCCCATCTTGCGGGTCCTCCTATTTTGTCAGAAACCATTTCGAGAAACACTTGATTCTATGAACTCCAAGTGTTACGTGCGCGCGTGCGGCTGTCCCAAACAAGGAGCTCCTCTTGAGACCATCCAACCGCGTGGTGAGGAGTGGCCATAGGAGAGAAGGGCACCTCTGCTTTTGGTTCTTGACTTTACAGAGACTAGGTCCTCCAGTCGAGAGGTTAGAATACGGGTACCCTTTTTTTCTGTAGTCTATTTTAGTAGGGGAACCCTCCCAAAAAAAAGTTGGTCAAAGGGCACTGCTGGGGGACCTAGGAAAAATCTCCGAAACAAAATCGGACAAAGAGATCCACAGGGAGTCTGGTTTGTTGGCCTCTTGGAAGCGGGCTTTTCACCACACTAACATGGAACGTGAGAAGTCCTACCAAAAAAGCATGGCCTTCCGCCGAAAAAAAAAGAAACAAAAAACTGGCAGTCGAGAGGTGTGAACCAAAATCCGGTCCCAGCCCCAAAAGTTCAAGTCCGAAACAGGACTCAGGGAGCGTTTTTTGTTTCCTTCTTTTGTCCTGCCGAAAGCCGCGAGCCGAACGCCGCGAGCCGAACGCCGAACGTGCCGAAAGCCGCCGAGCGTGAGGTCGAGGGGCTGTTGGTCCACCAGTTGTAAAGTCAGCGCCCAGAGGCAGGCCAACCAATGGCACACCAGGCCCAAGACCTGAGCTCAGCTGAGACTTGGCTCCACGGCCCGGAGCCGGGAGTTTCCCCGAGTTCTCACGTACGAGTGGATGCGGAAAGGAACAAAAAAAACTCTGGATTTGCTTGGTTCACCACCGAAACTGTGAACAAAAACGCTGGATTTGTTTGGTTCACCACTTAAACAGTCGTTCGAAAAGATTGTGGAGAGTCCGGAAGCTGAGGAAGTGAAGCACTGCTTGGACTTGGACCTATTTTTCTGTGTTGGACCGGGTGCAGTTGCGTGATGGGCTGACCTTCCTTTGATGGAAAGAGACTCGTCTCCCTATCGCCTCCACAACAAAAATATGAGTACACCCCCCCCAACAAAAAGAAGAACAAAAACAACAAATACAACAAGTTGTTTTTTGTGGGGTCCCTTTAAGACCACGCCAAACAAAAAACAAGGTACCCCGAAAACACACACACACACACACAGTTGAGATCGTCAGATTTGGCACGAAATGTTCAGCCGCCCCGGCCCGAGGTTGACGCATGGAACTTTCGCCAAGGAGCAAGCAGGAACCGGGCCAAGGCAATCTGCTGGTACGGGATGGCCATCGGAATCTCCAGTTTGTGAATGATCCTGACGGTCCGTACAGCAGCAGTCAAGCCCCCCCTGAGAAACACCTCATGACCCAAAGAAAGTTGACACTTCGATTCAGCCAGACCCGACTTGTTGTGTTCCTAGTGCTTGTGATCAAGCCCTGCAGCGTTGGTCGTCTTTGGGGGGGGGGGAGCCTGTAGAGTCCCTAACTTCTCTGGAACAAGCTGCTTGCTTTCTAATCAACCATTTTGGAAGCAGGTTGGCGATTCGTCCGCGAAGTCAACCTACATGGTTCCACCATCGTCCACACTCCAAAGAGCGCGGATGAGGAAAATGCACAGCTTTTCCTTTTTTTTAATCCCCGCTCCGGCATTCATAGACCCCCAAGGGCCCCAAGTCCGATTCCACCAAGACTCGGTTGCTAACTCTTCTCCCCTACAAGTGACTAAATGATGGTGGTTAATACGGAAAACCAATTCTCATTAGTTGGCAAAAAGGTAAGGTGGTAACATCCCTAGGCAAAATGCAACAAAGAAGAAGGAACACGGAAGTGTGATGCGTCCTAGCCCCAGGCACTGCCAGGCACCGTGGGCACCGTTCCCTATGACAAGGCGCCGGGACGACTTGAGGAGCCTCATCAGCTTTAGCAGTCGCAAGATCCGGATGACCTGGATCTCGCGTGTCTCTGGTGTCCAATAAGAATTATCATGGAGGGTTACCTCTGAAAATGCTACAATAACTCCTTGAAACGAAATTGGGGTTCTGAAACACAAGCCCTGCCACGTCCAGAAACTGCTTGGTGAGCATAGCCACAGTCAAAATATGCGATTCAAGCAAGTACGACCCCGAGAGAAACTTAGAAAGTCCATCATGTCCTTGGCATACGGATAGACTACTGGAAAAATTGACGGAACCCCTCTTCCCAAGCTGTGGCATGTTGGCAACAACCCTTGTTCTTCGCAGCCCCGAAAGAAAAAACATGAACAGCACAGGTGTAGCAAGCTTCTTGGGCATGCTACTACAAATAACCAAAACGGGCTGCCACTGTCGGAAGTCCGCAAAGAGCTTTTGAGAAGCCCTACATGTTGCATAATTATCTTGTCACCAACGCTCAACTCCAAACAGTCATCATTACTAGGCCCTTCAGTAGAGAGGTTAGAATAAGGGTTCCCTTTTTTTCTGTAGTCTATTTTAGTAGGGGGACCCTCCCCAAAAAAAGCTAAAAGGGCATTACTGGGGCACCTGGATTATACCAAGTGCCAAGTAAGATTCGACCCAATGTTGTTCGTTGAGCCAGCGGTGTACCCGAGAACAACTTGCGTCCGCGCCTTAATGCTCTTGAACTCTGCGAATCCTGTATCCCCTGCCAGCAAGTTGAATAGGTCGAAGGGGATCAGGGTCAAGAGGTCCAGAAGGAACCAGGTCTTCCTGCGTGTTGTTTTCAGGCGAAGGATGCCTTTTTCAGCGTGAAAAAAGCCAAGCAGAAAACAGAGGCCCAAATCCAGGTACCACCCAAATCTGAAGTATCTGATGTGTTCAAAGCAAATGGCGGACTATATTTCCCCCTAACCACCAAACCTCACTTTCAATTGGCCCAAACGGAGATTGAAACCCACCGAAAAGGAACATAATATGGGTGAGGCCCTCTGGTGGACATCCAGTGCGGCCGACTATTTGGGAGAGTATTCCTCCTTAAAGCTACAAGAGGCGAAATAACTATTTACACTTGCTCTGTTCCTGCGTTAGACAATTGTCACAAAATACGTCCGAACATATTGCCCAACATGGCCATTCTAACTTACATCGGGGAAGCCTGGCCTTGGGCCTTGTAATTTGAAGTCTTTCCCTCGCATTCATGTTGACCCCGGATTGATAAACCCGTGTGTCACCCACAAACGTGGTCTGAATTCCGAGAAAACGCCCCCATCTCTCACAGTCAACCAGCCGCAAAACGCTCTTCCGCCGGCTGGCGCTTCCATCCCAATTGACTCGGGACGAGTTTTCGTATGTCGAGCGTCAGGTACTGCTTCACGATCTTCCCCGGCTGCACCTCCCACTCGATGCCCCGTACGGTCCGCTTGGAGTAGGTCGTGCAGAACTGCCTGGCTGAACCAAACGAGGCGCAAACCTGGATGGAACGCTCCACTGGCGGTCGTCTTCTTGAGGCGCGGTGCCGGCAGCCCAAAATCTGGGCCGCATTTGACTTGAAAGGGATCCTTTGCCAAGGGCACATCGGCCTCTCATCTTGGCTCCTTCTAGAGTTCCCTTCCTTGCATGGATGGTGTTCCATTATCTCCTGAAGATAGCAGCCGGGCACGAGGAGTCCGGCTCCACAACCACAACCCAAGGGTTCTTGCTATTACACCCTTGGCAAACTGTGCCGTTCCCCAGGTTTCCTAGTGACTGTCACACGGCTCCCCATAGCCCAAACAAAGATCCCTCAACAAACCAACTGATACCCGGCTGGGGTTCAGTCTTAAAACGGGGCACCTCAAGAATGGTGGCTTTGCCCCGGCGACACCTCGAGGAGGGCACCTGCAAAAAGAACACAGGCGCGCACGCACGCGCACGCGCGCGCGTCGTAGCCAATGGCTCCGTTTGATTCGCAGCACAGCTTCTCCGATTGAAACCTGCTCAAATGTTTGTAGCCTTGAGCGGACAATGGCCACGACTGTGTCGCTTTCAAGGGATTCCCACAGAAACTGACCCTCTCGACGACTGGCCGTTAGATACTATTAGCCTTCACGAAAAAAACAACAAATGCAGTGAACATCTTGACCTGAACAGGCCATTAAAGTGGCAACCTTAAACCCACACGTTGTTCACAAACATGCCCAGCCCCTGATTAACTGCCCCTTCCACATCTAACTGTGAAATGAACTTGTGAAGAGTTGGATCTTTGTTTAAACAAAACTATAAAAAACAACAAAAAACGCACCTTCCCAACATGTGGGGTGTAGTGAAAACAAAAACCGACTTGCTCCTTGTTGCAGCCCACGAATTTCCACCTGAACCGAACCGATATCGAGATCCGAGCCGAATTCCATTTGCTGGGCATCTCCAAATTCCACAAGGAACCCAACCAACCAACCGGGCACCCCGGGTGCCCGGCCACCAACCTGTCTAAGCTTCTTTCGGCCGTTGCGTGGTCCATCCTCCTTCCTCATCCCTTCCTTCATTCACCCCCCAAATCAGAGTGTACCCAAAATGAACGACTTTAAGACGTGAGCCAACCAACCAACTAACCAACCAACCAACCAACCAACCAACCAACCAACCCAACCAACCAACCAACCAACCGACCAACCACCAACCCACCAACTAACCAACCGGATCCCGAATTCCCGAATTCCTTTCCCAGGCGCAGGAACATGTCGAGGAAGAAGATGCAGTCCACTGCCATGGCCACGAAGAACAAAGCGTCGATCTTCAGCTCCAAGAGGCCCACTTGCACCGGCGTGATCCTCAGAAAAAAGAAAAATAAGAAAAACAACATGTGAAGCCTTCGTGTTTTTTTTCTTTTTTTAATGCCTGGCCTGGTGGGGGAAAAATCACGTGTCGCCCCGTCAATTTTTGTTTGCATGGCCTGGTGGTGGAAAAGAACAAAAAACACACGTGTCGCCCCTTCGTGCTGTATTTTTTTGCTGGGGGAAAAATGTTCCCCAAGCCAGTGGGAAAACGAAACTTGCAGTTTCTAATGCAAGAGCAAATGCGGCGAAGGCTTCGTGTTCTTTTTTAATGCCTGGCCTGGTGGTGGAAAAATGTGTCCCAAGCCAGAGGGAACACATGACTTGCAAGTAACTGAGCATGCTTTCTCTTGCCTCGGCTGGGTACTTTAAACTGATCCCTCCGACCAACTGGGGGGGAGGGTCCCGGACAACCATCTATAAACTACGCATGTTAGTGGACGGGCTAAGGTTCAAACCGCTAAGATCCGAGAAAGTGCAAATGGTTCATCCGAAAAACGCGCAAAGAGTGGGATGTGGAGGCCAGCTCTGCATTGACCCTAGCAGAATTGGAATTTTCTTTGGCTGGTCCATTTGTAGATATCGTTCGTGAAGCCAGCTACATATAAGGAATGTTTTGGAGGGATTCCACTGAATGGTAGATGTCACGATAAACATTTTGGAGCAGCCCGAAAGAAAGGGAAATCGTATGATTTGGATGTCCTCCTGTCCAACAATGAACCCACCAAAGGGTCTCTTTAGAGGAAAATGTTTTTCCGTCATCCCACCATTCAGGTTCCATGTTAGATGGGAGGGTAAATGGATGTCTTGAAACAAACAAACTCATCCCCTATTCCTATTGGTATTGGCCGGTATTGGTTTTACTCTATGCAACGCCCTAACCATACCCAATACTCAACTATAGGTTTCATGTTGGTGCTCTATACGGGGTATTGATCAGGGAAATGCCTTACCATATCCTTGCCATAAGCCCAAGAAAAACAACATAATTAAATTACAGAACGGGGGGAGTGTCTTCGAGTATCACAGAAGCTATTTGGCGATAGGCCCGTTTAATTCGTTGCTGGCTGGTGGGGAAACACACATTGTCCTCAATCCCGTTCAGAAACATGGTCCAAGCCAAGCAGGCATGCCTTTTGTTGAGGGAACCCATGTTTTTGGTGATTTTACAGGGCAAGAAGAGAACCGCAATTTTGCAGGGGCCCCCGCAGGAGTCACCCGAATCGTGGGAGAAGGAAGTCTGACAGCGTCGTGGAAACTAAACCCTTTTGAGGTCCAAGGCGCAGGGCGACAAAGGTGAGGCCAAAAAAGGTGGCAAACTGCCAGCTGGTGGCTAACCAGTGACCTGGAAGCAACGCTCGTTTAGCTGCAACTTGTCACCTATGGTTTGGGCAAAACCGGTGCCCGGAACCGGTGTACGTAGAACATATATGTATAGATATGTGTATATACATACATAGCCATACAGATCTGAACATACATGTGCTTGTGCAGATATCTGTATAAATATTTCGTGATTTATTGTGCAAACCTGCTGAGGTAAGTCTACATAGACAGGTAGTGGCCCTTAGCATGTTTCAATGCTAAAAAAGGAAGCTACTGCTAAGCTGTTTCCCGTACCTCAGCCTCTGCGGCCCATAATTAGTGACCCACATGCAACATGAGGTTAAACAGAGTTCACAATTCCGGTAATGTGGCACCCATGCGTCCCGGCAGTTGCCCAATCTGCATTCCTCGGCCGTCGAACATCTGAGCACATGGTTAATCAGATTATATGAGAGTTTCTGATACTGGTGGTCTTTGCTTTGAGGGTACCCTTTTGTGGGTTGGTTGAAAAGGAAACCAAAAGGAAAGAAAACCATAATTTTGGGGGTCCCCTGTTTTAAGACACACCCATATGTGTTTCCAAACGGGAAACCGTGCCATCACTTATCCAAACATCCACGTTGAACCAACCCAGAGGAAAAAGCCGTTGAAACCTCGACAAATTGATTCTGGTCCACATGTAGCCTTACAGTGAAGCACGCATCCAGAAACGATCCCTAGTTACTTCCTTTCTGTGCCTAACAACTCCATAAATGAGAGTGTTTTGGGTTCTATGTCAATTTGGGTACAAGATTGCCTGCTCTGTAAACGAATCTATCCAGCAAGGGGGCTAGGCTTCCAAGAAAGTGAAAAACAGCTCCAGCTGAGCCCCGAGCTGTCTGGGTTGATCACAAACCAGGGCTTCTCAGCCGCGAACTGCCGCGTCCTCTCGGAAAGCAGGACCCGGTGCGCAATACGCGTGGATTTGCATGGGGACAGCGCTGGGTAACTGGGTAAAATCGGATACATCCAAAACCCACCTGCCAAATGAGATGGCTGGTTGAGAATCACTCGCCTTGTTTGGTAGTTGATTTTAAAGGGGTCTCTTTCAGACTTAGTTTCCTCCCCAGCGTAGCCCGGGATCTGACACACAAACCGAACATTGGTGGCCACAGGAAACGGACAACTAATTAGGCTGTCCTCTCCCCTGCTTCGATGAACATCGGGGGATGAACATGCGTTAACCGCAAACCCCTCCACTCATTGACTCATGAGTGTCCTGTGTAATGGTAGCGAGGAAGTAAACATCCTTCGTTGGGAGGGAAGCATTTGGTCCTTCTGGCCCCTTGAAGTTTCCAACCAGGATTGCTCCCGGTTGAGACATCGAAACGAAGAAAGTCTTTCAACACCAGTTTCCTGCACCAGTCCACGTTTGTTCTGGAACGTGATTGTCAATGCTAAATCCGGCCAACCGCCAGGCAAGAAAACAACTTAACCCTCTCACCAAACATAGTTCGGTGCACAGACTCCCTTTCCAAGAGGATAATGTCTCTGAATTCCTGGGTTTCCACGTTTGGTGGGAGGCTAGCTGGGCCAAACCAAGCAAAGAACCAGCCCAATCCCGTGCTTGCGGAAGCGCCTCTGCGTGAGGATCTTGAGCCGCTCATCGTCCATGAGCTTCATAAAGAGGCTCTGTGTGCCGGACTCCTCTGAGGAATAGCCTCGTGTGGAGGACAAAACCATCCGTCGGGGTCACGGTGTGCTCCAAACCGCTTGATCCATCTCCTCCGTTAAACCATGGCAAAAAAAGCCCCCCTTGTTCTAGTAGACCTGAACGAGAAACCCAGGGTTTCAAGCCTCCCAAAGAAAGAGAAGCCAATTTGAGGGTCGCTGGAGCCCCGACCCGATCGGCATAGAAATATGACCGGCAAAGGGGGAGGAACTAAAGACCGCTTCTAGCCCTTGGACCATTCCTCCAAAAGGAGAATCCCGTTTAAATCTACCTTGGGACAGTCACAACTTGCTGCGTGAAGAAAATGTCTACCCCTTGAGGCTTGGCCACCTGGTCATAATGCGCGGAGAAAGCATGATACCCGTAAGCTTCCCCCTATGCATGAGCCCGCCACAGGCAAAGTCACATTCTTGCCTGTTCAAACGCGTGTCTAAGTTCGCATCCAAAAGGCACAACTAAAAGGAACACCTGAACAACAACTCAGTTGTTCAGTGACCCTGGGAAAAAAGGGAACCCTTTTTGGGGAACACAATTTTTAGTGGGGCAGCCACCAAAGAAAACGGAAAAATAATTGGTGCCACTGAACAACTGAGCTGAACAACAAGAAAGAAAAGCCAAGGGACAAGAAGCCGAAACCCTAGACCGCCTGCCAGATCACCCCCTTTGCTCCAGAGTGTTGCGCCAATTCCCTTGGCTTTGAGAGCTATTCCTTTCTTGTTGTTTGGCTACCCTTTAACTCACTTGCCCAAAGGACCTGGAAATAAGTTAACCTTTTGGGACCTGACGAAATATGGGACAAAACCGGAAACCAAGAGGCCAAAAGGCCGGCCCTGGGCCAGGTTGGCGTGAGCTGACTTGCGTCCAACCTAAAGCCCAGGACGAAGGCAGGTCGCAGCGTGATCTCCTTTTGCACTACTAAAAACGTCTGATTGGTGGCCATGGCAAAAATAGACCTTACAGGGAAACCAGGGAAACCGCCGTCCCAAAGAAGCCACTTTAGGGTCACTGCATTTGCCTTGCCACTTTTGGTAGTCAACCTTAAAGAGAAACCCAGGCAACCCCCCCCCAAAGAATGAGAAGCCAGCAAAATTAGGGGTCACTGGATTTCCCCTGAAAAGCTGATCAACCAACTAGTTGGTTTGCTTTGCAACCCGGAAAAGAAAAGAAAAAAGAACAACAACGGCAACCCCCCGCCCGCCCAAAGAAAAACCCGCACAACCCACGGATCTGCATGCTTTCGAGGCGCGAGTCCTTGAGCTGCGGCTGCGGCGGCTCACCGAGCGGCTGGGCAAGCGGCGGCTGGGCGAGCGGTTGGACAGAGACTCCGCCCAAGAGACCTGGCGACAGGTTGGTGTCTCTCTGTTTTTGTTTTTTCTCATTATTTTTCTGCGGCGTGTCTTTAACAACCACACACAGACTGGGACCAAACTAAACGGAAAACCAAACAATATCCATGTCCGCAACCCCCAGTTTGTGGCTGGATTGGCTTGGATTGGTGTGTCGGTTTTAGGCTTGGAGCCCCGATGGCTTTGGTCTTCCTCTGGGTTTACCCCAAGCCTCAAAACAAACACGCATACAGATTAGGACCAAAACTGGGGGAAGAACCAAAACTTCCATTTCAGCTTGTTATCAATTGGTGGTTTGGAATGGTGGTTTTGAGAGTTCCAGGGTGGCTTCCCATGTAGCCGCAATGTAGCCTCTACAAGGCCAAGGAGGTCCAAACCACCAACCAAAACCACAAGTAAGGGATACCTGACCATTTGCTTAAGCCCCCTTGGAAAAACACAACATGCTTGCAGTAGTGATAGCTCCCTCGAACAAAACAAGGGACATACATATTCTTGAGCAAATGGAAGGCGTCCAGGAGGCTAAGCGCCAAAGTGCTGGTTTGAGGACAAATATGGAAGTACATTTTACTTCTAGGTCCTCCAGTAGAGAGGTTAGAATAAGGGTACCAACCTTCTTCTGTAGTCTATTTTAGTAGGGGAACCCTCCCCCCAAAAAAGGGTAAAAGGGCACTACTGGGGGACCTAGAATATGAAAGTACATGTTAACTGGACTCTTTGGTGGACATCGTAATGTAGGTTTGAACTTCAACGCCATTTCTTCGGGGTAAACCAAATGGAGAAGAAAGCAAGCAAACTGCCCAAGCCCGTCTCGATAAAGTTTGAAGGGGAACCACAAGAAAACAATGTTGGCCCTATTTTGACACATACCCAGTTCGTCATTGCAGAAAGCCAGAGCCACCCAAATCAACCAAATGGCGCATGCCCTTCTCATGTTTCTTCTGCGCAACAAAAGTGCGGTTGCTCTGTTGTTTCCTTCTGGCTTCCTGGTGGACATTTGAACATGCAGTTGCTGTTTATGGCGTGAGGACGGACTTGGAAAACCTCGAGCTGGCGTGGAGGGTGCGCGGAAAACATCTGGCACACCACATCTAAGGACAAGCTGGGCAACCAAGGCGCCCAAATCAAACATGGTAAATCCCGTGCAAGCTGTTTTTGACAGATTTGTCAAAATCATTTGCCCCCCCATCGCACCCCGCCACGGAGGTCGAAGGTGGATCGGGGGGTCGCAGCTGGCAGGGGGCTCAACAAAAAGACACAACCAGCACAACGACAACAAGCAGCGTCCAGCTAAAAGAGTCGCGTTGGCGGGTGAACGTCTGAGCGCCATTTGTGGATTATAGGTTTTTCGATCTGCAGTGCCCGTACCTGCTTTGGGGGCCAGAAAGCACACGGCCAATTGGGCATCTAGTGTAGTCTAGTGGGCAAACCAAAAGTAGAAGACATGAATGCTGGGAAATTGAAATACATTGCTACTATTGGCTGACGAAGCTATGCTTAATATTCTTCATGGCGCGGACAGATTTCCTGACAAAGGCAAGAACCACTCCGCCAGAGCGGCCTGGCTGGTCCGCGTTGTGGGACCTCGGCTCTGTGCAGGTTCAACCTGCCGGGTTTATCAAGTGATAACCTTCAGATTGATCCGGAGTACCCTACCAACAGGGGAACCACCAAGGATATAGGGGAACCACCAGGGGAACTACCAACAGGGGAACCACCCTACCAACAGGGAACCAACAGGGGAACCACCCAACAGGGGAACCACCCCTTGGTGCGGTCCTCCTGATTCTTCCGCAGGATGTATCCAACTTGCCCAACCCTGGTAGCCGATGCCCGCCTTTACGGCTTCCCTCTGTTTCCCTGGGGCTGCTTCAAACCCACTCAGAAATGTTAACTCTTGGCTAGCTGTTTCAAACGACACCTGGAAGGGCAACCCATGGAACTTTGCAAGGAAGTAGTGCTGGCAAAAGAATTGGCAACATCATTTAGCAATTCCACACTGTGATTTGTCAAATGTGCGTTTTGGTTGCGGGGGGTGGGGGGACAAACTCCTGCCATGTTCTAATTTTCCGAACATGGGACTAAAACGCCAGAAACCCAGCGTCCGTGAGGAAAGAAAAGGGCACCTGTTTTGTGGTAGTTGGTTCTAATGGGACTCCCTCCAGTAGAAAAACCTGAACAAAGGATACTGCTCGGTGGCTGGGGAAACAGTTGCTTCCAAAAGGTTTAAGGGGCGAATTCTGGGCACACCAAAGGCCGGCCATGAAACATCGCCCCACCAAGATGACTTTAAACTGGGCTGTGAACAGTTATGTCTAAAACCAACAGCACCGAAACTGGGTCAACCGAGCTAAAAGAACCAAACGGACCTTTGTCGGTTCGGTCTCAAAATAGCCTCCCAACATGCTTGGTATCTTTTTGGCTTCCCTTTACACCAACCCAAAAAGGGGACGCAAAAAGACACACCCGCTTGCAACTGAGCTTTGAGAAACAAATCCTCCCCCTCTCCCCGTTTCCATGTCGTGCCTCCCCTCCCGACTTCTGATCCCATTGGAACCTTGAATGCATCAACAGATGAATCAGAACTTCCATTTCCTTAAGCCCTCTGAGAAAAAAAACACAAAAAAACAAACAACAAAAACAAATATTTCCAGTGGTGATAGATTCCCGTTAAAACCAACAGGGGAAATAACAAGCAGAACGAGTCCGGCTGAGATCGTTTCAGTCCTTCAAAGTCTTTGCCACTCTGGCAACCAAACTCCTAGGGAAACCCTACAAACCCGAAAACGTTCTTCCGCCTAAAATGGACAAAGCTCTGGAACCCCCCAACTTTGCAACCAAACCCACACGCCGAGTCACAGTGGTTCACGGGTACGACCTTCTCCGCCTTCTCAGGCTCGCAGCTCCCAACCTGCAATCGCGGCAGGCTCAGCTCCTGGAAGCGATTGAGCGCCCCAGCCACGCGGAGAAACCGGCCACCCAATTTTTGTAGTTGACTTCAAAGGGAAACCACTCCGCCGATTTTTTGTTGACTTTAAAGGGACCCCCCTTCCAAACTTGGGAAACAAGGGCTTCCAACCCTCTGCGGAGAAAACGAGGCATGGGGCGGGGGGGTGTTCGGGCTTTCTTTTATGTATTTGCTTCTTTTTTTTGGGTAGCGGGGGGGGGGGATCGGTATGGATGTGGTCTATTCTGCAACCTTCTCTTTCTGGCGGCCTGCTTAAGTCTAGAGCACGGAGGATCCCAAGCTCAGTGTCCTCGGAACCCGGCTGCTTTCCATGTTCCCTCGCGACTGCCCTGCTTCCCGCTGGGCCAAGTGGCATCGACCCAACGGGACCTCATGGCGTCTTTGAAGTCTTCAAGCGGCCCACGGCGCTTGCGACGGAAAAATGGGTCGATGTGTCCTTGAGCCGCTGGTTCTCGGTTTGCAGGGCTTGCAGTTGCTCATGCTGCGACCTCCCGAACGCGTGTCTCCAGGCTTAAGGCCCCCCCAAGCCCGGTTTGGGGGTGACATGGGTTGCTGGTTTCCCGTGGGGTTCAAATCTACCAATCCAAACCACCGAGTACGGGCTACCTGACTGTCTGCGAACTTTATCTGCAGTCATTGCAAATCAACCACCGGAAAAAATCAAACTTCCTCTGGTTGATGGGATGGTTTCACGTTCCCAGAAAACCAATGTGATGACACCCGGGCGTGTGTTAGCAAAGCACGTCCTCTCAGACTCAGACCGAGCCATCAGCACTGGACAAACAGCTGATGTTTATTCTCAAGAAGGATTTAGGGTTTAGAAGCACACGTCTTAAAGCAGTGGATCCCAGTTTCTCTTGTGGTAACATAGTACGGAACCAGCCATTGTCTTTCCTTTTTTAAAGGGTGGGTCCCTTGGTTGCCCGGCACGGATCCACCAGGTTATTTTTGAAGAATGGCAAGTCTGGACGGCCCGAGACATACCCAGGTGCAAAAGGGAGCAAGTGAAGTGGCTTCTTAACATGGGGGATGTGCTTTGTTGAGTGGCTCTTTCTGGCGGCCTTTTGGGTTCCCTTTACCCTCCCACCAAGTAACATGGAAGCTGACGTTCGGGAATCGGTCCCTTTAAGAGGAACCTGGTCCAAGCCAGGACCCCCCGAAACGTCGAACGGTTCCATGTTAGTTGGAAGGCTAAAAAACTTTGGGAGTGTCTGGTTGACTTTCCTTCTTTTTTTCTTCTTTTCTTTTGTAGATCTGGCTCTTTCTGGCTGCCTCCCTCTTTAAAAGGCAGCCTGAGACCAGAGCCACACCGAGTCCCTCGCCCGATTCCGCAGCCCGAGGGCCGGGCTCCAGTTCCCGGGACAGGGACTCGAGCAGCTCTTTGCAGCGGTCCATGGGAGCTTCGCGGCACGTGGGAAAAACGTCCGGTGCCACCAGCCGCAAAGCCCAAAGGAAGACGAGGTCCTCCAGAGAGGTTAGAAGAAGTTGGTCCCATTTTTTTTCTGCAGTCTATTTTGGTAGGGGAACCCTCCCCCCAAAAAGGACAAAAGGGCACTACTGGGGGGACCTAGACGACGTTGCTTTTCCCCCTCCCTGGAAAATGTTGCAAGAAGAGGGAACTCCCTTTGTCTGGGAGAAATATATGAAGCCAAGCACACCCAGAACCCCGAGCCTCTTGAGTGGGAACTCAATCAGATGAAAACCCCCCTCGCGAGTTGAAATTGTGGGAAGGTTAGGAAGTAGAAGCTGGCCATGGGAATCAATTGCAGTCCATGTGCCTCTGGAGATCCAATGGCTGCGGGAGCCAAGTCGATTGGAGACAAGTCATGCAGGCTGGGAGGTCGGTGTTGGACCAACACATGCGAAAATTGATAAGAACAAGGTAAAAAACATCACCAGGTCCAGTTGCCTTGGTGGCAATATATTGAGCGGTGCAACTGTTGCCCTCGAAAATGTCAAAAACCGCATGGCGCTCATGTCATTGCAACAGGGCAAAGGTAGTTTGGCACCTTCTGCTGATCCGATCATATAGCACAAACATACAAAAGCAGCAGCCACCTGTGATGCAAGCACACAAGTAAACGAAACAATCCATCCTCAATGTTTCAACACGCGTGGGAAATTAAACGCGCCTAGCGTCCAAACATGTCCAAACCTTCTTTCTACGACATGCATGGTGTTGCATGACAACAAGCCTCTCAGCAACACACACATTGGAAAGCATTTGGGAATCATAATGTGTCCCAGAGCGTTACAGCACGTGCCCAGACTGCATGACCCTATACGCCATAGGCAAGCGCAAATCACTTGGACAAAGCCATGCTGTTTGTCTCCGACCACCTGGGAGACCCTCACGGCGGCCTGGGATCCATATTTCACCACACGCGGGTCATTTTGTTTCACCACCAGGGAGCGCAGGATTCCGTCTTCTTCCCTCTACCAGGGTTCCATTTCGGCTACCTATTTTGATTTTTGACCCACATGTCTCGGGGAATTTGGTGCGGAGCCGCTGGCTCAGAGGCCAATGGCAACAGATATGTCCCACGCCTGGGAGGAAGATTGCGCAGAACAGGGGCCAAGTCCTCGGTGAGCACACTCCGGGCTTTGGCATACGTCCCATTTCCAGGGCGGGTGTCCTCAAGTCTTGTCTAGGTCCTCCAGAGGGGTCAGAATATGTTGGTCCCCGATTTTTTTCTGTAGCCTTTTTTACTGAAGAAAACCCTCCCCCAAAAAAAGAAATGGTAAAAGGGCACTACTGGGGGACCTAGTTGTGACACAAATACCATGCCCATGGGAGTCCAGAAGCTTCACACGGCTTCTCCGTTTCGGGTCGAAGTTGGTTGAAACAGGGCTCAACCAACAAATGTCTGCAAACTCTAGTGCAAAAGTTCCAAAGCCTAACTACCATATCCTTACAGAACTCCTAGCTGTTTAGCTCCCTCTGTACAGCAGATTTGGATCCAGGGTCCCAGCCTCCCGCCCCCCCCCCCCCCCCGGCTCCCTAACCCAACCAACGAGCTAACCAAGCGATCTCCAAGCGAAAGACTCGGAATTCATGGTGAGCTCGGTCGGATGGAAAAACCGGCCACCGGCGAGCCAGCCATCAAATAAAAACGGGCACCTTCAATGGGCCCAAGTGATCTCTTTAAACCTGGGGGAAACATTTCGATCGGATCTCACAATTACTCGAACCAGGGATTCCTCCACGTCCCTTTGTGGAGCCTCCAAAAGGGGAGGCATAAGCTCAATGGACACCACCGGTCAACTGAGCAATCTTTGATTTGGGGAATGAGCAAAACCTGTGAAAGGGCAACTGGGAAGTGGGTAATCTTTTCTGAACCAGGGCCGGATTTAGCTAGATGGCTGAACCCCGACATGTTGGTTAATTTATTTCCCGGCGGCGAACTGTGAACGGGGAAAGGCGTAAAGTCTAAAGATCCCGACGCAGCTAAGTACCATGCTGTAGCCTTTTGATTGGACCCCTTCCGGCGTTCTGCGGCCAAGTGCGTGCTTCTTGAAGCTTGACAACACCCTCCTGCTATGCAACTCTCATCAGCTCTGGCAGACCCAACTACCAAGCAAACATGCTCAATCTATTGTTGCTTGAGCTTCCAAACTCACATTGTCCAAGCTTACTCTTGTGTGCAAACGACTCATAACCAAATTCTGGCGTCAAAGGGGGCCTACCCAAAGCTATTTGCAGAATCCGAAAACGACAAGGGTCTATAGGTCTGTCAAACCCCCCTTCAAAGCACATGTTGATTTGGGTATGAGCTCGAATAGGGACCCTTTGGTGAATATCAACAGGTCGGGATTCATGTCCACCAACCTTAAGTCCATGGCAAATTGCTGGATAGTCCAATTCCAGCAGCCTTCCCCTGTGATTTATTGGGTATCTTCGCTGTAAGGTTTCCCCACACTACCTCACATCCCAGTGGACAAGTGAGGAACTGCTTTCTATGTAAGCCGAAGGCGCGTCATTCGGATATGGAAGGCGCTGACACTAGAGACACAGAACCTCAGAGCGCGGGGCACATGTGCTATGGTCATGACTCCTGCACGCTCACGGTCCGAATTCCATATGGGGGTTGATGAACAAGTCAAGTGAAGGGGACACTTCAAGTGGGAACATGCTGACTCACAAACTATTGCTTTGGGCCGGGCGGCTTGCCCTAACACCACGGTTTGAGGCTGGTATTTCCTTGCCTTCTATGGACCTATGCACCCATGGACACCTTGGGTCCCTCCGCTGGCGAGTTTCCGGAGAAAAAAAAAACAGCTCAGTGGACCCCACCCTTGAAGTCAAAGCAGCGTCCAATCACTAAACTTGCTGACCACTAGAATGGGCACACTGGGGGACCTAGACTTGTTGTTGACCACTAAAATGGCCTTTCCAAGAAGTTTCAAGTCCAGGAATCGCAACTCAGATGATGGACCAAACCTCTGGCAGTGCAAGATCTGTCTCAAGTCCAAACGCCTCCCCTAATAAGCATGTCATGAAACCAAGCAAGCCCTCCCCTTTTCCTTTTTCGTTTTTTTCGGATTCCGTGCCAAAAGGGGCATCAAACGGACACACTTGTTTGACTCACTCGCCGTCTCGCCGAGGCGCTCCGGAAGGTCCGCAGAAGTAGTTTGAGCCGAAATCGAAGAAGGAGCGACGCTCACAAGTCGCAGAAACCCAAAGGGACTTACCTGGGTGTGAATTTTAATTAATGGGAAGCTTACAAAAGGTCGCCGGAACATGCCCCCCAGAATTCTCCAATCAGGTTCCATGTTAATGGAAAGCAGGGGAAATAAGTCAACTTACAGGACGCTTTACTTCCCCTTGGGGAAGGGACCAACATATGCTCCACTTTGCGCGAACAAAACAGCACATGAGATGGTCCGTATTTCAACGGAGACAGCAACTGAAGCGTCCGAAAGCGAAAGGAGCCGTATCCTTGGCAGAATAAAGGCCCGCATGCCCATTGCCGCGCTAAGATGGTTTCTACCCCCAAGCCACTGCCCCCCAAGAAAGGGGTACCTGAGACGGTGTCCAGTACCCCCAAACCACGACCCCAGGGTGAATTGGGGTATATGCACCTTGTTTTGGGTGGCTATAAAGTGGCTGTACATCCCCATTAACCCCCCTGAGGGTAGCTTCAGTTTGGGTTTTGGGGTACTGGAAACCCATCTTAGGGGGCAGATTGCCTGCGAGTGGCTCTATATCCCACTCCCTTGCGTCCCTAGATGCCAAGTGAGCATGCGCCGGACGTCCATATGGCCACGAGGCCTGCATGGCCTATCCAAACAAGAGTCAATGTGCACGTAGAGGCGCTGCAACATGCTTTTCTCACAAGTATCGATCTGTTGTTGAAGTCGCATCAAGTATGTACACGCACAAACGCCTGAGTACATAAATGATATCCAATGTATATACAGCTGTATATACGTTTATATCAATATCTATACATACGTGTGTAGACATGCACAAAACAGGCAATCATGCATCTAGATGTGCACCTGTATGTCCAGAATAATATGCATATGTATACACACGTAGATAGATGTGTTTGAACAAGTCTGTGCAGCCAGGGTGCACTTTCGCCCAAGTCTGCCTGGCAAACGAGCGCTGACCCGTTGACCCCTCTGCATTTGCCCCAAGCAAAGGACCCGTTCAAGGAAGGTTGCAAGCCCCCTTTGTATGGTCTATGAAGAAAAGGGGGTGGTCTTTTGAGGGTACCCTTTTTGGGCTTGGATTGAAGGAAAACCAAAGGACACCCACAACTTTCTACTGGGTGTCAAAAATATAACCCGACACAGGTTCAAACACTGTCTTTCCCAAACTTTCATGCAAAGCGGCAGGCCGATAGGTTGCAAACTGATGGGAACACCACATTTTTCACCCACCTGTTCCTATTATTTCCACCCAATTGAAACTGACTCACTGGGTCCCGCTTTTTGGGGGGACCAGAACTTCCAGTTCCAGGTCAGGGATTTACAGCCTTTAGCTGGGCTAAGCCGCAGCGGCCATGAGTTTTCAATCCATTCGCTCAAGCACCCCCGTACATCATGTTGCCCCAAACCCTGAGTTCAACCTACTTGCACCGGGTAGTTAGCATCAAGGGACCCCCAAACATAGGGAAACAAGGCCATCCCCCATGATGACTTTCAGAAGCCATCCCAAAGTTATGACTTTCAGAAGCCATCCCCCATGATGACTTTCAGGAGCCATCCCCCATGATGACTTTCAGAAGCCATCTCATTTCACTTGGTATCACAAGTCATTGCTGCAAGTTTCATTTTCGAAAACAGGGGTCAGTGTCAAGGCTGACATCTCTCCAAGACCATCCGCGTTCGACAGTGCGTTGCCGCATTGCCCGGTCGCCATGCAAAAATGGAACCGGCTTCATTCCTGTGCTCGGCAGGTCTGAGCTGCCTTGCTTTGAAACTTCCGAGCTTAAACAGCGGGTGGCTAAGACGCCTGAAATTCTGAAACGAGTTGGTCCTGACATCGACAGAAGGGCCCAATCTCACGTTCCACTTCTACCCTTGGATGTTCATCAGGCTCACGGAAAAGGCGAGGCTTGCCGGCCGCGAGCTCGAGGTGCTCTGCACTCATTGGTTGAAAAAAACACCAAGTCTCCCATCGCAAGGTGAAAAACTGGGGGCCTTAAAGGCTACGTCCAAAAACCAGCTGCAAGGCGATCCTCGGCCGGTAGAAGCTGAGGATACAAATCCAGATGAGTTATAATATTTCACCAACCTGAAATAAGTGGTTGGGGGATATTCCCCACATGAACCACCATTTGTGAATTCGGTCGTGTGAGGTCGCTATAATTCACCCAAACAAATTGACAGCGTTGAAGCAAGGACCGACCTGACGTGACAAAATTTCCGCCTGGTAGCGCCCATTGGGGCAGAGCTCACAGCCTCGGAGGAGCGCCCTGGAGGTGAAACCTCTGAGGGCAAAGGGGGCTATGGGATGCTATGTGTGTTCTTCTTCTTTTTTTCGGGGGGATTAGGGGGGACCTAGGGGGCTATGTTTTTTGGTGTTTCCCTCTGGAAAAGCATTCACCAAGTTGATCTTGTAGCAGCCAGCTTGGGCAACTTACTATTGACCCCTTTTGTAGAGGGCCTTGACCATGAAAAGGCTTCTTCCGCCCATGTGAGCTCGCTGTAATTTGCAGATCCATTCCGTTGTTTCCTTCATGAACTCTCCCCCAATAAACAAACATGGAGCTGCAACATGTCAACCAGGATTTCCGTTCTAGGCCCAAGGTCAGCCCAATGATATCCCCACGTCGAGTCACGTGCCCCAATGGACCTGCTTGCACATTGGACACAAAGTGATCGCCTTGGGGGTTGCAAAGAAAAACAAATCGTTGGCCCAAAGGGTGACGTTTACAACCACTCGTTTCCATACATTTAGTGCCATCCGCAAAGCTACCGACCCATGGTCTCAAACGAAACCGCCACAACACAGTGAAATCTGGACCGCTCAAAACTGGGCTGGTCTCAGATCCCCGCTAAAAGTTTAACTTTTAGTGGTTTAAATGGGAACTACCACTAAACACTAAAAGGCTAAGAAGCTAAGGGGATGGCTGGGAGCTTAACACACAATTTTCGCCCAACGCTTTTTGCACGGCTCAATCCAAGTCGCTGGACAGGCCTGCCGTGCCTGAGAAGGTCCCAAAGCCGCACGCCTGGCAGTTGGCCTCGCTGGAGTAGCCAAAGCCCTGGCCCACTTTGCCCGCAGGACAGTCCTGGCGAACCGCATTTGAGCCCAGGATCGTTCGAACCACGGCTTTCCCTCCCGCATCGGTGAGCGATCCGTCACATCAGTTGCCCGGTGCCATGGCTCGCAAAAAGTCAAGGCAGTTTCGCAGGGTCCTTCCCATGGCCTTCCTGAAGCTTCTTAACCCCGAAACAACCCTTCCTATGACTCGACTCCCTTTTGGAGTCACCAGGAAGGCCCATCAAAACATGACTGCATTTTACGGGTTCCATGGCGAGGCGAAAACGGAATGCGGCCAGCTTCAAAGCGGAAGGCCGATCCCGGGCGGTTTTCGGAGCATTTCAGGCGATTTCAGGGTCTTGTCCAAGGAACGGGCTGAAAGTTGCGACAAGTGACAGCTCAGACATGTTCAGAGATGTCTTAAAATGCCCTGTCAACCTGCGAAATTTGGTGCTCCCAGAAAAACCGCTGGCCTGACAGGCGTCCGACTCCGAAGTGCCTCCTGCCTGGCCAGCGAAACAATGGAAGCTGAGGAGCTGAGCCCAAAGACTCACTGGTTTGGTTGAAACAAAATAGACGGCCCTGATTTACCCGGAGGTTCACTCAACTACCACATAAACCATCTATGTTCAACCAAAAGGGACACCTATGTTTATTCTAGGGGTTGATTCCTTTTCCATTCTTTTCAACCATCGTTCTTTTCAAGAACCAGATCTGTCGTTGCCCTCCCACCTCAGCATGGAACCAAACATTCAGGCCTGGTAAAAAGCCATTTTCCCTTTAAAGGGACCATTCCCCTGTGAGGCTCCATGTTCATGAACAGGAAGATAGCCCTGAAATCCCACCACCCAACGACAAACTCAATGGCCGGGGTCGTTAAACCCGCTCCCACCGGCACATCTGGAAGCTATGGTCTTGGTGGTTGACCCCTCCACGAAAAGTGTGTCCTAACTTTTGCTGGGTCCCATGGACATGTCTAACAAGATCCGTTAGCAAGTACCCATGAATGCCGAGACCGAGTCATCGGCAGAGTCTCAGGAAAGGTCCAACAAGAAAAAAAGGAACCTCAAGAGAGATACTGGGAACCCAGCATTACTTGGTCGATGTTGGAAGGGAGCAAAAAATACATTTTAGCAGTTAAGTGGATTTGGATTTCAACCACTAAGCCACCAGAATGCAGAAATGAATCCAATGTTTCCCAACGACCACCATGAATACCCAGCCGGAGTTTCTCAACGCCCCCCCCCCCCCGCCAAAAAAAAACACAAAAACGGAGAAGCCCGGAAAAAGCCGCACCGAGAAGCCCACCATAGGCCTTGTGCCGCGAGCTGCATGCACATTCTTTCCGCGATATGGGTTGGGGTGGGTTACCACGGGCCGCAACAGCGCTGAAATATTGAAACTCGGGAAGTTTTCCCGGTGGAGGTGAGCAAAATCTGTCTGAAAGGGAACCACCTAAGCGAAATGATGCCAGGGCCCCATCAAGCGCAGCGGATGCGCCTTGATGCCGTACTTGCCCTGCCCGCAGTCGCTACACTCCTAGCGGCTTTTGACGACGAAAATTTGACGACGTGCCATGAGCCCGAGGTCCAAACAAGCCGGAAATCTCCCATGTGGTGGGGGGTAGTATCAACCTTGGGCACTCCACCCATGTCCGGAGCCAAATATTCGGGGTTCTGAAGGTTCTGCAGGCCCCAATGGCCTTGGAGCGCTTCGGGCAAAGCCTCCACCTTCCTTTCCACTACTTGCTTGCTGCTGTTGACCCCTCTGCAAAAGGGACTCACCTTTTGTGGGCTCAGTTGGAAAACCGGAAAACTTCCAGGCTCAAGATCCAACCCACCAGCAATCAAGACTAGGCCAAGCAATTTAGGGCAAAGCGCCATTTCGCTGAGAAGGCCCATAGCACCTTTGAACATTCGAGCAAAAGAGCGCTTGCCGGTCGACCGATTCTCGAGCTGCGAAGCGGGTGCGCAGCGGGTTTCCCTGTGCGCACCAATTCCCTTCAAGAAATCGAGCTGGACTGTTTGGATTCTTTTTGACTTGAAACCTTACCCAACCCCTTCCTTGATTTCCCCAAAGGGGTGGACAAAGCCCAGGGATGCGGGATGCCCTGGCACGGAAGAGCTGTGGATGAGTGAAGGGGTGGTTTCATCCAAAAAGAAGGGATCTGCGAATTTCCAGCACTCGCCTCTACACCACAATGGTTCAAGCTTTTGGGCTGCTATGGCTGGAAGCCAAGCAGAGATGATACATCCCCCATCCACCTGGCACCCATTTGGAACCAACATAGAATGAACCCCTCGGCGAACACCAGGGGAAAAACCTATGAATGAAAGGAATCTTCATCAGGTGACTGAGCCAACTCCCAAACAGAAGTGCCCTTCTTCCGGCCTCAAATGTCTTCTTCCGAAGTTGAAAGATTTCCATTTGCTCAAGGTCCCTGGGAAAAAACATCAAGTGGTACCCTTTAAAACCAAGGGAACATGACACATTTTCTCGCTCAAGCAACTGCTAGGTTCTTGAGTAGAGAGGTTAGAATAAGGGTACCTTTTTTTTGTTCTGTAGTCTATTTTCGTAGGGGAACCCTCCCCCAAAAAAAGGGTGAGAAAGGGCACTACTGGGGGACCTAGTCATTTAGCTGGGGTTCATGTCCACCAATTGAGATGTGGCTTCAACTCTTGAAAATCGTAGCCGGTTGGTGGGATCTGCCGATCAAAGGGGCTCCAAGGGCACCTAGGGGGACCTAGACTGGAAGCTGAATGAGTCTTGGGCCCTCTAAGCCGCCCTCGTCGGCTCCTCGGCGCCCTGGGAATCCGAGTATTGGCCCTGTTCGCATGGCACGCACCCCGTGCGGAGCTCGTTCACCACGTAGCCTGCCTGAGCCAAAGCGCGACTGCCCGAGGCACCGAGTCTCAGTACCCGAGTGGATTGACCTAAGAAAAGTCCAAACTGGATACTTGCCACCAATTCACATGGAAGCCGGCGTTCGGGGGGCCTGGCTTGGATCATGTTCCTTTTAAAGGGACCCCCGAACGTCAGGTTCCACGTCCCATTGGGTATGTGTGGCGCTAGGGACTGCTTGATGTGAGGCTTGGCCAATCTCAATCCAAATATATATATATATATACATGGGGAAATTGGTTGTTTCGTTGTCCATATGCATATATATATATATGCATATATATATATATATTTATTTATTTTGGGAAACTGGTTTCGCTGAAAGGGGAGAATCAATGATTGAAGTTGAACAGCCTAATACTAGCCTAATGAACATATTGTGTTGTTTCTTCTTTTTTTTTGTGGAACAACACGTCAGGCCAAACACTCACCCAGCCAAGGCAATCGTAGAAGAACTGGTTTCGGTACAGCTCGCCAAGTAAACCAGAGATGATCCAACAAGTAGTCAAGCTTGAGGAAGTGACACGATAAGAATACAAAGGCAGAGCCCTGGAAGGATTAAACACAAATCAGCATGTATGAACACATACAACGCATGTACGCACTCGACATCATGCCAATGCAGAAATGCATTTATATCCCTGAATACACTTACCGCGCCCCAGTGGCTCAGTGATCCTGGCAAAAAGTTGAATCACCTTCTGGTTGATGCAACTTGGCAGTCTCCGCTGAACACCTGGACAAAGAACCGATTTTTGATCATGTTTCATCCAAGTTTTCAAGTGCTCCGAAATTTCCGGGTCGGGATTTCAACCTACAGGGCAACCCAAATCAACCAAACAAATGGTCTAGCCTCAAGGTTTGGTTGCCTGCTTGAAAGTGACCTCCTCAAAATGACACTCTAACTGGATGATTTCAAGGGAAACCACCCAAACATAATCTTAAAAACCCCTCAAACTACCTGTAGCTGCTCTTTCAACCCAGCGGCCCAAATCCAAACCACCCACCCCCTCCCTGGGCCAGCCTCGCACTGCGAGCACGAGGCCTCGAGCCACTGCAACGGGAAGAAACCAAATGTGTATCAACATAGGGGTAAACACAGGGGATGGTCCATGGTTTTTTGGGAGAAAACAACAACTAAAACACGGTCCACGTTTTTTGTTGGGAACAAAAACAAACTAAAACGGAATTCGACATGTTTACAACACGCGGCTCGTCATCGCCGTGATGTGCCAGATACTTTCTCCCTGGAGTACCCGGTTTCCCCTCAAAATGTGTGGTTTTATGTTGGGGGGGCGAAGGGTTGCCTGAAAGTTCCCTTACAAGGACCAACCAATTCTGTCACTTGAAATTTGTCACATATCTTTCCATTTGGCGTCCCTTTAAATCAACCTAGAAATACCTAAGCCTGGGGAGAGTACCCAACTGTCACGGGGGTTCCATCGGAAATGAAGCTATATTTGAGAACCAGATCCCTGTGCTGAACTTCAAAGTATATGGATACGAAGGAACATTAGTCATAAAATTAATGCTGTACATGTTTTGCGTGCGAATCGACATGCGTATATGTAGATACAAATCTATAGCACTGGGATCTTCCAAATCATGGAAATTTAATGTAAAATCCGGAGACTACCAGATTGTTGAGGGTCTCAGTGAAAAAACACGGAGTTGTCAAACTCCTGGCTTTTGAGGTAAAACTCCTAGAAATTGATTGTCGCTTCTGGCAATGGTTTGCACACCTGAACCCAGAAATCGCAATTATTCGGTACTTGACGGAAGGAGCCCTCCAATTCAGAAATATTCTGAATCAGAATTGTTCACCTGAATCAGAAGCACTTATTCAGAATTCAGAATTATTCCGAATTCGGAATTATTGCCTTTGGGCGACAAATTGGCAAACCCGGAAAGCACCACAACTGAAACTCAGCGCAAAACACCTGCAAAAAGCCCGCAACCTCCAACAAAAACCCGCAAACTCCCGCAAATCCAAAAAAAGACAGAGTTTCCGGAGAGTGCATAGTAGTTAATCAGTGGAATACCCACTCAAGTGAGCAGAGTTGCATAATTGCTGGGATAGTGTACAGAGTTGTACAATTGCGGGCCCAAACAACAAAGAACAAAAACAACAAGACTTGTTTCCAATTGTTTCCCCCAAGAAGCTTTCCTAGTGTTTGATGTTCACTCTGCCTTCTGCAAGCCACTCCTGCTTTCTAATTCATGCATTTGAAACACCTGAAACGGTCTCCTGGAAATAACCCGGAGAAGGGGACAAAAACCAGAGAATTGGAGACGGAGGACCCAGGGCACATATTAGGTCACACAGGGCTCGGGAAAGCACGGGTGCAGAATCTCAAGCCAAAGGCAGGCTGAAGGCAAACAGGACCTTCCGGACTTTTTTGCCCTTTTGGGCCGAAAGGAACCCAAAGGCCGATTCGCTTCGACTGGCCTGAGCGGACACGCTGTAGCGCGCGGTGGGACACTGCTCGCAGCCTCCGAAGGAAACGTATCGCACGGTCGAACCCCCGGCGAGCGAAGCACACCAAACAGAGCTCCTGCGTTGGTCGGTTTGGCCACATGTTCCTTTGTTAGGGGTGATGCCTCAAAAGAAGGACGCTGTTTTGGTTCCCCAGAAGCTGAAAGCTACGGGTGGCTGCGGGGTCGATAGGCCCCAAATAGGCTCCGGAGTGGTCTGGAGCACCGCTGACAGGTTGATGCGGTGTCTGGGCGGTTCCAGGAGATTCCATGGAGGGTGCGGGAGAGTTCTGTCCGTTGGGTTCCGATTCAGCGGTCCGACATATGACCATTGAACATGCCTGGGCTTGTTGTTTTGAAGGGAAGCTCACAAACACAACCTGTCAATGGGCACCGAAGGTTTTGGAGCTCGTCAGAAAAGCTGGGATTTCTGTTGGGTGTCTGCATTTTGATTTAAGACAACTCCCTTCTCGGCTTCCTTTCGGGAAAATACATGCAAGGACCTTCCAAGGCGGTCAAGTACCCGAAATGAGGCCACTTATGTACACATGGACCAAAAGTGCTGGGGCCGAGCACAGGAAAGACTCAGCTCTTTAATATTGACGGTCTGGAAAGTTTCTCGAAGGAAACCGTGCAACCCTCTGACCAAAATTCCTGGGGTGCATAGGTCTCCAGCAACCTGGTGCCGAGAAAGCGGTTGAAAGCTCCCATCTCAACAACAAAGTGACCCCAGCACAGCACAGGCCAATCATGATGGTGCCTTGCAACGCCATGCTTCAAACTCTGTGCCTCTTCCACGATCTGCATACATGGCAACTGCTCTTCTTTTCTTCCGTCGTGCGGCGACATTCACAGTCGAAAACTGGCCTGCACCAAATGCGCCACTCACAGTCATCTCCCTTCAACGGCAACAACAAGACGTGAAGGTGGAGAAGCATATGCGGCACACATGAGATGTTGGACAGGCCGTGGTGCGGCTGCTTTTGTTGCGTGCTGCCTGGAAAGTCCAGCAGAAGCCGCATTCCACGGGCTGCGCGCTTGCAGAGGCATTGCGGGCTTCTGACACGGCGGGGCTCTGCGTCTCATGCTTCTCGCCTGCTGCTGTAGTCTCCTCAGCGCTCAGTTTGGGCGCCATGAGAATAGGTGTAGCAGGGAGGGCGGGCGGGTGTCGCGACTGACAACTAGAGGTTCCCACGCTTAGAGCCCAGCATTTGGCACCACAAGTATGTTCAACCATCATGTTTATAAGCAATGTGCAAAACACAACACAATTGAGGGGTTGCCTTTGTTGTGTTAGATAGGACTATCACCTGCGGTGAGGGCGTCCATCTCAACAACAAAGTGACCCCAGCACAGCACCTAGGTGGGGCTGTCCGCAGCGTGGTCAAGACATACGTGACCACCATAGGGAGAAGTTCTAAGTCTGAAGCCCTCCATCCCCGGTTGGAGATTTCAGACAAGTACGCCCTGGCCGGCTTGAGCGTGCAGCCGTAGAGCTGGCCTTGCGCGAAATTGAGTTGCCCCTGCAAGGATGATGGCAAGCATGGCTTGCCTGTTCAAGATGGCACACAAACCTTCTGCAATGTTCTGCACTCTCTCGGGTTTGTTGGACACGGTAACTTGTCCCTTGCCCGAGTCCCCCAGGTCTACAATCAAACCAAGCACTTGAAACTTGTTGTTGAAAGGGAGGGATTTGCTGCCTCCTTCTGCAAAGGCCCACCCAAGCGCTTTGAGCAACGTTTCAAGAAAGCCTCTGCTAGAACTAGCCCCGCGAGTCAACTCTACCGAGGGGTAATCGTCAAAGTAATGAGTTACCCAGCAGTCCCCTAGCCCTACTGCTAAGTGCCAAAGAGATGCTGCCGCCCGATTGAATGCATAAACGCTTGATGTGGCACCGAACGGTAGAGCCTGAGAGATAAAGTATTGAGGCTTGCTCTCAGCCGGATTCCACGCACACAACACTGCTGCCCAGCTCTGCCTGGAGCTTGATGGCAGTTGCTTGTACGCCGATCGCAAATCAAGCGTGCGGCCAAGCAGACTCAGGTCTTGGCCCCAGTCGGGATGCACTGAGCCTTGCGAGTGGCTGTCGTCTGAGAGCCTTACCCGAAACCCTTCAGACTGCGCACAACATCTCATGACAGTCAGAATCAAGCATACGAGAGTGTCTGCGTCCATGAGTTTGAGGCGGTTGAAGCAACTGAAAGCCGAATTCAATCCGGACTCAAGGCCGTCGTCTATGATTCTCACTTTGGATTTCTGTTGTAAAGGGAACCTGCGAGTGCATATCCAAGTCTCGTGGCCAAGATATTGGGACACTTGCTGCTCAGAGCAAAAAGGCCCCTTCAACCACCCCTTGTCCCTTTCACTCAGCGTCTGTGTCCACAACTCCTGATCCATGTCCAGACTCTTGGATGGGCGGACTTTGCCACGACGGCTCTGCGCCGCCACACAGCCTGTTGCTGAAGCTGTTCGGGAGTCATTTTGGCCGGAGTGTAGCCCCATGGATACACGCTTGAGTGAGGCGCTGGGCCCACGAGACTGAAGCCTTCACGGGCCTCAGTCACGACTTTGGCATCAGGGTAACCAGTTTGTTCTAACAAGCGTTCCCATAAAAGCGTTTGCTTTGATCCAAGAACCTCTCTTACCGATGGGCTCCAGGTGGCTCTAAGCTGCTCTTCCTGGGTTCGCAAAGATTCCCTGAGAGCCAGAATTTCCTTGCACTTGGCAATCGTTTGTTCTGCAATCTTGTTGGGCCCCAAGCTAAGAACTCGGCAAATGCTCCTTAGTCATATGTCTGGCAAGGGAAACGCAGCGTCCACGGGGTGTCTTAACTTCAAGGCGGCATCTATGGTTTGGGGGAAGCCTCGGTAGACTCCAACTAGGTCTTCGCCATGCTTTAGCGGTGGTTCAACGTAATATCTTGTTCCAGGCTGAGACTCGCTCTCTTGTTGCAACCTTTGGGCAACCTGATGAATCGGGGGTTCGAGGGATGAATGCTGAAGCGCGCTGTCGCCTGCCGTGTGCGGCATGTGCATTCCGTTATCACCCCCTTTTTCAAGCTGCATTGGAATGGCCTTGAGTTGCTTAAAGGACTCAAACTGCCTGGCTACTTCGGGCCTTGTTACCAACCAGTACTCGGCTAGCAACGGCGGTAAGGCCTTTTTGGCAAATTGCCTTGCGTGTCTGGCAGTGACGCTGTTGGGTTGCAAGGCAGCAGAGGGGACAGTGGTTCCTCGCGCTTGCCATGCGCACGCAAGGCACCTAACCATGGCTTCGCAAAGCTCTTTGGGGCACACAAGGTCCAGCGCACCTTGATCGTGACCGTGGTTGCCATTGCACGCCAAGGCCATTGACGAGCAGACGCCCTTCGTGGCACGCAAGGTAATCCAGGTGCCTTGGCCAGAGCCAAACATGCAGGCCTGAAGGGCCACATCCTCCAGCTGCGCCCAGAGCGGGCTAAGTTCTGGGCATGTGTCTGCAAGCGACTCTACGACTGTCCAAAAGTGCGAGTTTGACGCGTTGATCACACTCACAATACTACGCCGAGTGACCGCAATGGCTGCTACAACCAGCGTGAAAGCATACAACTTATTAGTCGCTGCCACTTGCGCTGCGTCTGCTGCTTGCAGGTGCGGACGCCCTAGCAAGTACTGCGCAGACCTCAACGGCTTGTTGTCAGCATGCTGCGCGCTAGACGGAAGTGCCTGCTCCGAAGCACGAGAAACTGCCTTTCGGGGTGGGGCCAAGTGTATGGCCCCGATGTTTGCATTGCACACCAGGTCCAGCAGGATTGACTGGTGATGGGTGTTTGTCAAGTCTAGCACTTGCATTGAAACAAGGGCTCCGCGACAAGTGGTCCTATCAACCGGGTGCACTACGGCCTCCAAGCGAGATGCCTCGCGCGACAAGGTGGCTTGCCCTGCAAAAACCTCAACAAAAAGCAACTCTGCTGACGGCACGGAAAAATTCGCTGGCTGCAGCGCTAACAAAGGCATTGGCAGCGAAAACTTAAAATTCCACACATGCAAATCTGATGATGCAATGTTCTTATGGCTGTCCGTGTGGCAAACAGCGGCTTGGCCGATGGAGCCACGCGATCCGAACGCATTGTGATCATGATTGCTAGCAGAGCCAGAAGTGGCTTGGCCCGCTCTGGTAAGGCTCTGCTGCGCTATGGTATTAGCGCTAGTGGGCCCGTCAACAAGGTCAAAGGAAGATTGCCACCCCTGACTTTGCCCGTGCTCACCAGCGTCGTGACCAGGCAAGGAGCCTAGTCACTCGTGCTTGTCACAGTCTGGATAGGGATGCTTGCCAAAGCAACCCTGCTTCCAACACACATGGGCACCACGGCGGCAGGCTTTGCCGACAATCGGGCACACTTTCCTGTTGTACCCAAAGCAGATTGGTTGGTTAGCGTCCGTGCGGGTCACGCAATTGGCAGGTATGTCAATCTTCCCTGACCCTTTGGACGCACTTTGCGCTGGGCCCTGGTCCTGGTTTTGTCTTCGGCTTTTTGCTCTTTGGAGCGGCACGTGGCACACTTGCCGACCGCTTGGCCCCTGATGGCAGCGGCAACAGGTGGTATGTGACCTCGGCGTGGGACTGGAATTTCTCGACTGCCTGATCAATCGGCTTTGGGTCAGCAGATGTTAGTACCCGGCCTCGCGTCTCTTGGGAGACCAACTGCCACAGGGCTTGGTCAGCGGCGATCACTTGGGCCACAGACACATGTTCGGAACCCTGGCACGACTTCCTTGGTCAGCAAGCCAAACAAGCGGGCAGTGAAGGCATCAAGCACTTGGAAGGTCGCAATATTTGCCATGTGGAATGCCAACGCTCTCCTTTGCATACAGAGACGAACCCTCAGTTCTCCTGTCATGTCGGCAACCGGCTCTGCTGTCTTTTTGCCCAACTTGAGCAAACCGTCAGAAGTGAACTCGAAGGCCGGCGCTTTTTTGGTATGGTGGATCTCTGCTTCTCGGGAGGTGCAAGTTGCTAAGTCCACATAAGTCAAGGCCTGCTCTTCTGCCATTGCCATCACCCTATCAACCAAATTGTGAGATGGTTCCAGCTGCGCGTCAATGGTTAGACCTGGCAAGGCTTCTCGTAGCCTTTTCAAACGATCCAGTCTCTCTGGCATTGCTAATTTGCGGGGCTCCTGGCCTTCACGGCGATCCACCCTAGCGCGCAGGTCTTGCACTGCTAGAGTGTGCGACTCATAGAAGAGTCTTCGGTACACTGTTTGATTTGGGGTTGGTTTTGCAAGGCCGTCTCCCTGTAAGGCCCTGTGTCGATTTCGGGGATAACCATGTAGGAAAACCCTGGTGCCCTTTTACTTTTGCACGGGGTTTGTGAATTGCACGGCTGACGCATTTGCAAGTTTGATGTCAACTGCAATTCTTGTTGAGGCTCGAGGGTTAGACCAATTGAAGTCATGGCTGTGGACTCGGTTGCGTCTTTTCAAGCAAGGGCTGCCGAGCTCGGCATCCCAGCAGTGCAGATCCAGAAGCTGGCCGCGCGGGATGTTGACACACATGCTAGGTTTGCATTTGTGTCTGCATACCAGCCGCAAAGCCCGGACGACCGACCTTTGCAGCAAGCGCTGCAAGATCTGTTAGGCGCCCCCGCCGGTGACCCACCTAGTACCAGTGTTTCCACGAACCCCAACTCTCAAGGTTTACTTGACCCTCAGCGCTCCACTGGAACACTTTTGCGCGGGATTCACCCTGCGCCACGGTCTGCGCAGGAGGGCATTGCCTGCCTTGCGCCCGCTTGCACCCGCACGTCTCTTTAGCGTTGCGGCATGATGCGAAGCTTTGCACTGCTCACACATTTGGGCACCTAACACGGAAGAGTCATCAGGCTTAATGTAATTATCGCTCCTAATTCTGCCACATGCGAATCTGCTGCCGTCCAGTATGAGGTGAAGCACTCCAGAAATGCGATGTTGTTTAAACCGCTCCGGCTCTCTGATGACCACGCACCTCCTTTCAGGAGCTGGAACTATCTGAGCTATCTCGCTTTCCAGTTCTTCTGCGTCGCACACCTCAGAAGCAGACTCCTCTGCCTCCACAACTGGCGTGTTCATGTTGGCCTCATGCGTCGCCGACTCTTCCTCTAGCCTTTGAATTTCCATGAGGACTAGTTCTGAGGCTGAAGCATCGGGAGCAAAAGAGCGCTCTCTGATTCTCCGAATCATCATTGCCACTCGTACAAGAATAGGCACGAAGTTGGCACGGCCGTATGTCAAAGCAGAAGTACTTGGGCGATCCATATGATGTCCCATGATCTGTCGCTCTGACAGCGTGTATTTCCCATCCTTTGCCAGCCATGACAACAAAGTGCACTTGCAGGAGTGCGTTGATGGCAACACATCCAAACTATGATGCTCCAAGGACGCTGCTGACAAGCACTCGCGAAGGCATAGCGTGCCTTCTCCTGATGTCATACGTCTGTTTGCCCAGGCTCCGGTTTGCTCGTTCCAGGCTGGAAGCAAATACGGCCGTTTGCCCAAAAGCTTCTCGCTTTTGAGAAGACTCATCCACTTGGCGGCCCACCCCTGATCTGCGAATCCTTGGCCCAGACATACCAAAGGCAAAATTGCTGTGCGCCTATCTGCGCTGGTGGAAGTTTTGTGTCTCCTTGCCCCGGCGTGAAGCACACAAAAACCCCGCGCTTCGTCCAGCTTCATGTCCTCTGCATTCTGCGCGTCACTGAAACGAGCACAGTTGTAGACGCAAAACACGAAAAAACCGGCAATCACTCCCAAAGCAGGCGAGGGAGGGTGTATGGCTAGGCTTTCAAGAGCTGATACTTCCTGAACCGTCAAGGGCCGAGCCTGGGTCAGAGGTCTTTTGCCTAGATGCATGGAATGCACGGCACCCTTCACACGAGTGCTGATGACCGAGCTGGCGTCACAAGTCAAAAAACCAAGCAGGGTTGAGAAGAAGCGCAGGGACTCCAGAAATGCTTTCCCAGATGTTGCACCTGCGCCGGAATCTCTTAAGACATTAACGTAGTCATACACCGCGCTTTCAGACATGCGCAGGCCTTCCGAGTAGTTGCCCTTGGCCTTCCACTGGAAGAATCTCCAAAAGCTCCGAGTCCTCTTGTAAAGTGTGGCTGCAAAAACATCAGGTAAGGAACGTCTGATGTCACCCTCCTTGTTCAAGTCGCTAGACATGGAATGCAAAACAGCACCAATCTGCGTGGCCGAAAAGTCTGACTCGATCATGATCCGCACCATGCCAAGAGCTCTTGCTTTCAAGTCGTCTGGTTCCTGATACCAGCTCATCAGTTTCAAGCGGCGTGTTGAAAAAGGCAGAGTGGGCAAAATCGGCCCTGTTTTGGCCTCGCAATCATTGAAACACGCTCCCATCAAAAAGTCTCTCCTGCCGACCTTCATGGGTTCGTCCCAGAAAGTCTTTAAAGGGCTCTTATCATGTCCAAACACATCGCCTGCAATGCCCGTTTCCCACGGCAGTGCAGAAGGCTTGCCTTGGATCTGCTCAGAAGCGCACGAAACCGCATCATCCATAGCACGACCAACACAAACCGAAAATCCCGCTTCCAGTTCCAGAGTTGATATCCTGTGTTCAAGCTTCCTAGCCTTTGATGATGCTGAAGAAGAACTCGGCCCTTCATCGAAAGGCTCCACCATGGTTTTGCGAAGGATATTCAATCAGATATGTCTGCGCAAGGTCGCAAACAATAAAGCCCCCCTTCTCCGTCAATCACGACTTTGATGCACACAACCTGCTCAGCAACTAGAATGAAATTTGTTGCAAGCGCAGCGGGATGTTGTCACAACCCATCCATCACACCCATCCATGGCTTCGTGTCGCGACTGACAACTAGAGGTTCCCACGCTTAGAGCCCAGCATTTGGCACCACAAGTATGTTCAACCATAATGTTTATAAGCAATGTGCAAAACACAACACAATTGAGGGGTTGCCTTTGTTGTGTTAGATAGGACTATCACCTGCGGTGAGGGCGTCCTTTCCGCATCCCCTGAGAAAAAAGACGAAAAACAACACTTTTTGGCGACCATGTCCGCACAGAACCGGGTGTCCCTCTTTAAAGTCCGGCTCTCTTCCAGCTAACTCGTTGGACAGAAAGGAGCCCCTTTTGCAGGAAAGCCAGGATTCTGACTCGTCTTGACTTCACACCCAACACCGATTCTAGTAGGGCCCTGGGATGAGGTGCGTGAAGTGTACGCCCTGTCCATGAAACAAAGACATATTCTTTCCTGAAATCTTCATATCCCTTCAAAAATGGGGTCATGACACCTGTATTTTGGGTAACGACCCAATTTTTGTTTTGTTGGTCATAGAGACTCCCGGTGCAAGTGCCCTTCGATTCTCGGGGCTCCCTGCTGGAAAGTCCGCTGTAGAAGCCCGCGCCGCAGGGGGAGCAGCCGGAAGAACCCTGGCGGGGCCCCCAAACGAAATGTTCATCTGCCATGTCCTTACAGAATTCCTTGGCTCCTTAGCTCCCAGCTCCGAGTCCGGCTCCCTTCCACCCACCAAACGTGTCCATCCAAACGCGTGGAACCCACCAAAGTCATTGGAGGGAACATGGTCTACCCCCCCCGGGTTCCATGCTTGGACCCTATGTTGCGGACCCAATGCCATGAACCTGGGGGGTTCAAGGCCTTGAAGTTCTGGCCATTTCCCAAAATTCACTCTTCAAGGATGAAAGTCGACTGCACAGTTCATTGAAGGACTATGATGTGCATGTAACATTCAGAACTCATGGGTTAGAATAGAATTGTTAGAACATATTTAGGGCCACCCGATGAAAATGAAGCATGTCATTGGAAAAGTTCCTTTTTCTGGGCCAAAGGGAAGCCCAAAGAATAACACTTGGCCTATATACACCTGGTGTGCACAAAAGAAATGCTCAGATTCTACTTCATATCTGAGCCTGCCAAAAGAAGACGTCATATCTTCGGAGGCTCCCCCAAAAGCCAACGGATCCCCCAAAAGGGAAGCCAACCAGGTGGGGTCGATTGCGCCTCCTGCGCGCTCTCCCCAGCCAGGCAGTCGTAGCAGCCACTGGACCCTGACCTCACAAGTTGGAACTGAGGGTAAGTTCCAACTGCCCAGGTGGCTCTCTGCAAACAGTCCACCAGAAAAAACAAAGTTGTTGTCACGAGCCCCCCTTTTTGCGGCTTGGGCGCTAATGGCATGCCTGTTTCTGGATTTTTTGGTTTGATGGGCGTTTTTTTTTCCCAAGGTTTAGAAGCTCCTGGAAGCTCAAAACAGCCCAGGAATGGACGATTTCAGTTCCCCGATGCTGCAAAATATGCCCTCTTGGGATCTTGACAAATCTGACCAGATCCGGCAAAGTGCCCTTTGATTAGTCAGGTTCTCGTGAACCGCTTTTTGTAAGCGCTTAGCTTTCCGACTGCCCGGTGGACGTGCCCCCGTTCGAGTTCATAGAGGTTGGGTCGGATTAGAAACCCGACCTCAAAACGGTGCTCTTAAGCCAGAGTTTACGAAAATTCCCACAGCTTTTCAAAGTGGAGTTGCCATAAAACTGGCAAGTACCTGGGTAAAGTTCCTCGCAAGGACCTGAATACCCTCCCGGCCCCTACAAATAACACAGCAGTTCCATGTCACCAGTTGCAGGAGGGGAAAGGGACACTGCAGGTGAGTATCGAACAGGAAAGTAGTTAACATTGCGCCTTTCAACACAGGGTACTAAACCAATAAGAAAAGAACCGACGGAACAGCTTCAGGAAACCATAAGAAACACACCCACGTATCTCAACTAGGTCCTCCAGTAGAGAGGTTAGAATAAGGGTACCAACCTTCTTCTGTAGTCCATTTTAGTAGGGGAACCCTCCCCCCAAAAAAGAAATGGTGAAAGGGCACTACTGGGGGACCTAGTCAAGGATGGATTGCAATCCAAGGAGAAATATGCGAGCTCGCGCCTGAGCCCCCCGGTGCATCCAAAGTGCTGCCTGCGTTCAAACGGTAGCCTTTTGGGTGGAAACATCCTCGAGTCAGTCCGTAAGCAATTAGCCAGTTGGGTTGTGTGGGGCTCGTCTTCTGTTCCTTTTGGTTCCCTTTAAGCCACCCTCAAGAAAGACACACCCATTTGTCGAAGCCTTTTCCTTTTTGTGTAAGGTTTGCACGGGCCGAACAAAAAGGGTGTGTTTTGTATTGAGGGTACCGTTTTTTGGTTGGATTGAAGGGAAACCAAAAGGAAACCAACCAGTTTGGGGCCGTACTGTGACTGCAACAGTGCGGAAACCACAGCCCTTGCCTGGCAAGACTCTCATCCACTTCCACTTCTTGTTGGATGGAGGGTATTGCGGTAATTCGCTGTTTGAACATTGGGGTGAATCTCGAAAGAGGGAACCTTCCTTCCATTTGCTGAAGTCGCCGGGAACAAATAACAGATTTCCAGCAGTGATAGATTCCCTTTAAAACCAACAAGGGGAAATAACAATAACAATAATAATAAACATCTTAAGCAAAAGGAAGCTCCCCCAAGCCCGTGGGTTTCGGTCTCCTTTTGCCAGCCAAAAGCAGGGCTTTTGGAAAAAGACGAGCCAGCCGCCCCTCGGGAATCCCTCGGGCGCCCCGTATGGGACCCTGCCGCGCTGGGTGCCCCGCGTGTTGGCGAAGGTCTTCACCGGACATGGCTCACACCTAAGCCCAGGGCGTCTTCCCATTGGCTCCATAGGATCATTGGACCAACTGATCCTTCCAAGTGTGGACCAACTGAACCGTCTGAGTCCAAGTGGTGGCTTGAACCCTCCAAATGGTGGCTTCTTACGCTTAGGGGACCCATTGGTTCCAACAGCCCTGTGCTCATTGGCTTCCCCTGGAGTCCAGCAAGCCATTCTGGAACTGGCATTGGAAGGATTGCATTTTCAGAGAAATGCAACAAGTGAAAGCGGGAAGGTTGGGGAGAAGCTTAAATCTTGGACCAGTCTGACCAGTGATGTTACTTCTTTTGATTTGTATCTGGGTAAGCCTTAGCTACCCAGCTGATCATGTCAATCGTTGGCCCCCCGGCAGCAAGACCCACAGGATAGACTTCAAAAACTGGGCACTCATGGATCCCCTGGTGAAGGAGCTTCACGGCAATGGCTCGTTTAAAACACAAAACAAACGGTAAGCTCCTGGTACTTGCAGGTGTCTATGGGGTCTTTTTCTTTAGAAGAGCTTTCTGGAAACACGAGCCACTTGCTCCAAGCTCCCCGATCTGACCTTTTCGTGTGCCAACTCTGCATTCCGAAGCACAGGGCCTGGAAACTTGGAAAGTGAGGCAAGTAGAAAGGAGGTCCCTCCCACATTGCGAATTTCCCCGCTGCAAGATAATCCGCTTCAGAGCCATCTTTGGAGAGGCTTCTGAGAGGTCCTCACCGCTTCTACCAGGGGAGTCGCTGGGTTCGATAAGGCCATGGGCAAAGCCAAATCGTACCCCCAGTGAACATCTCAATCCAACCACTAAAACAGGTTCTAAAATTGGTGGTGGATTCACCTACCCCAAAATGGTACCATTGGTTTTTTGACCACAGCCATATAGGAGGCTCGCTAGCAATGATTCAAAAGGAGATGGTTTCACGAAGGGCCGGCCGGTCAGAAGCGTCAAGCAATGGGATCGCCTCCCGGCCGTGACAATGGAGACCCATACAAGATGCCGCCGTTTTGGCAAAATGGTTCACCCTCTCCACAAAAGAAAGCTCTCCTTCCTTGACGCAAGGACCGTCCAAAAAGAATCTACACAATAACATCCATAGCTAGCGGCCATGGACCAATGGATTCACAAAATTGGTTCAACTTATGCCCCATCCAACCCCCACCCCCTTTCCAACCCCCAACCCCCCCTCTAATCCCACCCCCCCGCGCCCCCAACACCCCCGGCACCCCCCAACCCCGGGGTTCAACGTCCATCGAAACGCCTTCGTCTCAAAGCCCAGGGCCCCGCACGCGTCCTCCGTCTCAGCGCCCTCCTGGGCGTTGAAGCGCCCCAGGCCGCACTCCGAGCAACTCCCCGGGCCCGTCGCCTGCAGGGAGCAAACAGAAATCCATGGGGGCGAAGAGCCAAGCCAGCAGACTCAACAAACACGCGAATGTATATATATATATATACTGCATACATACTGCGTATACAATGTGGGTTTTAATATATATATATATATATATATATGTGTGTGTGTATATGTAAATGCAAATATGCACACACACATAGAAACACACACACATATAATATATATATATATACAGATTTATATTTGCCTGTACACATTGTATACACATGGGCGGGGTCTTTTTAGAGTTTTTGCCGCGGATTCGGGGTCCCACGGGGACCCCTGCAACATGCCGTGGACCCTACAAAAGACACATGCACACATTGCTATGCTTGTTCCTTCCGGCTCCAAGACTCCGAAATGGCCCGTGGAACCACAAAGCCATGTAAATGATGTCCACCAAAGGGATTCGTGCCCAATGGAGTACTGTGATAAACTACCTGCCACCTGGTGCAGGATGTGTCCATCCACAGTATGATGTCTGTCCGTGTTTTCTGGGAATACAGCATCTGGGCTCAAAGAATCACCCCTACCAGCTCCGTGAATGGGAGTTAAAAAAGCCATCGATTCTTTACCTAAGGATTGTCATCATCCAACCTGGGTCAACCATTCTTTTAAAAGGGGGTTGAACCGTAGGGAGCTGATTTAGAGGATCCGCCGCCGCAAAGCCCCGCAGGCTTTTGGCTGCATCCTTTCACCGAGACCCTTAGGACACGGGCACCTCCCTCCCAAGGCATCCCAGGGGTCGGCTCACTTGGCCCTTTGGGACCAAGTTGGAAGACCAAAAAGGTCAGATCCGGTCGATTTGCTGTGATAAGTCGATTCGAAAAGACAACAAGAAGCCACCCACTGGGTGCCTGAAAAAGCGACATCAAGACTCGATACTTGGTTGGCTCTCAAGGTAATCAGCGCGTGTGAGGTGTGCTTCTTTTCTTTGGAGGGCACCAACCGTTCTTTTTTGCAGTTAAGCCAACAACAACTCAAGAAAAAAGGGTTGAACGCTTCATTATTGGGTACGCTTGAAAAACAGACGCCCCCCCCAAAAAGAACAACACGACTGTTCACCGGGTCTTTAAAAGACACGACCCACCCAGAAAGATCCGCCCTCCGTCCAACCGCCGGGTTTGTCCGGTCGTCTTGGCTTCGGCTCATGGCCTTCCATTTGCTTAAGACCCCTGAACCCAAAAAAAAAAAACATTTTTTTCCAGTAGTGATAGATTCCCTTTAACGATCTTTAACGCCAACAAAGGGAAAAATGGACAATATTCATTGCAGCAACCGCTCGCCTCGAGCAGGGCGCTCCAGCGGCCCAGGGAGCAGTTCGCGCAGGCGGAGCCCGCGAAGCTCCAAACCCCGGCGCCGCAAGGACTGAAGCGGGGTGGGGGTAAGCGGAGGGCCCCGTGCGTGTTCTCCCACACGGGGAAATGCCTAGGGTGGATTTGGAGAGAGAATGGATTAAGAGTGCGGAGTCAAACCTGGAGGTGGGTTGAGTGGTTCCTTTCAAGAGTCGTTCCTTTTCTGTGTGCCCTTTCAAGGGGAATGAATTTAGGTAGGACTTTCTTACAAGGGTCGCAACCTCAAGGATCCACACCACGGACCTTCAAACATAGGCCAAGCCCCAACGCTGCGAACCCACATGTCTACGTGTCAAGAAAAGAGCACCCCAAAAAATGAATGGCGTTCTTTTGGCTTCCCCTGAAGACCTGGAAAGGGTACCCTAAAACAAACCAAACCCTCAGCATCACACAACCCCGAACAAAAACAACTGAACACCATGGCACTCCAAATCGTGTCCTCAAACGCACCAAATGCTTTGACCCCATTTGCAAGTGCCAGGGGGGCACCTCAAGGAACAACCACAGTCCAAGGGCAAAAAAGGGAAATCCAAGGTCAGAGTTCCAACCCACTACTAAAACAAGGGGATCCCATAAAAGGGCTTCCAAGGCACAAATGGTGCTGACTAGACAAATCCTGACCCGTATGGGCATGTCTCAGATGAACTTTGCGCTGGTACCTTGGATGTCCCGGGAAAACAAGCCCATCAAGGGTACGGAAAGAGCCTTTGCTCGATTCAAAGGTCAACGAACTTGTTAAGGTGGCTTGGGCCTTTTGCCGTGTATGCCCAGGAGCCCGTGTCGACCGCTCGAACGATGCGGGTACTACGACAAAACTGAACCCTTTGTCCTGCCATTTTTCCGCTCACTTTTTGAGTGGATTGGCCAAACAAAATCTGAACTTTACATTTACCACCTAAATGGTCTTCCCAAAAAGTCTAGGTCCTCCAGAGAATAAGGGTACCCCTTTTTTCTGCAGTCGGATTTAGTAGGGGAACCCTCCCCCAAAAAAGGAAATGGTAAAGGGGCACTACTGGGGGACCTAGAAGTTTCAATTACAGGAACTCAGGAAGTGAGTCCGTTTCTTGGTTGCTGTTGACCCCCCGCAAAAGGATTAAATAAGGATTATCTTTTCGGGGTTTAGTGGAAAACACGTTTATTTCCCAAAAACTTCAAGTCTAAAGATCCAACCCAATAGCGGTCAAGGTTTAAACCCACCAACCAAACAAACCCACGTCCCTTTGCCGCCGGGGCGCATGCAGCTCTCGCTGCTGTTGGCGCCCAACGCCTCGCTGAAGCGCCCAGCGCTGCAGTTCTGGCACACGTCCTGGCGGAGTTTCTTTTGGCCTACGATCACTGGGCTGCCGTCAGATCCCCCGCTAAAAGTTGAACTTTTGGCAAAGCTAAGGTTAAGGGGATGGCTGGGAACCACTGAGATCATACACACAAGACACAATGTGATCATATTGAATTAAAATGAGCATGATCTACATCTTTGAATTATAAGCGATGCACCATGTCACATCTCACTTCTAGTTGTTACAGACTTGCTCAATGTGTAGTTCTGAGTTACACAAAGATTGCACACATATCTTACTCAATCGACGTGGTCGAATCTAGTAGTGTCGGATCCCACCACACATCGATTTAGAATTCAAAGTGCATCACTCAACAAGTGGAACATGGTTTGCTTTGACCCCAGTTTTTCACCCAAAAAAAACATGTACGGGGCACTATCTCGATTTGGTAAAAACCAACACGCGGATCAACGTCAGCCACACCTTGAGCGGGGTGGGGTGGGGCGGGGAGGGGTCCTGGACAACTCCAATTTGTGTTTAGACTTTCGCAAAAAGGAAAAGTGGACCCAACGCGATTCCGGCCCAGGGATCGGCGCCCTCCAATTCCATCCAATTCCCATCTACTTCCAGGGGTTTCAACCATGTATTGGCTTGAAAAAAAAACAATGGCCCTGGTAAATGGAATGAACCCCATCTATACCAGGGCCCTACGTGTTTTAAGCAAGCCAACCAAAAAGGACACCTATGGTTTCAAGCTTCCATTTGGTTAAGACCCCGGAGAAAAAACAACAACAAAAAAACACATATTTCCGTTAGTGATAAATTCCTTTTTAAACCCACAAGGGAAAATAACAAACACTATTCTTGAGCAACTGGTTGCAAGGGGATCCCCAGCAAGCGCGCTCCGGGCTCGCAGCCCGCGATCCGCGCTCCGTCCTCGCTGGCGCCTGATGTGCCGCTCCAGGTCCCGGCCTGCGAAGCGCGGCTCTTCGGGTGCGGGGTGTCGGGTTTTTGTGCCATGGATAGGTTCCCCCTGGGGGAGCAAACATATGAGTCACAATCAAACCCCGTACAAAAACAAAAAAAACAGACCCAGAACCACGTAAAGAACTGAGAAGGCGGCCGCAGCTATGGCTGGGATCGTCCCTTACTAACCTTCACTTACCCGGGTTTTGATGGTGGCTCATATCACATTGAAGCCTCACTTCTGAAGATGACCGAAGAGACTTGGAAGCCACTATGTTCTTTTCGGCTTTTCGGCCCTCTCCGATCAACAGCCCTCTCGGCAGTGGAAGACGATCCAGAAACTAACCGCCTTAAGCCAAGCGCCATCCATGATTAAGAAGGCATGAGGCCAACGAAAAGGCAAGCCAGCACAGCTTGCCCTACCCACAAGGGAATGGTCCCTGCTTCACATTAATTGGCTTCCAAAGCCGTGGTCTGTTAACGGACCCTGTCGCTACAAATGAACCAAAAAGCCAAAAGCGAAATCCAATACAAGGGAAGCCGGCGAGGATACGAATTGCCTGCTCAAAAGGGAAGGTTACCTAGTAAGTACTACAAAAGTGGCTGGAAAAAACAACTACTGGTTCCAAGAACAGCTACATTACTATGAGGTGTCTCTCAGGGTTTATCCCTTTTCGCTTATCCCCACCCAACAGAAACCCTCACAAGTTTCCCTTTAGGGGCAATAGATGGCCATCTGGGAGTTGGTTGAACCATGTTGAACCACCAGGTAAACCAGGGATCGCCCTCTACTTTTCCAAGCAAAACAACAAGGGACAACGACGCTCCAAACCCCTCCGCCGGTGCGCCTGGCAAAAGCCGCAGGCGTCGGCGCCCGAAGCGGCGCTCCAGCGCCCCGGCACGCACGCGAGGCAGGAGTCCAGCGCCGAGCCGCCGGGAAGCGCCTGAGACGCTGCGAAGGGCCCAATGCCGAGTGAGTCATTGGACATAGGCTAGGTCCTCCAGTGGAGAGGTTAGGGGGGAATCCGCCCAACCAAAAAGGGTAAAAGGGCGTTGATTGAACCACCAGGTAAACCAGGTATTTTTCAACCAAATCAACCAAAAGGACACCTATGGTCATACTCCAAACCCGGAAGAAAAATGGTCTACCTGAGTCTACCTGGCACCATGGAAATTGCTTAACAAGGCTGTGTATGGCCGGGATGATGCCTATCCAAAGCCATTCTATGCCTTGGGTTGCGGTGAATTTCAACTGGGTGTCTTTTGCTGGCCATTTGAGTTATGATCAAAACCTGGTAGACAATTGGCCTATCTGGAACTATGTAAATTTGTTTCACAAGGCTGTGTATGGCTGGATGGTCCCTATCCTTCATCTAGCCGGGTTGTGAGTGTGGTGCAAGTGAAGGTTTGGGGGTCAACCCCTGGTCGATCCCGTGATTTTCCTGCATCACCCCACCCATAAACAATGATGAGTGGAAAAATCAAACCCAAAGGGGAAACATAGGGAGCCGATAAGTTGGCGGGGTTGGGGTTTGGGTGGGGGGCAAATTCGTGGCTTGAACAGCAAGCTGCCACCACAGCACAGTTTTTGTTTGGTTTGGGGGAAGGATTGTTGGCTTCGTGTCCAAAACTGCGACAATGAGGAAGATGCGTCCAAGAAAACGAAGGTTCCAAGATGGGTTCCACTACCCAAGCCAATAATGCCAAAAGGAAAGCTGGACAGGTTGTGTACGTAGTGGTTTCCCCAGCTTGGATAGGTTTAAAATTCACACCTACAAAGCCTATACCATGTGATGACTTGTTGGGACCTTGACTTTACAATTGCAAACAGCAGAACCCACAAGGCGATCTTTTGGGTCCTTGACATGGAGTGGTGTGCTTTTCAAACCAGTTGCAACCAAATGAACCTAACACTGGTGATCACGTTGGGACTCCTTGATAGGACCCTTACAAGAAGACCTTGATCATCTGTGAATTCTACAACAACTTGACCGGAGAATCAGGGATTCGCATGAGCTCATTCTACCACCCGGTTAGCCCTCCGTAAAATAGGCAACCAAAGTGATTGCCAAACTAGGAACACGGACTTGTCAAAGTCGGCGCTAGGCAACTGAGACAACCCAGTTGCTATGGTCCAATAACTGTTGGCATGTCCGACTAGTCCAGAAAACCTGGGAAACAACCCCTTTTGGGTGTGCTTTTTGAAAAACATGAGGTTGCTATACCGTCCACGTCGCAAAACCTTGGGACCCCCTGGGCTCTAGAAATAAATGTGCTTTAACACAAGCCCTAAACCTCTCTCGGGGAGACCCAGTTGGATTTGAACCGGGTGCGGGATTGACCGTTTGCAATTGGCTGGACACATGGCCGTCCCCCGGCTTTTTGCTCCCTGAAAGCCAGCCAGAGGACCACCGTGTGTCCGTTCTTTGGGGGGTACCACGGGTACCTCCAAAACGGAGCTTCTCCTTTCGGCTTTCCTTGAAACACCGACCCAACAAAAAACACAGCGGTGCCACCCCTCGCCTAAAAAAAACACACACACCTCCCTCTCCCCCCTCCCCCCGGTCTCTCGACTCGACTCCTTGGCTTTGCGTTTTGGGGCGCGGAGGCCGTGCCGGGCGGGCAGCTCTGGCACACGTCGCTGGCTTGTCCCGTGGAGCCGCTCCAGCGGCCTTCACAAGGGATGCTTCCGCTCCAAACGTCGAATTGCCAAACCAGGCAGCTAGAACATCTATCTCTGGTGGCTACGAATTGCCAAACTTTCAAGCCAGCAATTCGTAAGCTAGAACATCTATGGTCAAACCCAAGCTTGGGAAGGATTAAGAATGGGATGGGCCAGTGTTTGGGTGCCGGGCTTTGAACTGGTTCTCCAGGTGATCGTTCTCAAACCCACAGGTTCAAATAACTCGTTCGTAAGGTGCAAATAATAAACCCGTTCCTGGGAACCCTGTTGTAAGAGCGGGCCCTTGCGTAACCATTTGCAAAAAAGGCACCCCTTCGTACAAATCGCCAAAAACTAACGAACAGCTTGTGAACATACTAGGGAAAGCATGCAGTATTTTGCTTCAACGAGTTAAGTAGAAAAATGCACTTCAAGAACTGCTCAAGTCTAGCGCAACTCCGCCATACTGAAAGGACGCTTGCCTCGGGCAAATCTGCATATTGCTGGGGTTCTGCTTTCAAGAAAGCAAACACTTTTAAGGGGATTAGAGGGCACAGCAAAGGAGTCAAAACAATAAGTCTCCAGCACGCACCGCCCGGCTTTTTCTCTTTCTGCGGGCGTCACCAATTCTTCCAACCACCCTTGTAACCTCCATCCTTGTAGCCACCTTTTCCCTCGTAACCACCATCTCCCTTGTAGCCGCCATCACCTTTGTAGCCGCCATCACCTTTGTAGCCGCCATCCCCCTTGTAGCCACCGTCGCCCTTGTATCCACCGTCGCCCTTGTAGCCACCGTCGCCCTTGTAGCCACCGTCGCCCTTGTAGCCACCGTCACCTCAGTCTGCTCGGTGCGCTCTCCTCTGTTGTCGGAATTCTCAGTTAGAACATTTTCGCATAGCGTCGCGTCGTCTGCAAACACTTGGGCGCCTGATGCTATACAACACTAGAGATACCTTCAGGGGACCTGTGTCTTCCAAGATCCCCGGTCAGGTTCCATAGTGGGGTGACACGGAACCTTACAGGCCACCCTTTCAGCTCCAAAGACTTCGACAGCATTCGACAGCTCCACAAAAAGGCAAAGAAAACACATCCAAGTGTTCAACCCTTGTGGTTTGGGTTCAAACCTTGTTCATGAGCAAGCCTGAAACGCTCCTTACTTCTACGTGGCCCTAGCTTCCCAAACCTATCCCCTTTCGGGGTCATGCTTCACAAATTGTACGGGTTATGTAGCAATCAGTTTGATAGCTCCCCTCCTGGTTCCGAATTCGGTCCGTCCGGCAAAAAAACCATGAATCATGTATTTGCTGGCGATAAACAACATAAGACTCATAGGTCAAGTTGGCACGTGCTCGGAAGAAGCCGCGAAGCTTTCGATCCAAGACGCCCTTGTAGCCGCCGTCCCAGTAGCCGCCCTTGCCGAACCCCGAAGGCCTCGGATTGCGCTGGGATCTCCCCCGATGTTCGCATCAAGTAAACTGGGAAAGGGAGCCTGGCTGCAACTGAGCCTGTCTTTACGTTTTCAGTTGGTACCTTCTTGCTGTAGGTTGCCCCCTCCGTTCGGCCAAGCGCGCGGTTGGCCGAACGGCGCCTTCACGTCAACCCAAAAACTCCAAGGTCCAAAGCGTCCGACCCAGTAAGAAACACGCACCGTCCATTTGGTTAAGACCCCCGGAACACATCAACATGTTTCCAGTAGTGATAAATTCCTTTTAAAACCAACAAGGGAAAATAACATGCAATATTCTCAAGCAAATGGAAGGCACAGTTGCCGTGAACCGAAAAAAAGAGGCTGGCCTTTTGTTTGCCGGGGGCATGTCAAGAAACATGAGAGAACACCTCGCAAAAGTCATATCCAAGTGCCAAACGCCTGCGGGGATCCTTTGACTGAAGTCGTTGAAATCATTGACCTACAGATCTATCCTTGGGGCATGGAAAACCATGCAACACCAGCCTAAAAATGATGCTCAGGTAACAAGTCAAGGAACCCCTTCTTGGTTGCTGTTGACCCCTTTGCAAAAAGTGCTTCACTGCTTGTGGGTGCAATGGAAATGCGACACGTATTAAGCAACAAGCTGAAGTCCAAAGATCCGTTCCCAAATCCGCCATAAATTCAAAGGGCTTCCTGTTTCTACCTGAAAGCCCTTCTCACTCCTAAGTGGATTAGAAGTAAAAAACAGTCCATTTTTTTTGTTTACCACTAAAAGGGTCCAAACCCAAAAACCGACTCAAGCCTGAAGCGCCGAGGGCCCAGTGGCCCCGCAAAACAACCCGCAAAACCGCCCCAAACCGCGGCCAGGGCCCCCGCCGGAAGCTGCGGCTCGGACCACTCGGCCCGCGGTTCTGCAGGTTCAGCACCTCAGCTGGACCGCTGGATATGTGGGGCCTTCGAAGAGGCCCAAAATCTTCCATCTGGGTCCTAGCAACTGAGTTACAGGTACCTTGTTTGCAAGTCAACTCCTCTGCCCAACATAATTTGACTTGTTCTGTTTCCAGTAGATTCCCTCTAAAGCCAACAAGGCAAAACACAAACATATTATGAAGCAAATGGAAACAAGGGCTTCGGGAACCCCATGTTGGTACCCCCACCATAGCTTCGGTTAACCCAAATGTTGGTATTCAATTAAGACACCACCATAAGGTCTTGTAGGGGACCCAACAATTTGGTGGTAAACTCATGCTGGTTTTCTCGTCAAAAACAAAGTCTGAAGAAGGGTACCTGTCTCCTTGTTTCACAATGGCAAGACATGACACTTGCATTACGAGTTGTACAGCTCCAAAACCGGAAGTACTCACTTTGGGAGATACTTCGCCACATAAACAAAGTTCGTCCACTTGTTCTTGACCGCTGAAATGGCCCTGCCAAAGACTATCAAGTCCAGGAACTTAAGGAGTGACAAGGGATTCCCCGGTCGAAAACTTCCTGGATCCTTGAGTTCGATATTTGCAGGAAGCCATCCAACAGGTGTCAAGGCCCAGTGGCAGCCAACACTTGTTTGGGGAATTAAAAAAACGGTTCTTGTAGGAGGTAAGCGGGAAACCACCCCTAACCACCAAACCAGCAATCCAAATCGACTACGGGGAAGTTGACTTAGTGTGGACACCACCAGAAAGGGCCTGCCACTGCACAATTGAGCGGTTGAGTCGTCTTTTCTGGCAACTGGTTGAGAAACCGGAGCCTCAACTGCCTGAGCTGCTTGAGCCTTTGCCCAGCCCCCCTCCATATCATCACGCCCGTTGTGCCCACATTCCGGCAGGATGCCAACAAAAATGACACACCGGCCGGGCATCAAGATCGAATCACCCAAGACGATGTTCCAAGCACAACGCACCAAAGAAGGAGGACACGCAAAGCCCACAACAACAAACACATACACCCAAAGTCGAAGACCCCTGACCCCTTTCCGAAAACAAATGGATTCCAATGGAACGACCCCCCCACCAAAGGACACTCACTTTCAAATCTTCAAATGGAAAGCAACAAGGCGATGCCAAAACCGTCCCAAAAGTGCCTGTAAAGGATCCAGTTCCCGCTTTGCATGATGGTGATTATTTGTCACCCATGGGGGTAACTGAAGCGAAGCGTCCGGGCTTGCAGGAACTATCTTTAAGCCAAAACATGGTCGTACAATCACCTCCAGCTGAATTGGAGGAGCCAAATCCGCAGGTAAAGCAGGTGGTGTTTGTTTTTGGATCCTCGCCGTCTTTATTCATATGCTCTCCCCCCCCCAGATGTCCCAGATCTTTCCATTTAAGGGTTTATTGCAACTCTCTGTGCCAGATATGTCCCTCTCAACCCAAAGGACCTCCACGCATCAAAGGCAAACCTTTCGGGGTGACTACTGGACAAGCATGGGGAACTCACTTTCTGAGCGAGGCCAAAACAAATCCAGACTTTTGGTTCACCACTCAAACGGACCAAACCCAAAATGTGACTAAAGTCCAGGAGCTGGGCTGAGGGAACCCAAAAAGGTCAGATCCGGATATAGTCCCAATTAGTCCAGGTACAACCACCCAGTCGTTGTTTTGGTCCCCTCTGCAAGTAGTTTCACTTGGGTCCCGGATTGGGCCGAGACTCCTTCGGCGGATTTGTCGGGGCGGGAGCGACCAACACAGTTCTGCCTTCATGGATCTATGGACCTGGCCGTTTTGGTTCAGATCGGATTCCCCGGCCTGCGCGGAGAGTGAGCCCGGCCGGGCGGAGCTCGGCGTCTGCCCGGGGGCCAGGATCTTCAGCTTGGCCGACTCCTCCCCCATGTCGATGCGCCGGTTCCGGTCCCCTCAGAGCGAAAGGCTACGGCGGGATGGAGCTGGCCACGTCGCTTTTCTTTTTGCTCTTTTTTTCTGAGGAAAGCGGCTTTTGGATTGGTTTCCCCCACTTAGATTTCACGCTTTGGGGGACGGTTTCCTTTCACTTTGTTGGGGAAACCAAGCGCTGGAACTGCCGTGAACTGCCCTCTTTGAGCATTTGTTTGAGCTTAATGGAACATGCTGTGCCCTGCTGCATCGCCTGACGTTGAACAAGCTTAGCCTCCACCCATTTCGGAGACTCCTCCCTTTCAAGCTCCCTTCCGTAAGGGGGAGGAAAAAGTAGGGGTCTTTTTCAAGGGAAACTGAAGCAAAATCGAAAGCCCATTCCATGTTGAAGGAGGTGGGGATGGAGAATCAAGACATGATACTCCGTGAGTGTCCCAAATAACCAGGGGGATCGGGGGGTGGGGCTCACTCCCATATAGACATATATATATATATGTATACATTATATATATATATATTATATGTGTGAATATATATATACATATATATATATATATACATATATACATATATATATATATATGTATTCACATGTATGTGTGTATATATTCTATGTGTGTGAATATATACTCTCACACACACACACACACATATATATATATATATATATATATCCGGGGTCGAGTTTTTGTTCAGCAAAGCTCAAGAGATAACCGGAAAGCTTCCGCAGCCTCTCCGGAAATTGGAGACTATTCAATTGGCTCAAGCGTCCACCTGCGAAGGGCAAAGAAACCAAGTCATTGCCATGGCGAAACCCGGCGAATACCCCTCTAAATTGGGGCTCTTTTTGCCAAGCCCTTGTTTCAGCAATTGTTTCAACAATTGTTTCAGCAACTCTTCTTCCAACAACCTCCTTACAAATGCGACCAGCTGATCCTTCAAACATCTTGCTAAGATCATCACACCCATAAGCTACCCGCTGCCGACATCCGAAGAACGCTACGTCTCCAGTACAGTCAGCTGTCTGAAACACCTGTTGGATTCCTGCTGGACAAGTCCATTTTAACAACTGCAGAGGCGCTCATAGGGCCTCATCGGCCCCTTCTGACCGTTTCCCCCCCCAAACCCCAGCTACCCAGCTACCCGCAATCTCTCCATCCACCTCCGCTCCCCCCCAAACCCCAGCTACCCGCTACATCTCTCCAACCATCTCCGCTCCCCCGCCCAAGGCCATCCCGCTACATCTCTCCGGGGCGCTGCGGCTCTCCTCGGTGAGCATCACGAAGAGGTTGGTGGACTCCAAGTCCTCAGGGAGCTGAGGCTCCAAGACCTCGCGCGTCGCGTCGCAGCGTCGCGGCAGCGTCGCGTGGCGGCCCGGGTCCCAAAGTCCCAAAGCTTGGGCGTGTCGGTCAGATGAAACCCATGGGAATCCATCTTGGACCCCGGCTGAATGTGTAGGTCCACAATGAAGCCATGGCAATCCAGGCTTTTGGACTTGGGAAAGTTCAAATATGGCATGATTAACGCTTGGTTCACAAATAAACCGGGGGGGTCATACCAGGCTTCAAATATGGAGGTGTACATTCAGCCTATGGGAAAGCCGGGATTTGCCCTTGTGGGGCATGCTCCCTTCAAGCCACTGGGCGGTTGGCTTCAGCCAGCCGAAACCGAGTTGCGACCGTTCTCTCCTCTCTGGGCTGTTCAAAACGGAGGCGTGGCCAATCCTCCATACTCCCCGTAAAGCCGCTACCAAGGCGACCGGTTCCTTGCGCAACCCCAGGCAAGGATTGAGATGAGTAAGATGATTACCTTTGAACAGCCCAGCCTGTACAACAATTGGATTCTCGGGCAACACCAGCACCAAAGCCCTAAACGTCACACCAACTATGCACAGCTGAAGGGTATGACGGTGGAAGCTCCAACCAAACAGAGAATGAAGCTCCGTTGAATGTGCCGCGAGGTCCGCTGACTGGAAAACGGCTATATGGAGACATGTTTAACAAATGATACTGCTTGAATGCCTGCAGTTAGCAAGGTGATTTGGGGTGGCCAGTTTAAGACATGATAGAAGACTGGCGTTGGAAACCCAGTTTTCTGTACACAGCCCCCTTCAGACCGGATACGCCGGTGCCCTTGTGCGTCAGGCAGAACCTGACGCCCCTGACGCCCCAGCCTTGCTCTTGCCGGTGACCAGCACGGTATCTCGCACCAGGTCCAGGACCTCTTCGAATTGCTCCAGGCCGAAAGCCTTCGGGTTCAAGGCCTGCGCCAAGCAAAAAAAACACCTGGGTCCATCCAGCTCAGAAAGTGAGCGGACACCTTCGGGGTGGTTCTCGTTGATGAAATCGACCTTCCTGGAGTTTGGAGGGCAAAGGAACTAAAACTGGGTTGTCCCTTTTCAGATCCCCTGCTACAAGTTCAACTTTTAGCAGGTTAAACCAACTAGAAAGCGAAAAAGCTGAACCGGATGGCTTGTTGAGCCAAGAAAAACAAGTCTGAAGCCTCCGACTTGGGAAGCTTTAGATGTTGGACCGCTTTCTGGGAGCGTCCCAAAGTCGCCTTGGAGCCCCCTGAAGCCCCATGGTTTTTTTGCGGGTTTTCTATGGGCTTTCAACCCAGGATGGAAAAGCATGTTCCATTCGGCGGACCAACCCATAGATCAGTGGTCTCGCATGCTAGGTCTGACTCCCCCAATTCACCCGGAACCCCGAAAAGGGGGTCCTGCAATTGGAGGCGCCAGACCGCAAAAACTTGGGCTCTCGTCGAATCATTCGGTGGCCTTCTTGGACTCGAAACTTTCGGGTTGACTCCAGTTGGTGTTCCTTGCCCGGCAATCCGTTGATGTCCAAATCGACTTCCACGCATCGCCCGAGTCGATTTGTAGGAGGCCCAGTCCATTTGGGTTTTCCCCCACATTTGGGTGCGTCTTCGTTTGGGGGACCCCCTCCAAAAAAAAAGAAAATGGTGGTGTTCCTTTTTTCGTCCGTCTGAAACCACCAGAAAAAAACACATTGGGTACCAACTCAAAAAACAGCACAAATACTCTCAACACATAGTATTGGTTGGGGATTCTTTCCCCAACCACATTCATCTGACCGGACCCATTCCCAGATTCCTTCCCCGGCCACTAAGGGGATTTGGACCCAGGGACCTATGCTCAGTTGCTCAGTGACACTCGGACAAAAAAGGGGCTCTTTTTTGGGGAAGACCATCTGTAGTGGGGGCAGCCACCAAAAAAGAAAGGAACAAGGGTGCCACTTTGATTCCTTCCCCTTTCCCACGTTTGAGGGTATTCCACCCGACCCGCGGACCTGTATGGCGTTTTCTTCGGTTTCGTGGGACCGACTTCTGGATGCCCCCCGCCTTCTTGTAGTACTTCTGGTAGTAGAAGGCCAAATGCTCCAGCGGCACCGCGGTGCGGTCCACGTCCTGGGCGTCCTTGGCGAAGGCGTGGGCCATCAGGTGCAGCTCGTAGCCTGGGAGACCAAGGTCCCAAGGATCCGGGCTCGGAGGGTGGACTTGGACCGGGGAAAGTCGAACGCCGAACGCGCGGGAGGGCCGAGCGGAAAGAAATACGGGGGAAATTCGTGTGATAGATATGCACATATATAAGTATCTGTATGTGTGCGTGTAATGAGGAAACGAATGTATATGTAGTGTGAGATAGTGTGAGGCACCTTCATTCACGGAAAGGGCGGGGTGGGGAGAAGCAGTTGCTCCCATTCCCTAGCAGCTTCGAAGAGGGTTCATGCAGACCTGAAGTGCCCAGGGCCATTTTGGGTACCAATTGATAGGTCCTGCGCAAGGACCAGCTGGCATTTCATAACATGCGTAGCCAAATTTGCGCTGGAGGATAAAATGCCCGGTCACAAGGTCGCCTTGAATGAGCAACTGAATCTGAACCATTCCAGTCCTATGTTCGGTCACTTGGTGTGTCTCATGGAGGGTGCCTCCAAAAGTGGTCGGTTTGCCAAAAAGGATTCCCTTCGAAACATCAGCAAGCTTGAACCTTCTTGCAGCTCTCAAGAACCAACAAGCACTTTTAGGAGGTTCTTTCGCGCCCTTTCGTGCACTGGGTTACAACCCAGGTGCAGGTAGAAAGCCAGCCCCGCGACTCTGGTCAAGAAAAACCCTCTTTGGGTGGCAGAACCCAAATTTTGGTCTCGGAACTCACCAAATCCAGCCAAAAAACAGAGTGCCACTCAACAACTCGAACCCAAGACCGCGGTCACAAGGATACTCCTCTTGGCGGATTTGTGGGCGGTTCCAGCCCTCGCCACAAAGGGAACATGTCTGCAAATAGCTTGGGGAAGGTCGCAAAAAAGTATTAGTATTATTGCAGGTGCATCCCCCCAGAATGGACAGCCAGGATTCAGAAACTCCTGGCTGTTGTGCCATTTCTGGCGGGAAGGGGGGGGGCCTAGGAATGCCTCCAGGCTGGTGGATTCGGGTCCCTCGTAATTACATCTGCAAATCCACATGTCCAAGATCTGAAGTAAGAATTGGATGGGCCGAGGGAGTTCTTCCAGGTATTGGTTTTGAGGTATGGATGCTTGCAGCACAAGCCTTGTAGCGCAGTTGCTTTTAAACCCGTAACTACGTGGCACATATTAATATTGCCTCCGTGCTTCCAAAACAGGGTTCCATGCTTTGACTACCCCAATCAAGACCCAAACAAAGGAGAGGTTGATTTCCCCAAAATAGAATCCCCTGCGTTTAAGTCTACCTTTGCAAGGGCACTTCCTGAGTGGATTGGCCAAACAAACCTCAAGCCGCTTTGCCACTCAAATTGTCCTTTGAATAAAATGAAGTCTGGAAGGGGGCTTTTTGTCTTTTTTCGAGACCGACCCCTTTTCTTGTGTGTTCCTAAAGAAACACCCAACAGAAAGACAAACCCAAATGGAGTCTACGTCTTCTCCCGTGGATCTCCTTTCCGAGCCGCGGAGGCTCATGAGGCTCCAATCCTCGAAGGTGAACTCCGCGAAGAGCGGCTGACCGGAGCCCACGTCCGCGACATCCTCCACCCCGAAGACGTCCAGGTGATCGAAGTCCACCTGAAGGCCCGGAGCGTTTTTTTTCTCGGACGCCCAAGCATCGGCCCATGAGCGTTTTCGCCCCCTGCCCCCACCCCAAAAAAAAAACATGTGTCTAATACTTGATAAATTTCCTTGACAACCAACAGCTTGCTTTTTTCACCCCCTGGAAAAGATGAGAAAATATGGCCAATAGTGATCGCTTCTCTTGAAAACCAACAGGGGGACATAGACAACATATTCTGGAAGCTGTGTTTTAGTTTCTCGCCTTTTGTCTGAAAAGTACCAGGGGCCCGTTGTTTCAACATAGGTTGGCCCCCCTTAAGTGGATGGGAAAGCAAACAGTTGGCTTCCTCTCACGTTTGCTGCAAAATCGCCCAAAATCAGAACCCTCAAAACCCACACCCATTTCCAGAAAGAGTTCAAGGGCAAAGACCCAAGCCAATAGCACAAGTATCTGGTCTTCGGACGCGCCTTCTCATCCTGGTCCATCTCCTCCTTGCCTTCTTCTCCCTCCTTCCCCGTTTTCCTCTTGGCCTCCGAGCATCGGGTAACCCATCTGCGAAGCCACCCCCCCCCAAAAAAAAAGAATAACCCCCGGCAAAACCACGCAAATGTGGGTTGACCATCTGTAAAGCCAAACAGATCTCAGACTGGGGGTTGACCATCCCTGAAGCCCAAAACGACTTGCGCTGGGCTTCACCCACTGCAAGTTCCAAGCTCCGGGCCCCGAATTTCCGAGGGCCCAACCCGTAGGACCGAGTCGCGCCTCTGCCTTGTAGGCGTTGTGCTTGGCCTGGTACGACTGCACCAGCTTCTGCCAGTCCTGTGGGCTTTAGCGTTGGGGATCAAGCCCGAGGCCCAAGGTCCAGTAGAGAGGTTAGAATAAGGGTACCAACGCTCTTCTCTGTAGTGTATTTTAGTGGGGGACCCCCCAAAAAAAATAAAAATAAAAGGGCACTACTGGGAAACCTAGCCAAAGTTGTAGCGCCCAGCGCCCGCTAGGTCGCTTGAAGAGGTCTAGGGTCACCGCAGCTTCCCCAACCTCAACCCAGGGATCGTTTGGAACCCTGAGGCGCTCCGATTTCGGCATCCCCTGGGCTTTTGGGGAGGGGGTGGGTGGGACGGAGGTTCCTTTTCGAAATGCGCCTTGCTACCACCCTCCCTGGGCGAAAGCCAAAAGGGCTTTAGCAATTTTATCCATCGGGGCGGTCTTAGCGTCCCGAGTCCCAATTACTTAGCACACGGTGACAGGATGAGACCCGGAAACAGCCTGAACCACCACAGCCGCACAAAATTCAATGAGACGAATCCGAAAAGCCGAAAGCCCCCTGCCCCCCCCGTTTACCAACCCGCGCGCGCTCGGCACGTCTCGCGGTCGATTCGTCCTTCCACTTGAGGTTGAACCACTCTCCGGGCTGAAGATCCTCGAGACGAGAGGTGAGCTTCTTCATCTGCACCTGACTCGACCCGAAGCCCTCCCAAAGCCGGCGAATTGGTTGAGGCCTCAAAAGCCTCAAGTTGGAAACTCGCTTCAAAAGTAAATAAGTGATAGCTTAAAATCAAGAGGGGGTTCAGGGATTTCGACCTAACAAGCAGGAAGTTGGAGGGAGTGCACACTCACAAAGGGCTCAATACATGGAAAAAGCGCGGAATGCCTGGAGATGTTTTGTTTAATGCCCAAGGAAAACGGTGAATTACTGCGCACACAGCCACAAGCGCACAGATCTTACATTGGGGTCTGACCTCGGACCTTTTGGGACCGGCATGAAATTCCTGCTCACCTTTGGGGCTGCCTAGAAAGAAAGCTCAAACCAGTGGGTGCCTCGATTTTTTTGGAGACAGTGAGCTGGCTGTTTTGTCCCCTAACAGAACAGGCAATGTAGCCTTACCCCTTTGGTGGTTTAACCGGTTTTAAGGACAACTAAAAGTCTTCCATGCGGACAAGGCGCCCATTCGCTGAGGTGCTGCTTGGCCTTCTTCTCCGGCTGCCAGATCCACCGGATCTCCTCGAACTCCTCGTCGTCCTGAAATGCGCGGCCGAGTTGTCTAGTGACCTGGGGTAAACAACACGGGCTTGATCACGTTCTTCCATTTGCTAAGAATATGCTCTGGTTTCCCTTGCAAGGTTGCTTTTAACAGGAATTTGTCACTACTGGACATATTTGCTTCTTCTTTTTTTTCTCGGGGTCCTTGACCAAATGGAAGTGTTGAGTGAGCTCCTCACCCAAACCGGAACCGGCTGTTGCTGTTTTGTTTTCAGCTTTGTGAAAGTTCGTGCTTGCGGGGTTGCGGGAAAGCTGTAAGCAGTGGTGGTGAGAAACAGTATTTGAGTCGGATTCGAACCCTGATAAAACAATAGTCTGCCCAAAATCTGGTAACGAATCAACATGGTGACGGTGCCTATTCCTTTCACCCATTGTGCTTTTCAGCAACCATCCGTTCGCAGGCTTCTGGTGAATTCCTCAACGGGGGAGATGGAATTTACCCTCACTTCCGAAGCGAGCCAACGACTGGTCGAAAAGAGTAAGTGGCCACAAGGCGGTAGCTCACTAAAATGATCTTCCAAGAGTCTAAAGTTTGGTTTCCGGGAGTTCCACCCGCAAACCACCCCCCAAAGGAAACCCGAGCAAAACACCCTTTGTATAGCGGCTTGCTGTTTGTTTCATGGGGGGTAGTGGTTCCGCCATCTTGGGCAACCCAGTTCTTGGACCAGAAGGCCTGCAAAAAGCGAGTACTCTCCCCACGTCCTCGGGAAGCGTGAACTTCTGGAAGTTCATGTTCAGCACGTAGGGCGTCAAATCCTCGGCTTTCATGACTCTCAACCCCTGGCATGTTGGCAAAGCAGAGTGTTCTTTTTTTTCCACCCACGGTAAAACGGACGGAACCGCCAACAGAACAGGTGCCAATGGTGACGAAGAGGGGCTTGGAATGGCGGTTTGGACTTGAGTCTCTGGAGGAAAGATGCACCTATGAAGCCAAGAGTTGGAAGTCTAGAGCGCTGGGGCATTGAACCCAATCCAGAGCCCCCCGATTTTTCTGGAATTGCAATGCGATTAGTTTCCTGACATGGTCAGGTTCCATGTTGGATAGGAGGGTAATTCACGAAGCTGACAAAACAGCTCTTCTGGAAAGCGAAGCCAGGGAGTGCCTGCTAGTCTAGAGAAATTACCAGTTGTGGGCTGTTTGAGGTCAAAGCTTGTTTTGGGCAAGGGTCCCGTATCAAACATATTTGATGGTCGTCATATAAAGTGGGGTCGTCCATATAGAGTGAACTTTCAAACAGGTAAACCTCACTAAATATGTACTTCCTGAGTGGGTTGGGCCAAGAGAGTAACCAAACCAAACTGTTTACTTACAACTAAGATGGTCTTTTACCCCAAAAAGTGACTAAAGTCCAGGAACTGGAACTCAGGGAGTGAGACAAAGAAACGTGCACACCAGCCAACCAACCAACCAACCAACCAACCAACCAACCAAGCAAGCAAGCAAGCAAGCAAGCAAGCAAGCAAGCAAGCAACCAACAAACCAACCAACCAACCAGCCAACCCACCAACCTGCCAGCCAACCAGGCAACCTGCCAACCAACCAGGCAACCTGCCAGCCAACCCACCAACCTGCCAGCCAACCAGGCAACCGGGCAACCAAACCAGACCCCCGATTCCTTTCATCCAACGAGGAGCGCTGGCGCCCTGCTTTCGGAAGGTGATCTTCTTCTCTTCCGCCGTGAGCTCTGCCTGTCGCTGCTATGCAGCCCAATCGCCCGGTGACCCGAACGGAAGAGGAAGGGAAGCATTGATTTCCCCAGGTCTACCATGTGTAGAGGGGAAGCCGTCAAACAAGAAAGGGAAGCAAACTGGGTGCGAAATAGGGGGGCCTGGCAAAATAGTGCATCATCTATTATTTTCCCTTCGGGCTTCATGATATTGGGGTTCGCTCGTCGGGTTTGCTTGGCAATACCGGGTTGCCCAGTGACCTGGTTGTGGCAGTTTTCGCTCCCCCCTCCAAACTGGAGATCATGAACCCCCCTAGTTTTGCATTTGTTCCACAAAATCATGCCAAGGGACACCATGGAACATGGATAAAGAAAAAAAACAGCCCCTAGGATGTTGCCCTCCTTGACACCCCCTATGCATAATTTTGCAGGCAAAAGGGGGTCACATCCCAATTTGAGCAGTTGACTTGAGACATGGGTCAACCATTGAGCAGCGTCCTTGCCTTTTTGCCACACGAAGAACATCTCACAGTGAAGCACGGCTCTGAGCTATCCGACTCTGGATTAATCTCACAAATCATGAAGAATTTGTTCCTGAGCACCCAACTACCACGTGTTCAACCTCTGATGCGCTGAACAACATGGTTGGTGGCTTGCGCAAATGACAGGCCAAACAATGTTCACAGTTTCTGGGGCCTTAAACGAAAACGATGAACTGACCTACCTGGAGTCTTTATGACCCTTAAAACATGGAGTCGTTACCAACAAAAAGGGGGCATTACCCCTATTTTTGAAGGGTCACGGAGACTCCAGGTGGTCATATAACAAAGTTTCCAGATCGAACTCTGAACAGTTTGAAGTGAAGGAAGAAAACACGCGCAAGGACCAAGGAGCGGCCCGCCTTTGGCACGTTCTCCAGCGAGATCTCCGTGTCGTCCTCTTCTTCCACCTCCTGTGCCCGTTCGCGGTGGATCATCCATCTCGTGCAACTTTTTAGTACCGCGAAATTTTGTGAGGGTCAGGCTTGTGCGAGTGAACCACCAGGAAAAGCCAAGCCACTCAAAACGTCATATTCGCCGTTCGGCGGAGTAGGCCGCAAAGGTCTGACTAGCGAACGATTGAGGGAACTCTCCAAGCCAGCATTCAGATTCAAAAACCCCTGACCTGAAAACAAAACCCCCCTTTGATGCCTCAAGCACGACTTGGATCCCTTCTTTGGGTCGGCTCTTTGTTTAGTGAGTTTAGTGGGGGCCTGCAAAAACTGCAAACATACTCATCACGTTCTGGTTTCAGTTTAAACAATCAAGTCAAGTAACCCTTAGTACTCGCACACCCAAAACTCCATCGCTCGCGGCACGTCTGGCACAAGCGCGGTACTTGGGCTTCCCCCCCCCTTTTCCTACACTCCCTACCCTTGACGCACCAGAAGCTCGAGATTCGGCTCGTGGCGCGGCGCAAGCGCGGCTCCTCCTTCTCATCGAACACCTCCCCCCGGAGCTCCGCCTCCCGCTTCCGGCGCTCGAAGTCCGCCTTCCGCCGCAGCACGTCCTGCCAAAACGGGGGGGGCCGGAGAACCCCGGCAAGAGGTCCTCTGGGCGTGTGCCTTTCTTTAAGCACCAAAATGAGGGGGTGGGGGGGGAGGTTGCTCTTGGTTTCCGTTTAAATTCAACTCAGAAAGGCACGCCCCTCTAAATGTGGGCGAAGGAAAAGCAGGAAGAACAGACCCTTGAAATCATCAAGCATGATGTAGCCCACAAAATGGCAGCTATAGCTCAGCAGGAGCCAAAATTTAAAATACCCCGAGTGGTGTGGAAAAGCGTGGGACGGCCAGCGCTCATTCTTTTGACAGGAATGGGAATGAAACAGAAAGACTTGGACTGAAACTGAGTGCTTGTGAATGATAGGGCGGATAGGGACGCTGCTTCTAAAGATTTGGCACGCAACCGCTTGCGTGATGAGCAGCCCGTCGATCAGCGGTCCAGGGGTCATACATGAACGAAAGGTTTTTAGAGGGTGGTCTGTAAGATCACGGAGATGGGAAGAGTGGGAGTATGAGAACTATAGACTCTACATAACCTTCTGGTTCTCAGTAAGGTATTAGTGGCTTTGGACATGAACTAATGGATCCCGTATGGAAGCCAGGGATGGCTCTTGTCGGGGTCAGTTCCTCCCTTCGGCCGATCAAAACTGGTTGCCAAATGCATTGCAGGCGTATGTGAGAAAATAAGGACCCCCCCCCAAACAACAAGAAATCGTGTTCCTTTCGGTTTCCCTAAGGTGGCTAGAGGGTCGCGAGCCTCAAAAGCTTATGGCATCCAGTGAAGCGAAGGGAACAGTCCTGCACCGACTTGCCCTTGGTCTCCTCCCCTGGGGTCTTCCTCAGAGCGCAGAGGAAAGGGGTAGCTGCATGCGGACAAGAAACCCTTCTGCATTGAAACTAAACCAAACAAAGGAAGAAAAACACAGCTGAATAAAACACCAAAGTAAAACGAGATTCCCCGAGAACACGAGAGCTGGGGGATCTGTTTTGTTTTGCAACATGGTCTCAAATAATATCATAATTTGATACAGCAACCACGCAAAGAAATCAGAAACGCCTTCGGAACATGGACCCAGACAAATGGAATACAACCCATCCTACACCAGTGCCGTCTATCTAAAACAAAACCCTAAGAAGAACACCTACGTGAATGAGCTATTGTCACAAGCCACCCAATCCGGTCGGACGGATTCAGTTGTGCGATGCTTTGCTTTGAACTTTGGGAGCTTCTGTGGCTGCTAGCAGAAGAAAAACATAGGACGGGGGGTTGTGGGGCCACACGGAATAACAACAAAAAGGAGCCATGATGCATTAGGGCAACAATGTGTGTAGTGTGCATTTGGCGTGGCAACCGCATCTGGAGTACTCCAAAAAGAGATGTTCGGTTTCTGCTTCATAGTTGGTTAGCACATCTTACATAGCTTTGGAGGAGACACTTAACACATCACCCCTAGCAAGAGAAAGTCGAAAATCACCTTTCGGCCAACATGGTGCTGTTGGAAGCCACGTCCTCCACTTGCTGCAGTCCTCTGGGAAACAGACATCTGTCCACTAGTGAAACCGACTCCCTTTAAAACCAACATGGGGGAACAAACACACAATTCATTTCAGCAAATTTTCTGACGAAATACGTTCTGGTTTCCTTTAGCACCATCAGTTATGGAACCCCGCGGTATGTGAGCGATGTGAGAGCCTAGGTTTCCTTTCGGGGGATCCCCTCCATCCTTCCATTTGGTTAAGCCCCTGGAAAAAATGTATCCAGCAATGTCCAGCAGTGATAGATTCCCTTTAAAACCAGCAGGGGAAAATAAAAACGTAATCTTAAGCAAAGCTTTTGAGTCCAGGCGCTGCTTCTCTTGCCGCTTCTTCTCCAGCGCCTGGGCCTTGAACTCCGCCACCAGGGCCTCCTGCTTGCCTCTCAGCAGCAGCTCCTGGCCGTTTTCGCTGGGGTGGGGCGGCCTGGGGTGGGGGGAAGGCGCGGGTTTTGGCCGTCGCCAGGTGCCGCCGGCCGTTTTCTCCAACGGTGGGGGCGGCCGGGAGGGTGGGGTGGGGCAGGTGCCCCGCCTTTTTCAGATCCTAAAACATAAAAGGGCCCCGAAAGTTTGTTGTATGAATTGGTGTCCCAAAAAGAGTGTTTTACAGGGGGGGAGGGGGTAAGGCAAGAATAGGATTCATATGTAATGTAGCCCTTGCATCAAAACTATACGACACGACATGATCCAACGAAGAGATAAAATTGCAACACTTCTGGGGAATACCCCAACAAATGCATCCCACCCGTTTTCCAGACGAACATTGAACGGTAAACAAGCACAAGCACATGAGAGTAGCTACGGTAGCATGCAAGTATTAGTCTTGGTGCAGGACTACAATAAGGGAAGCCCATAGTCGCAATCGAGAAAGCTGCCTCTAAGGATTTGTGACAGATTCCATTCAAAACCAAGTGAGTGATGGCAAAATGATGCATCCTCTGCAGACTTTGAGCGATCTGGGAATGGGGCTTGCACATAGGCGTCCTTTTAGGAGAAATAGATGGCCCTGGTGGATGATGCAACCACCAGGTAAACCAGGAATCGCCCTCTATTTTTCTAGAAACACAACCAAAAAAGGACACCTATGGGCTTGCCACTTTCCCCGCGCTCGAAGCAACGCGAACGACGCGCCTGGCTGAAGGCCTTGAAGGAGGCGGGGGGCTCCCCGAGCAGCACCACCGCCACCCGCTTCCAGGCGCCCCACTTCTGCAGCAGCTCCGCTCGCTCCGGCGCCCTCGGCTCGGCGAGCCGGACACATGAGCGGCCCGAAGGGAAGGAAAAACGGGGACCGTTGTTCCGGTGGGGGGCGAGTAACTCCCTCCCACCAAACAAGGAACCTGACAGAAAAACACACTGGAAGACCGTTTTCCTTGGGAAGGGAGCCCCTGTCGGGTTCTGTGTTAATCGGGGAGGGTTACCTTGGCTCGGATAACGAACCTCGTTTCTCGTTTGCTGGCGACCTTCTGTGCAGACTTGCGGACCTACTTTCCCTGGGTTAGAATGCCGAAACCTGGCAACAAAAGCTCCCGCTGACATAGGGGTTCTACACTGAATTGCCCCCTTGGATGTTGCGTTCAAACCTTTTGCACCCCGCGTTTGCATTCCCTCCTGCTGATCTCAAAAAACACAACCTTCATACTTCACACAGGCCATGATTTTGACAGTGTTTGCATTTTTTGGCGGGCGTATCAATGTCACAAACTGGGTGAAAAACATAAACATATAATGCATACACATATATATATATATATGTGCAGATTGCGGGTGACAAGTGGATCCTGGTACACAAAGTGCCTTTTATCGGTAAACAAAAAGTGGGTTATGCCTATAGAGCGATGTGGGCGCTCCTGGCCGTGCCCGTGTTTGAAATCACTTCGTTTGCGACTGAATCGAACCATCGACCAGTGCAATCTACTTTTCCAAAAAGAGACCCAGGCCACTTGAAAGTCCTTCCCAAAAGAAGTGGAACCATGGGTATATCTTAGAATTGGCGATCCCCTCTAGGATAATGAGTTGTGTTTGAAGCCAAGCCATCACCAAGCATTCCCCACAATTGTCAAGAACAGTGCGGCCGGTCCACAAGTGCCGTTGAAGTTTCTCTTGGGAGCGGGACACCAACGAAACAGCCCAACTGTTTTCAAGAACCCTTGACTCTAGAAACAACGAACATCTGGAAATGAAGAAGCATCCATGGAGTCGCAACCAAACCGAGAACTAAAGGTGTCTACCCAACATTATATGAAGAATCAAAAGGGCGGCCGAACCCAATTTTTGGGCGCCTTCACTTACCCCGGTTTTGATTGGGGCTCAATCCCCCTTGCGGCTTGGAAAGCAGAAAATAGGCTCATCGAGCACCCACATGCCTAAAGGACGTGGATGTAAAGGCCGGTCAACCTTTTGGAGCCTTCTACATGTGGCCAAGATGGGAGAACCAAACAAACAAAAGGTCTTTGGTGTGGCGTTTTTAGGGGACCCTCCAATGGTGGTGTTCCTTTTGGTTTCCCTGGAAAAATGCCAAAAAATGTGCCCTCAACAAAAACACACACCCATTTGCCTAACTGAGATCCAGCACCATGGATACCATGGTTGGGGTTTAAACCCTGTTGCTCAAAGTTCAACCCCCAAATTGTTTAAGCCAAACACCTCCCAGCCCACCTTCCAAGGGTTGGTATAGCTACGTTCGTTTTCAGAGTTCAGGCACTCTGGTTTAAATACACCTCCTGTGTTGGAAAAGAAGACGTTGGTGAACACATGTGCCCCGCTTGGTTAACAACTTGGTTGCTGTTGACCTCCCTGCAAAAAGTTATATCTTTTTGGGGGTTTAGTGGAAACCCCCTTGATTTGCCAAAAAAGTTAAAGTCTAAAGATCCAACCCAATAACAGTCAAGACAAGGCCCCCTTACGAGTGAGTCCGTTCTCCTGTTGGCCACCCTGTTCAGCACGCACGGAAAAAGCGAGCGGGGGCGCATGAGGTTGGACTTGAGCTCCATGACCACGAAGTTCCGCTTCTGAATCCTCAGTTACAAGCGTGGGCCTTGCAGAACTCCTGGCAGCTTCTGAATCGCTCCCTCTTAAACATGGCACACTTGGAGATCCCCAGCTCCGGAACAGCTCCCTGCTTTAGCCACTAGTGGTTGAGGCTCAGTACCGGGGTGAAAGCGAAGGGACTCCGAAATCCGTTGCTTTGGGGTTCCCTAGTTGAAAACACACCCACCTTCCTCCAGCTACCGCGGTTGGCCCTCAGAGGTAACAAATGTCTTTCCTGTTGAGAACCAGCAGTCAAGGGTCTCAAAGAAAACCTAACTCGTAGAGCCTCCTTTTCCCTTTTTTGACCCAAAGAAGTCGTATGCGGTCGGACAAGTTGTTTGTGTAAATCATGAAGGGACCGGGCCCCTTGTGTAGAAACTCTCGTGGGGGTCCCTTGGCCTGCCCTCAGTACATTTCTTCCCCGCCCCCATTGTACATTTGCTCTGTGCGGGCGGCGCTGGTTCATGAGCCAAGTTGCGGGTCGCAAAATCCGGGCCCGATCTTTCGTACTTTTCTGCACATGTCCGGGAACCGATTTTCTAGACGGGGATGTCTCTGTGTCATGTTACCCGTCTTGAGGTGGTGGGAAACCAACGGGAAGCCGGCCATTTTGGGAGCCCTATTTTGAGTCATAGAGTCATAATCAAAACCTGGCACAACAATGGTGAACCCACAACCATGTAAAGAGTTACTAAGGCGGCCGCGCCTATTTATGGTGGGGATTGCCCCTGACTAACCTTCATCTACCTGGGCTTTGATTGTCCAGGTCCTCCAGTAGAGAGGCTAGAATCAGGGTACCAACTTTTTTCTGCAGTCAAAATTTAGTAGGGTTGAACCCTCCCAACCAAAAAAAAAGTAACGGTAAAAAAGGGGCACCTAGCTGGGGGACCTAGTGGTGGCTCACTTGAAACCGGCTCACCCCACGGCAGCGCCTCGGTCAGCCAAGGTGCATAGCCAGGGTCTGCAGCAGCTTGCGCACCTGGAGGTCGTCCAGAGATGGGATGCCCAAGGCGATCTCCTGACAGCTCTCCGAATCCATGGGGCTGGCGATTGCCAAAAGCCCTGGCCTTACGGAAAAACCAGCTCTGCCGCCTCCCCCAAAGTTATTAATTACTCAATTACTAAGTGGCTTGGACACCAATGCCGAAACCACCCCCCCCCTTTTCTCGAAAGGTATGACCCAATTCCAAGTGGCTGTTCTCCCCAGGCCCCCTAGTCCCCCACTTCCCCCTAGCCCCCAGACCCTACACCCCCCCCCCCACCCGGTTGGTCGCGCGCTTTGGCGTTCGGCGCTTCGCCAGGGCGCCGGCTTGTCGTTGCACTGCCGCGCCGCGGCGCCGTAGCCCTTGGGCCGGTTGATGCCGCTGCGCTCGCACCACTGCAGCACAGCTCCTGGGCTTGCGGCGGCAACGTCGGAAGTCCGCCGGGGGAGGCGCAGCGAAGTCGCGGCAGTCAAACGCACGGCGGTGGTCATGTTTTGCCGGGTCTTGATTCTCCCTCCCTGCCAAAGCTTTGCGTCAGCATGGCAACGAGGGTGACTCAGCATGGCAACGAAAAATGTGCCCACTGATGTTCGGGGGCACCAACAACAGGCTGTCGGGGTTTGATTCACGCTGATTGAGTGTGGCTCAAACCCCTTTCGGATTGGAAAGCGGAAAATAACGTGTCAACCTCTTAGAGTCCTCTATCCACGGGCCAAAATAGGAAAACAAACACAACTTGAGTGTTTTTGCAGGGGACATCCCCCCAGAAAGAAAATGGCGCAATAGGTTTCCCTCTTTGGTTTCCCTTCCAAGCCAACCAAGGGGTACCCTCAAAAAATGGCACAGCGCTCGGCGGGATGTTTGAGGCTCAGTCACCATTCTAAAAAGGCTTCAGCTTGACACATACCCAAGTTTCTTGGAAGAACCAGCGCCCTTTGACTCTTCTCCGGAGTGGATTGACCAACAATAGGCCTGCTCTTTATTATCACACAACTGTCCTTCCAAAAAATACTGTCACAATGATTTGGTTGATATTTTCAAGAGGATTCCCTTGGTAACTATCAGACAGTGGTGCCAGCACCCAGTTATCCACAACCATCTCCTAGTCTTGATTTGAAGGGAAAGGGTTTTTGCTGAACAAGAAAGAAACAAAGGGCAAACGATGTCAATCCGCCAGTTTGACCCGAGTTTGACCTTTTCCAAAACCAACCGCAAAAAGAAGCGGACCCGCAAGTAAGGCACCTGTTTTTCCCCCTCTCGATGGAAAGCAAATGGGCCGAATGAATCAGTCGATTACTCAGCCTTACTCCGGAGCCATGCAATTGGTCAGGGACCCTATGGTCTTATGGTTTCGATCAATGCGTATCCTTATAACTTATGAAGTGGCCCACATCGGGGGGCACACAAAAGTCATGGATCCTGCATGGCCCTCCCATAAAACTTAAATGGAAATGGAGGAGCCCCCCGAAAAAAACTGTTAGGAAGGAGGAGTAAGACAGCCCTTAGGATCTAGCTTCCAGGATTCAGCCCGCTCCCCTAAACCAGGTTGAGCTGGGAAAATCCAGCTAAGGAGTCGGGGAATCCAACAATGCGGGGTCTTTCAGCTTGCATTTCAAACATCCCAGAAAGGGTCAACACCTGTTGCGGAGAAGTGGAAAAACCACCTCCGAAAGGAAGCTATGCTTTCAGGCTCAGGGCCTTTTTTTGTGTGTCCTTTTTTGGGCTTTTTACTCTGTTTGGGCTTGGTTTGGAGGGAAACCCACAGAAAACCGCTTTATAGGAAACCGACTTTTCGAGCATCGCTCTCTCAGTCAGGAGGCTGTCGCTGAGCTCGGTGTAGGAGGGGTGGGACTCCAAAAATTGGTCCAGCCAGTCGAAGCCACCTGGCGCCAAACAGACCCGACACTCGGCCCGTCAAAAGAAGAACACCTTGTTTGGTTTAACCCTACTAGACCTTCTTGCAAAAAAAACAAAAATAGTTCTAGTTGTTTTTTTTGTTTTAGCTTGTTTGTTTGCGGTTTCTCTAAAAAGAACAATAACACGGTTTTGTGTTTTACCCCACCAGGCCGTTTATCTTTTGCTTGGGTGAAAGTGGAGAAGGAAATCAAGGGAGCCCAAAAAGGCAAGAACTTGAGGCCAGCATTTCCAGTTACAGCCGTGACCCCGAAGGAAAGGGTTTGGGTTGTTTCTATTTTGGCAATATCCGCACGGGTCTCCCATGAAAACTCGCCAATGTGCAAACATATAGAGGGCAATATCTGAATCCACCAAGTGGGCAAAGGTAGATTACCTTGAACTTGTACACGTTAAAACCAAAAAAACAAGCACCTCAGGGCTCTGCAACATTGTGCCCTTGTTTGCAACGCACAAGCGGTTGACCGGGTCCCATCCCTATCATTACTGCATGTTTCATGAAACTGGCACTGAAAACAAACAATGTCCACAACCATGCACTTGCCAGCATCTCTTCAAATTCAAACTAGCTAGTTGAACGGGCAGAAGCTGGAAGTCGTCACGGGATAGAACCGGGAAACCGCAACTTAACTTCTTAAGGCTTCAGTCGCCCCGCACAACAATCAAGGAACGCAAGCCAGCAAGCTAACAACGCAACAACGAACATGCAAAAGCACGCCAACCGCAACAACAAACCGCACGTTGACCTGACAGTCGAGTACTCCAAACGAGGCCCGATCTTCCCGCCCAGCCCCGGAAGGCCTTCGTCCGGGAGGCACACGGGAAAAAGCACCTCCAGTGTCCGGCGCTTTTGGCAACATGAATTGCTGGAGGTTTGCGGATGGTTTCCCGGTGTACTTGATTTTCAAGTGGCCTACCCCCCCCCCGGCGAAAAAAAACAAATGGAAAAGGGAAGCAACCCACTGGGGCAAAGGACACAGAAATCAATGGTTGACCTCTTCACAAAATGAGGAACGATTTGATCAACTAGGGGAAACTACTCACTTCTCGGGTGGACTGGCCACCAAAATGGTCTTCCAGGAACTCAGGAGGTGAGACTAAAAGGTCAGAAGGGCGAGTCTCAGCAAAGGCGCCTCGTGGGTCTCGGTGGGCTCCGGCACTTTGACCGAGGCGTCCTGCTGCGAGGCGTCCTGGTGGCAGTCATGGAGTCGGCTGTGAGCTGAGTTGAAGTGAGGAAAACGTAGCTTTGATATCAAGAAGGGGTGCTCCTTTGTCCTGACTGGATTGGCCAAACAATGATCTAGGCCTTGTTGTTTACCACTAAAACGTCCAATCCCCAAAAAGGTACGAAGTCGAGGCGTTCACTTTGAGTAATCATGTGAGTCGGCAAACGTTCGGTCACAAAAAAGAGGCAACCCGTTTTGGGGCCGAGTTTTTGGCGGGGAATCCACCAAGCAAAAAGGCATACCTGGTGACACTGAAAGTCGGGAACAGGTTCAACTCCCAGGCTACTCAAGTTCAAAATGCCACTTTGGCCCCAGCTGCCACATGGCAAAAACAACAAACATGTGCCGACCTGCTCAAGAGGCTGCTCAAAAATCCCAACCTCAAACTGTTTGGGCTTGACTAAACTCCCTTCCCGAGTGCAGAATAAAACATATGGGTTTGTATTTTTTTAGGGTGGCCGGGCAGGAAGGTTTGAGTACGGGGTATGATTCGCAGGTATGATTCGCGGGTATGATTCGGGGTATGATTCGGGGGTATGATTCGGGGCGGAAGCAGCAGCAGCAGTAGTAGTAGTAGCAGTAGTCGCCGAAGTGGTAGTACTAGTAGTAATATTGTAGTAGTAACAATAGTAGTAGTAGTAACAATACTAGTAGTAGTAGTAGTAGTAGTAGTAGTAGTAGTAGTAGTAGTAGTAGTAGTAGTAGTAGTAGTAGTAGTAGTTAGTAGTAGTAGTAGTAGTAGTAGTTGTAGTAGTAGTAGTAGCAGTAGTAGTAGTAGTAGTAAATAGTAGTAGCAGTAGTCCTAGTAGTAGTAGTAGTAGTAGTAGTAGTAGTAGTAGTAGTAGTAGTACTAGTAGTCGTGGTAGTAGTAGTAGTAGTAGTGGTAGTGGTAGTAGTAGTAGTAGTAGTAGTAGTAGTGGTAGTAGTAGTAACAGTAGAAGCAGCGACGTAGTGGCGCGGAAGCTTTGAAAAGACTTGGCGCTGGCCTTGGCAAGGCAAGTTCATTGCGCGGGTATGATTCGGGTATGATTCGGGTATGATTCGCGGGTATGATTCGGCTAGGTGCAAAACGGCACTGATTACAAGCTCGTAGTAGCTGTGTAGTAGTAGTAGTAGTAGTAGCAGTAGTAGTGGTAGTAGTAGTAGTAGCAGTTGCAGAAGTAGTGGTAGCAGCTGTAGCATAAGCAGCAGCGGCTGTAGTGGTGCGGACGCTGTGAAAAAGACTTAGCACTAGCCTTGGCAGGGGAAGCTCATTGTCCGGGTATGATTCGGGTATGATTCGCGGGTATGATTCGGCTAGGTGCAAAACGGCACTGATTACAGACTCAGAATGATGTATGTGGTAGTAGTGAGTAGTAGCAGCAGCAGCAGCAGGAATAGTAGTAGTAGAAGTAGTACTAGTAGTAGTACTAGTAGTAGTAGTAGTAGTAGTAGTAGTAGTAGTCAAGGTTGTAGTCGTAGCAGTAGTAGAAATAAAGGTAGTAGTCGTAGTAGTAGAAGTAATAGTAAAGGTTGTAGTCGTAGTAGTTAGTAGTAAGGGTAGCAGAAGCAGAAGCAGAAGCATTATGGTAGTAGTAGCAGCGGTAGTAGTGATAGTAATACTCGTAGTCGCGGTAGTAGCAGTAGTAGTAGTAGTAGTAGTAGTAGTAGTAGTGGTAGTGGTAGTAGCAGTAGTAGTAATTGGAGTAGTAGGAGTAGTAGTAGTAGTAGTAGTAGTAGTAGCGGCAGTGGCAGTGGTAGTGGTAGTATTGGGTAGCGCTGGTGGTGGTTGTTGTGGAGACAGTGAACAACACAAAACGGTAGAAGAACAGTAGCATCTTGCAGCATACGTTTTAAGGGGTATGATTCGGGGGTATGATTCGGGGTATGATTCGGGGGTATGATTCGGGTCTATGATTCGGGGAGGTCCCACCTTCTGCCTTTTGAAGCAACTCAACACACCAAAAAAGTACAAACCCATATCTTCTTAGCACCGAGCAACTTCCCAAGTCGCCAACCGAAACCAAGCGCTCCTTGACCATGCGGCAAGTGAAGGGTAGAGGCGCCAAGGGCCCCGGGCCGAAGTTGTAGTGCAGCGCCATGTTCCGGAAGCCTCAAACGTTCCCTCCCGGGATCCGGAACGATATTCCCAGCCCAGCACTCAAACGGAAACTCGTCTCAAAAAGCAACACAGGGAAAACTGCTGGATATGTGTCCATTTCTCTAAGGGCTGATGAACCATTATTTTCTGCATTATGTTTAGAAACCACATTTTTTCCAGGGTGGACAACATGTGGAGAAAGGGATTCCTGACGATAGTGGGGGAGGCACGGCTGGAATTTCAGGAAAACATCCCCAAGACAACCCTCTAAATACAGCTTTTTAGGAGAAACACTTCCCAAAACGTGGAACACCCTTCAACATGTGAAGATTGTCAGAATACTGTCCCCATAATGGATTCGGGTCACCCTCCCACCACATGGAACCCACCCCAAGCTCCTTTTTTGAGGGTCCCTTGAAGTCCCTTGGTATGTTCCTCAAATTTACAGTCTATACTAATGTACACCCCAAGTAAGGGACCTACATCCTGGTGAGCTCGATTTGCTCCGAGGTGAGCTTGCCAACGGCCTAATGATTTAATTCCTTCAGGCTTCCGACATGAGCCTACCTGGCACGTTCCCCAGAACACCACTTGACACAAGGATCTGTCTTTGGAGCTGGCACCACATGTGCCCAACGAGTCCACGACCTCCACTGGCCCCTTTGCCCGTCCTTTTGCTTGTTGCCGTACCCCCGCAAGGAAAAAGGGCTCCACGGCAGGGAAGCAAACATGTTTGGTAAGGGCCCCCACCGTGTTTGAAGGCTGCCTCCTTCCATACCCAACGACGCATATGGGCAAAAGGGAGCCCTATGTGAGTTGTTTGCATGTTTAGTGGGACACGCGCCAAACAAACAGGGATTAGGAGGGTGCTAAACACATTGAACACTGGAATCAATTTGCCTCTGGGGCGTTGGGATGAACATCCTGGCATCCGTGAAACCGGCTCTGTGCGAGGAGCTGAGGGCCGGGTAAAGGGGCTTACCCTTGAGCTGGTCCGGCAATGGCCGGGGTGGCGAGGCACGAAAGCCGTCCTGGACGCTAACTCTGCTTGGCCCGACTCCGGGGTGGGCCAAGTGTTCAGTTACTCACTTTCGGCCAACAAAAAGCCCAAACTTGTTGTTTGCCGCTAAAATGGTCCAAGCCAAAAAAATGACTAAAAGTCCAGGAACTCAGGAAGTGGGTTTGAGATTCTGCTTCGCCTTCAACGACGTTTGGAGCAGACCCCCGCCTAAGAACGCACAAACCAAGACACGGCCCGCCAAAAACCTGCACATGCAAACTACTAAGCGGGTTATGGATCCTATGCGCGCAAGCAAAACATTGGCGTCCGCATCTGTGCCCTGCGACGAAGCCACGCTGGCTCCAACCTTTGTAACCCCAAGCCTCCACCATAGCGACAGCAGTGAGGAAAGGCCCGCTATCGCGATGCGCATGGCTTGTAGGAATGGATGGGCGAAAGTAAGCCAACTTGTTCACAGCCAAGCTGCCTTCCCAAGAAGTATCACTTCAGAAACAGAGAACATCCAAAGAAACGTCTTGTTAAAATGGTCCCGGAGATTTATATGGCTGTGGCTCAAAACCCTGTACCCCTGGTGAACATCAAAATAGGTGGCACATGGGTGTTCATCCGCCCCAAAATGGAGGCATAGGCTATTGACCCATGGCCATATGAATCATTCAACATGGGAAGTGAAACCACCGGAGCACCGGTGAGGTGTTGAGTTGGCCAAACATCTATAACGAGATCTCCCCAGTTAAGCCCAACGGCCGTTTTCGGGTGCTCCCAGGTCCCAGTCCGCAAACCGTTAGACCCGCAAAACGATAGACTGTGTTGCCTCTTCTCCTGAGTAGATTTGCGTTGCTAGTTCACTAGCAGGGCAAGCGATCTTTCCGGTCAATCCCAAGGAACTGCCGAGAAAACTGCGACCAAGAACATCGAAGCCGGTGCAGTTTGAAGCTCCACTCAGCAAGATACTCATTCACGACGAACCATGTTCGAACCTGTGTGTTGAAACCTTTGTCAAGACCACGGCAGCTTGATTCATACTTTCGCCATCCACGAAAGACACATCTAGATTCCAACATCGTACTCGTAGGCGTTTCGTTGCACGGGAAGTGGGCGAAGAAGCGCGTTTCCTCCCTTACAAACTCGATGCGTCTGGCTTTCATGTTATCAAATCCTCTTCTGCAGGATGAAAGGCTGCTGGCTGCCGTACCAAGCAGCAGCCAAGTCAGGATGCCTGCAGGTTCTGCCGCCAACGGCGGCCCTTAACCAATGAGAGGCCCGGGCCCTTGGGGGCTTGCAACCAATGCACAATTGGGAGGGTAAAAGCGTCAGCTTCCCTGGGTATCGAAAACCAGCTATAGCTGTTCTGCAGGCCCGGAATAAAAAACAATTGAAACATTGCTAAAACGATCCTGGGGAAACAAAAAACGACATATATACCCTTTTGGATGCCTGAAAGGCTGCGAGAAAAAAGAAGGAAAACAAACGCCGCGAAAAAAAAGACGAAAACTCGTCGTCAGGGTGGGAGTGTCCTTGAACAAGCTCACGGTGTGGCAGAAAGGGCTGGAGGGATCCAGGTTCACCACCTGAAGCGGCCAGCTGAAGGAAGGAACGCTCTGATTTCCTAGCCTGGCTTTGTTTTCAAAAATTGGGGGGGGGGGGGGGGTTTGGGGGGCGAGTTTCAGGGGGTTCCCAAGACGTCCTGAGAACCTCCGCTTTTTTCGAGGGTGAGGGTGACTTGAGGCTGTCTTGATCAAAATGGATTTAGTGGAGTTGTGTGGAACCCCGCCAAAATAGTGGGTCCAGTCCGGTTTTCAAGCCGCTGCCCACCAGGGGTGGGGACCCTGAAAAGATTCGGAATCCACTGCTTCGCCTGCAGGGTTTCCCATATTTCCCGGAGCTCACTTCTGCGCTGGCCAGAACAATTGAGTCTTTGTGTGATATCCTAGGTCCTCCAGTATAGAGGATAGAAATGGGAACCCTTTTTTCTAGTCTATTTTAGTAGGGGAACCCTCCCCCAAAAAAGGGTAAAAAGCGCACTACTGGGGGACCTAGTATCACTAAGCTGGTCCAAGCCCAAGAAGTGACTACTGTCAAGCCTCATGAATTTGATTCGGAACTCGCTGGTCGCTGGTTTGTTCTTCTTTCCGAAAAGTGGCTCAAGTCCAAAACGAAGGTTTCCAGAAATCAAAAGTTGATCAACTTCCCCGAGGTTCCATTGAATAAGACCCTTCATAGACCTAAGGCCAGCGAAACTGCGAGCGAGCCGCCAGCGCCAAGATGTCCCCGGTCGTGAACTTCTGCGCGACGTACAAGGTCTTTCCTCAGCAAACTCGGGTCACACTACCCATAAAAAGTTGGAACCATTCCACAATTCTGAAGCTATAACTCATTCAGGGGCGCACTTTCTGTTGGCTGATGCTCCAAAGGAACCAATGGATTTCCCTTCAAAACAAGAAGAAGCAAGCGTAATAATGAGCAACTAGCCAACTTTCCAGGGGGAGGGGGGGAGGGTGCGCAAGTTTCTCTTGCCCACAAAACGGGCAGTCGAATTGGAATTTCAGGAGCCCCCCCCTCACTTTTCCAATTTTAAAGGACATGCCTGAGCGGGTTGAAAAAGCCCAAAAGAGTCTGAGCTTTCTGACCTCTGAAAGGGTAGTATTTCGAATCCAGGAACTCAGGGAGGGGAGGCTTGCAAAAGACCCGAAGCTCACGAGCAAACAATCTCTTCCCGAGTAAGCGTCTCTTGTCCCGGAACCAGCTGCCATCGGAGTCAAAGCACACGGAGTCCTAAGCACTGAGACAAGCTGAGAGAAAGCGTCAAGGTCCACGGATGAAAGGACCCAGGTGAAAATACACCTAGATAGCCAAGTTGCTGATTTGCTCAGTCACTGTTGCTGGTGTTTGGGGTAAAGTGGATGGAACAAAGTGCTGTTCCTTGGATTTCCATCGGAAACACATACTGCACTTTTACGCAGTTGAATTTAGGGGGCCAGTTCTTTCAACAAAAAGGCAAATGCAGCGCCGCAGGTGCCCCCGCTAATGTAATCACCACCCCACCAAAAGAATTATTTTAAGCATGCCCAAAAAAGTGAGCCCTGGCATACTCGTTAGAAGCGGTTGCTTCAACGAGTTCTGACAATGTTTTCCGGGTGTGTCTCTCTTGTGCCGCGGGGGCAAGGAGCATGCCCTGCTTTGATTGGGTACTTTTCGGCCTACCGTTCTTCATACTAGCTCGGCCATGGTAGCAAGTAGCTGTTGTTTCCGCCGTCCATTCACCCTTTCTTGAACAGAGTCAACAAAAGAGAAGCAAGCAAACAACTGGGTGAAATGGCCTCGTTAAGTAATTAGCGTGCCAGGCATTCGACGCTTTTGAAATCTGGCTTTCTGCTGTCTGGCTTGCCTAAGGCAAATCAATGCTTAAATTAATCTTATTCTTGGTTTACCAGTCATGGTCAATTTCCCAAGCCATTTGGACACAAGTGGGTGCTGTTTGTTGAGGATTGCTGGGAAAGGGGATGGTGCCCTAATTGGATCCAAGAAACTGCTCCACCCCCCGAACACACCCGCTGTTCTGGCCCCAAAGAAAACTGTGAACGATCGAAGTACACAAATGATCGCACTGAAGTCTTTGTACCCTCCTTTCCTCTGAGACAAGCCTCCGAGGACACGACCCCAACCCCCAAATCTGCTTGGTCATTGTTCTGCAAGTTTTTACAACGATTGCAAGCCCCGAAAAAAGACTTGGATTCCCAAGAAAAGGACCTTGGATGGATCTGGGCTGACTGCTTTGAGGTTCGGGGCAACCCTGAGAAAACTTCAACGTTTCCATAAGGAGTGAGGAGTGAGTGAGCACTGGAAAAATAAGGAAAGCTACAGAAGAGGAGACAGTCGTCCTCCAGGTAATCAAAGCCTGGTATTTACATGGTCTACCTGGAACCATGTGCAGAAATACAAAGGCAGCTATCCCTCGTTCGGCTCAGTGAGCTCGGCTGATTCGTCCAGCATGTAGATGCGGGGGGGGAGGTTCATTCAACCCTGATCTACCTCAGCTTTTACCCCCAACCATGCCCAACCTATAAGATGTTTTAAGATGTTTGATCCTGGCAGGGATTCTTTAAAAGCTACGCAAAGCTAATGGGAAGAAAGCCCCAGTGATGTTATAGGGTTCCCTATGTTCTCCTGAAAACGTCACGCCAAGGAAATCGCCTTCAGACCTTGAGGCCCCAAAGGCGACGATTACAACCAAAGAGTCAAGCATACGACCACTGTGTGAGGGATGTGGCGAAATCAAAGAACGGTTTCGCGGTTTCGGAAGGTGTTCTTTTGGTTTCCCTTGCCACCTCCAAACAAAAGTCCTTCACAAAACAAAACGACACTCATGTGTCAAACCCACCTGATTTAGGGGAGCCATCAACAACAAAAACGCACAGAAGAGGGTTTCTCGAACAAACCCAACGGGTCCAAGTGGCTCCTCAGGATGGCTTTGGGGGGGGGGGGTCAAAAAGGGGTCTAAGTAATTACTAAACCCCAGTTAATTACTATGGGGGTGTTCCCCTCCAAAAGTGGTCTGAATCCCCCGACTAAAACCAGGGACACCCTCATATTAATAAGGGGGTTATAAAAATCTGGGGTCAACACATTGGAAGGCACCAAGGGACCTGGGACAAACAGCCCCCGACCCGCAGCGACTCGCGACCGCCGGACGACCTCCGAACGACCTGTGGACCTCCGAGGCGCCGGGGTCTCGCCCAGGAAGAGCGAAGCCCTGGCCGTGGACACGCCGATTCGCAGCTGGCTCCTGCGATCGGACGTCGGAGTTCCGGTGTTTGATACTGGGCGCCACGTGCCTGAAAGCAAAGCTTGGGCCTCCTCCTCAGTACAACGGACGCAGACATAGAAGGTTTTTCTTGGGAGACCTTGATTCACGGACCAGGAAGGGGAAACCAAAGGGCAAAAGCTCGGTTTTGGACTGAGCAAAGCACCTACTGCGACGTTTTGTCTGTCACAAAATGGTCCAAACTCCTGAAACCCAGGAACCCTTCTCCAACACAGGTGGGCGATTCAACGCCTGAGCCCTTCTCCACACACAGGTGGGCGATTCAGGTGTTTAACAACTAGTGTGGAAAACACACTGAGGAAAAGGAAAACGGGTTGGTGTGTTTTTGCGGTATTTGTGGTGTGTTTCAGAGTAGCGTGCGATTGTGCGACAGGGTAATATCAGAGGCGAAATAATTGCTCACATGGCCATGGGTCAAAAACCCCGTACCCCCAGTGAACATCAACCAATCCCCACTAGAATAGACTAAAACGGGTGGTGCACCTATCCCAAAATGGTACCATTGGCTTTGAACCACAGCCAAATAAACTTGAACCCATGAGTGTACCCCGAAGCGAAATTTTAATTTAATTTCTGAGGAACACAACTAGGCGCGCTTCTTGGGGAAGTGCTCAGGTTTTGCCGGAAAAAATGGGAAGATTGACTGTGTGCCAAACTGCCTGCTTCTCGAATTAAAGCAATCACTTGAACATCACTGTTGTTGGGGATGGGGAAGTGTCAAACTTCCAAACTGGAAACAGGAAAACTACTCAGTACGCGATGTGCTCTCAGGTAAGCAAAGGTATTCAGACTGTGGATGCGCAAACCCTTTACCAGTTGGGGGGTCCTTTGTGCCACTCATGGGGTTTCATCCATCCAAGTGGTGCAGGATGTATCCGCCCACCGCATCTGACAATTCTACTGCGCACTTCGATGGGTTATTCTTTGTCATGGACGATCGATGTCCTTGGGCCCAGCATTCGGCTACGGGCTGCCGGGTCTTCATGTGGAGTGCCTCGCAATGGGCATATCGAGTATTTTTTGAGGGAACCTTTTTGGGTTTGTGCAAAAAGGAGCCAGCATGTCGACAGCGTTGGGAGAATTCCCCCCAGTTTAAGACAATGCCGGCTGATTGAATGCATTCTAGTGTGATCGGGTTATTCATGCTGGCTCGTTCGCTGCATCCCAGCACACGCGTGGTCACGAACCCCCCCCCAACCGACCCGCAAGTTGATGGTTTAGTTTGTTCCCTGCAAAAACATCGCACGCGACTTTGGCATACCACAAAGTCGGGCAACTCACCATTTATCACGTAATTGACTCTGCCGAAGCCGCGCTCAAGTGGAAGTTCCTCCACAAGCAGGTTTCCTCATGTTTGGCTCCACTTCAAACTTGCCCAGCGCCCATCAGACAAGGGACAACGACACGACTCGCCAGCTCCGGAAGTATTTCTCACCACACCCAATTCATATCCTCCCACCTTGGAAGCTGAAGGCCACTGACAAGCTTCCTCTACGGCATCTGGCCGTGAGTCAAAATCCCGGTTAGCCCCCAGTGAACATCAACCAATCCAACCACAAAATAGGTTCTAAAATGGGTGGTGCACTTGCCACACAATGGTACCATTGGTTTCGACCCACAGCCATCTCTTTGTGGGTTCCAGGAGTGTGGCTTGGAGCAGAGTTTCGGCTCTTGGCTACGCCAAAAAACGGAACGACTGCAATCCGGGGTCGCTCATGCCTCTGGGAGTTGACAAACACGAGAAAAATGCCTGGGCCCCGCAACCAAATGCATGCATCTTCTCATTCTTGCCCATATTTAGCGTACCCTACATCGAAATTCGCAAATCAAACGAGATCTCAGGAACCGACAAGGAGTGGCCAAAGCAATGAGGAAACCTCGAGATGTGTCCGGGCGGCTACTCTCCAGGACTTTTACTTCGAACATGTAGCGCCCGGATTTCAGGCCCACGTTGGCCTGAGCAAGCGACTGGAACCCAGACATCGGAACGGAGACTGCCCCTTCCCACGAAAGCTTGAACCGCAAAATGTTGCGGCCACAGGAAATTGTAGTGCAGAAATATCCCTAAGTACTATGTTCAAAACGTGTTGCCGATATAAAAGCTTGTAGTGACCAATTGACTTTGTCAAATATTTGTCCTGCAAATTGTTGAGGCCAAAGGAAATTATTGTCCAGCAATGTCCCTTAACAAATTGTTCAGCATCTGTTGGCCCGCAAACCTTGTGGTCACCAATTGTTCAGTCAAACGGTTGGTCTGCAAGTTGCTGATTCTACAAAGTTGTACTTCTAGTAATTTGTCTTGATTTATACATTCAAACTATGCCCTTCCTGTAAAAACATGCAGCCACATTGTTTGTCAAACATTGGGCCGTTCCGTTTTGGGGTTCACCATGTTTGGTGGGGCTTCGCCAAACAAAAAAGGGAAAAGGGGCATATGAATATGGAAGTTTGGTTTTACCCGCTTTCCAACAAACCTGGACGTTGACAAGCAATTCTCCAGCCTCTTGACAAGGCCCTGAAAACGACAACTCCCATGAATTGTAAGGGGTCAATCGCAAGTCTCCCCATCTCCTCAAAAAAGCCCAGGCGAACTGATGCGAACTGTAAGGACCCCTGGAGGAACCCACTCCCTTAGCCAAACTGATGCATGCCTGGACCCACGGGCTGGAAACATCTACCAAGTGCTTGGGGAAAAATACGGGTTCAGCGCTTGGGGTACGGTGACCCACGCGCAGGAAACGGCACAAACAGAGCAGGCTGAAACACCCCTGCATAGCACAGCCCTCAGCCACCCAGGAAGTAGTTTCATTCGTCGTGTTGTTTTCCCTTGTGACCACGCCCCCTGTAGCATGCACCGCGGACCGTCCCTCTGCATCCATTAGGGGTGGTGAGCTTCTGTGGGTTCCCTCGGCCCAAACCAAAAGAGTACCCCGCGCAAAACAAGCCCCAACTCAGCTCAACGAGTGACCTGAAAAGTAGGAAACGTAGGAGCAAGTAGGTACAAGAGTTCCCGCAAGTAGGTTTCCCACCGCCAAACCAACAGAAAATGGAATTGGGGAATTAGGGGCCCTTTGGTGGACATCAAATTTCGGCGGGATTCACGTCCACCAACCACTTTTCAGGCGATTCCATTCCAAAAATGACGTCGCCTTTCGGGGGATTCTACCCGAAACATAATTCTATTCCATTCTAAAAAATCGTAGGATTCTTGTCTATGTCCTCCAGTAGAGAGTTTAGAATAAGGGTACCATTTTTCTGTAGTCTATTTTAGTAGGGCAACCCTCCCCCAAAAAAGGGTGAAAGGGCACTATTGGGAGACCTAGTTTCATTGGACAAATGTCTGTTTTTGCGGGATCCACTATAAATGTTCCCTGCAAAACCGACCAAACAGGGCCCCTCATTTTTGCTTGGAGGACCTAGTTGTGTTTTCTTGAGAGGGGCTCCAGATCCGATTTCTCCATGCTCGGGCAGGCCTTGGCGCCGGCCATAAGGTACTGCAGCCCGCTGTCCGACAAAGTCATCATCATGTTCCCCGTGCTGGCGGGCATGATGTTCCTCGGCATTCAAAAGCACGTGTTTTCGTTTTGTTTTGTTTTTTAAACGATGGGATTCGCTCCAGGGCTCTCTACAATTGTGGTTTTCCTTTGATTGCGTGTAACACATCAAAAAGGGATCAAATAACGGAACCATTAACAACACAACACACGTAGATCCCCGGTAGGCGCGCGCCATAAAATAGGAAAACTCGGCAATCCCCTTGACGCCCTAGTTTGGCGCAAAGAAGGGACCCTGCTGGAAGTGCGAGCATCCCTGTTTAGAGGTCCCTTGGATTTGCCCCTCGGGCCTCGGGCCAAATGCAAACCCTGCCTTCCAACGCCCCGCAACTCAAAGGGGCCAGCCACAGCGGGTCTCTTGGACCACCCCATGCCCCCCATAGCACGAACCGTCGAACGGTCGAGCTGAGGGTGCCGCATGGTGGTGTCCTGCAGGGCTACAAACTTGGCCGTCCGAAGGTGCCATTGAAGCAAAGGTGCACCAGTAACCACAGGAACCCATGGAACCGAAAGCAAATGTTCAGGCCTTTGTGCCAAGAAAAAACATCGAACTTGCGCATCGGGCTTGGAAATGACAGGTCCAGATGTTTACCTGTCCCCAAGCTCAAGGATCCATCCAAACCCCTCCCTCCTGTCCCCCAAAAAAGGTCCCCAATCAAGCCTTCAATCCGTATTCTGAAGGAACACAAGAGGGGTTAGGACAGGGGAGTATCCGAAACTCGGCTCTATCCCCTCCTCCACCAAGAAAGCCGGCAGCTCCTTAATCCTGGGCGCCTTGTCGATGGGCGCATCCTCCTCCTGTCAGGGGATTGGATCCGCACGCCGCGGCCGGCACACAAACCCAGAAATCAAAACATGTTTACCTGTAAGAACACCTCGCCTAACAGTCGACGAGGAAACCAAGGAAGCTGCAAGGTCTTTGAAGGTCGATTCGCTTCGGGCAAGCGAGAAACCCCTAAATCAACCCATGGCCATCACCTGGTGTTTGGACCATGGCTAAATGGCTCCCAGCTGATTCCTATTGTGGAAGGACAAAATCCGGCACTACTTGGAAACCATGATAATTAAACATTTTTTGTGGGATTTACAGGAGAATCATCATTTCAGGGGTTCGTTGGTGGTGCATGATTTTGTCCACCCACAGTACGAACAGGAGCAAAGCCAACATAGCCCACCTCTAAGAACTTGGTCAGTTGTCTTGTTTCCTGCCCGGGTTGCTGGGCAAATGGTGGATATCCATGGTCATGCTTCGAGACTGTGCTTTTTCGTGGCCCACTTTCAACCAAGACTACTTCAAAGGCGGCAGTGCATCATCGAGAAGTGTAAAAACAAATTGGGGAACCCGTCTGATACAAAGAAAACCCTCACAATTTTTCCGGATGGAAATTAGTGCATTGGCAATTGCAACCAAGAAGTTCAAAGGCCCCGCGCCTGAAAAAAAAACGTACCCCTGCTTTTGCTGAGAAGGAGTCAGCTTTCCTCCAAAAAGGCCTGAAGATAAGGACATTGGTTTGGGAAACAGGAGGGGCTAAGGGTAGGGCTTGGACCCTGCTATTTCATTGACCCTTTCCCCCGGCCGTGGCAAAACAGAGGGTTGCATGCTCAACTTGTGGCTTTTCAAGAAAAGCCAAAACCCTCCAAAGAAGACTGGCAACAAGGGCGAAAAAACACTTTTTTGGCCGTTTCTTGTTAGTTTGTTTAAGGGAAACCCTCCCAACGAACCAGGAAACGCTCCCCCCGGAGCGGCGTCAGGGCCTCTTCCGTCCGCGGCTTCTTGGCCGGGGGCTCCATGGCGCGTCGGCCGCTCCGCCGCGGGACCCGGCGGACGAAGCGCCGGCGGCTTCGCGCTGAAGCCGAAGCTTCGGCACGGCAAGGCTCGTGGCTCGCCGTGTTTGGGGCCCTGTTGATCGCCGGTTTTTCAAGCAACTCGGCAAGAAATATTAAAACAATTATATGACTGATAAAGACTTATGGATTGAGACGACGACCTACATTTGATGAGATGTTGTGACGCAATCCTCCCCCAAAAAAAAGATGAGGAGCCATTGCAGCCCGGCAAGCACCGATTGGTGACCACCCCAAAACCAAAAGCAAAAAAACAAGGATGTGGAGCCATTGCAGCCCGGCAAGCGGCTGGTGACTGTGGCGCTCCAGAGCTCCCGATCTATTTTGAATCATCCTTGGCCACTTGGCTTCTCCATCCATGGCCAGCTATTAATAACCCCAAATGGTTCAATTTTCAAGATTCGGAGGCATCCTCTCCCAGCGAGCCCCCAAGATTACAAAGCCTCAAAACCACATGGTTCAAAGTGCATCATTCTTTCGTTCGCACTAAGGCCTTAAGCGCTTGGGCTTCTGTCAACGGTGCCAAAAGCACAAATTACCCATATACATGTTGCATAATATAGTATCCATCGGTCTTTCATTTACCTGGGTTGCCGTTGAAGCAACCAATTAGATGCCACTAGGCCTCAGTTCACTCCAAGAAAAACAGAGGACGCCTCCCTTTAGCTTCCCTCGAGGTGCCGCTAAGCCTCCAAATCCAAAGCATTGACTATCAGCTTCCCCCTAATTGGCTGGGAATTCAACTGCTGGCTCATGGGATCTGCACCCCGGAACACACAGCCAAACCACCCAGCCAAACCAAGTGGGCTTTGCTGAGACGCCCCCGAATAATTCACAATCCCCAGCTAATTGATAGGGTGCCCCTGGTTTTGGTGGGGTACACACCCCATATTCATAAACAGGGGGTTTATTCGTCCGGGCGTCGACATTGGCTGTCACATCCCTCTGGCTTCTCTTGCGCCTGGAAGGCAAAGCGTGCAGGCAGTGACGGCGGAGTTTTCCTTGGCGACATGAACAGGGATCCGAGAAACAAGAGCAACCAAATTAACCAAAGGACTCAAAAGAAACAACCAACCAAAACACGCCCCCCAAAAAATCAAACCAACAACACGAGAAACAAAACCAAACCAACAAATACACTCCCTTATTTATACACCAAACCAACAAGGTAACGTTGTGTGATGCCCAACCCTTGACCAGAAACCACGCCAAAACTGCATCCAGCTTGACAAGGGGGTTCGAAATAAAACCTTGGAACAAGGTGATTACCTGTTGGAGTGATGAAGCGTGCGAACTAAACATAGCCGGATCGTCAACCTGCCAACCTAAACCGAGCAAGTATGTCCCCTTGAAACATCCCCTATACGAAGCTTACGCAAACAACGCCCGCAGCCTGACGTCAAACAAGGGCATGCGGGTGAGCGCCAGTCATCTGACTGTCCAGTTGAACAAAATCCCGTGGCTTGAAGGTGCCTTGGTGAAGTTGGGGTCGCGAGTTTAACCGGTAGCAGAAGTGATAGCTTCCGCGCAAAGAAGTATGCATATATGGCCATGGGTCAAAACCCCGTACCCCCAGTGAACATCAACCAATCCCCACTAAAACAGACTCAAATGGGTGGTGCACCTATCCCAAAATGGTACCATTGGCTTTGAACCATGGCCATATACACCGACGATACGTTGAGGCACTATGCAAACACGCATGTGAAAGGCTGGAGCCGATCACGCAACGCATGTTCAAAACAGCCAGTCAGCTACAACGCATGCACAACACAAGGCTTTGCAGCCGTCCGGGGTAGCTCACTTTGCAACATGCTCTTCGGACGCTTCCGCACTCTGAACCAATCCTTCCGCAGACCAACTAAGTTTCTTCACGGATTTTGATCGCTGTTCTGAAATAGAAGCTCATGCCGCGCATCCGGGTGGTCCCCCAACCCGCCCCCCAAGCCAACCGTAGAGTATCAGCTCGAGGCGTCCGTTGGAATAGGGGAAAAAGCGAGAACAACTTGCTGGTGCTCAGTAGAGAATGACCTTCCGGGTCTCGGGAATGAAACCACCAGTCGGATTGTTTATGCCGTTCATTCCAACTCGTTCCCCGCCTATCGAACCAGCAAGACTGGGCTGTCCTCAGATCCCCCACTAAAAGTTTCACTTTCAGTGGGTTAAACGGAAATCCCCACTAACCACAAAAAGTCTAAAAAGATCTAAAAGCTAAGGGGAGGGCTGGGAACCACCAAGAAGACAAACACCATCATTTGGCCAGGCGTCGTTCCAGGTACCAGGCGGACAGCTGAGGCACTGCGCATCCCCGGAGGCGCCCGGCTCATCGGAGAACCTGCAAGGACGCTGACCCTGGAGCAGCCAGTGAACCAGGCCAAAAAAAGGAGCACGTTTTTTCTAGGGGTTGATTCCTCTTTCTTTTCAATCATCGTTCTTTTCAAAAACCAGCCGTTTCCCAAGGGGTTTGGGTGCTTTTTTAGAATGAAGGATGCCTGGAAAGAATGGGGAAGGTACCCCTAGAGTTTTGAGATTGGCCCTTTCCTATGCGGTCCCGAACCCGGCGAAAAAAAAGTGGTTGCTGGTTGTTTAGGGCGTCAATGAAACAGCTCAACAAGGTTCTGCACAGGATCTTAAACTCTTTTCCTAAGGTGGATTGGCTAAACAATATCTAAACTATTGGTCCATCACTGAAAGGGTCCCACAACGACACGTCCCGGACACTCCAGTTGACGTGGATCTCAGAAATCCAATCCAATTTTGCCAATGCAAATAGTGCACTCCGATGTATAAAAGATGACATGTTCAGACTATGCTTCATGTTTTGCCAACCCAAACTCCAAAATCATGGATTGGAGACCCCATCAGTTGCCACGAGAACATGGCAGATCAAGGAAGCCCTCGTTGGATTGATTTATTTTAGCATGGACTCCACCAAAGCAAAAACATGGGTTTTCATGATATGGCCATGGGTCAAAACCCCGTACCCCCAGTGAACATGCCAATCCCCTCAAATGGACATACCCCGCCAAAACGGCCTTGTGCAGGGCTACTTGTTTTGGGAGATGTACCCTGTATAACCCATGTACAACCGCTCATTTTGGGGGAGTATGTCCATTTGGAATCCAGCTGGCCCTGAGACTTAAAAGGCACCCGACTCATGAGGTCCACTGCGCAAAAAAACCGCCTCGTCTCCGTCCCGCGTCGCGCCTGCCGGGGGAACAGGCCTCGCAGGTGGCGCTGGCGACTGCCCCGGTGGCGTTGCTGAAGCGGCCCGCCTGCGCCAACCAAATGCTGCGCCCGGTGCGAAACCCATGGGGAACCCAAGCCCATAGGAAACCCATGGGGAACCCATGGGAAACCCATAGTGAACCCATAGGAAACCCATGGGAAACCCATGGGGAACGTATCGGAAACCCAGGGGGAACCCACGAAACCTGCAAGGAGCCCTTTGGAAACCTGCCCTTGTTGGGGCGCCCTGCGGCAAATGCAGGGCGCAAAGGGGTGTATCTTCGTTTGGGCAACACGTTTGGCTTTAGTAAACCAAGAGGAAACCAACTGGGTCCTCCAGTGGAGAGGTTAGAATAAGGGTGCCCTTTTTTCTGTGGTCTTTTTAGCCCTCCCCGAAAAAAGGGTAAAAGGGCACTACTGGGGGACGTAGTCAAGAAAGTCTCCCTACTTGGAGATACGCCCACAATCAAGACATGGTACGTGAATGTGAAACTTGTTGCGAGTTTGTGGGAAAGTGCACATCTTCCCGAAGACTTAAAGGTAGTAGTTCCGCACCCAAGCATGAAACTGTGGTAAACCATAGGTTTGGGGAGGCTAAACATGATAAACCATGAAATCAAATGGAATGAAGCAGGCTAATCAGGGTGCACGGTGTAAAAGGAAACAAACACACGGCAAACCGACAGGCAAATAACGATAGTGATGATGACGATGATGATGATGATGATGATGATGATGATGATGATGATGATGATGATGTTGATGTGTTGTTTAAAATGAAACAAACACATATTTTAAAAAAGCTATGTAAAGCAGCAGGTGCACCATGGTAATTCATAAGCATGAACAAGATACACAATGGCAATCAATCAATTAAGATGATGCAACACAAGGAAACACCTGGTAAGCCGTGGTAAGCCAAGTGGTTCGTAAAATAAGCCATGGTAGACCCTGTACATAGCATAAACCATGGTAAACTGTAAAGCAAACCGTCAAACATGATAAACCATGATAAGCAGTTTTCCAAAACGGGGCCAACCGTTCACCTTGTATGCATGCGTGCTGAAAGACAAGGTAGAGCCTTGGTAGCCCGTGCTAAGCAACACAAACGGCTCAACCATGGTACACCCTGCAGCCCTGCAAGGAGAGATGCACAGTATAAAGAAAGGTGTACAGGCTAAAACATAAAGCAGTGATTATCCACTTAAAGTAGGCCATGAAGCCGAAGAAAGAAACATGCAAACCACAGCCGACTGTGAAACAAGCGGCATGTGAAGCACAAGATGCCCACTCAACCCTCATAACAGTTCAAAGGGCGGAAAGACGCGCTTGTCTCATGCCAAACGGACTGCCCCTTAGCAGCCTTAGCAATTCACATTGAATTCTCAGCCTGAGAGGTGCGCCGCTTTCGCTGCGCATGGGTTTTGTTGGAATGTGTGTGTGTGTGTGACCTGCTGGTTTCCCTTGCAGCCCTTCCACGAACGTCTTGGAGCTGGTGGCCAAAGCTGTGGGGGATCCTTCATCCCAATTGCCAGACTCTGCGAGTCATTTATGTTTCTTCAGCCTCGTTTCTTCCTTGCGTACCCACCCAGCAACAAACCTGACTGGAGGCCCATGCATCACTGAAGGCTGTTTTGCGCAAGGGGCCTTCTCTTGTGTTTGGCACATATTGGTGGAGGGTAAAAACATGAACAAGATGCAAGTTGTTCAAGCCAAGTCACATTTGCTCATCTTAAATTTGGAAGGACCCACGCTTTTCCTGAGTGGATCGGCCAAGATAAGTCTGAACGTTTTTCAAAGGTCCTTTTCTGGGGCAGTGAGATGAACATGATGCCAGCTGCCCCGAAACCCTCGAACACCTCTTGCCAGTACGTGGGTTTCTGAAAGCCATCCCTTTTAGAGGCAGCCTTGGTTCCTTCCTTTCCCGTTGTCCAGTGACCCTGGTTGCAAAAGAAACCTGGTTGGGATGCTCGCCCTCAGGGTAGAAAGAGACCTCACCCTGCCTCTAATAGGTGGTTTGGTGGTTTGGATGTTACGGGTGTAACTTCCCCATTCGGCATCGAAAGGCAATGGGGTTCAAGCCCCCAAGCCCCCAATCCACACAACCAACTAAGGGACACCTGAGCATATGTCCACTGTTGTCTTGCATCTATCATCTTTACAGACGGAAGTGCGAACAAAAGGTACATTTCAGGGAGCCACCGGACAACGACCACACAAAAATTACACGTAGTATCTTTTGCCTTCCTGTTTTAGAGGGGACCTTCCTGAGTGGATTCTGAGTGGATTGGCCAGAGAGCTCAAACTTTTTGTTTACAACTAAAGCGGTCTTCCCAACAAGTGACTAAACTCGGCGCCCAAGGGAAGCACCCGAAAAGCCAAGCACTCCATTCAAGGGCGCCTCGCAGAGCTCGCACTCTGAGGCTCCTAACCTTGGTGAAAGGAAGACATGGGAAGGCAGAGTGGAAGTGGGTTTTGCGCCTACCTTCCTTTGAGGGAAACCTTGGTTTTGTTGCTTGTTCTTTTTCGTTCTTTTTTTTTGGTGTGTGTGTGCATTAAGGGTATCCTTGTCGGGTCAGTGATAAAAGATAACCGGAGGAAAGCCACGACGTGCTTAGGGGCCTATATTTTGACATACCCTTCTTGTTGGCCGAAAGGAGGCAAGGTTTGGCCACTCTCCAAGGGAGAGTGGGCAAAACTTTGGGCGTACAAAACGTGGGTCAGACCAAGTTGGAACAAACATCTCAAACAGCAGGTGGTTCACCAAATTAAGACAACCGTGAAACCTGCGGTTTGATGGTTAATTTGCTGAACTCGAGCAACAAAATAACAAATAGAGCCAAGGAGGACCCCCAGTGGCCAGGAGAAAAAAAGGCGCCCTTTTTGTTGGTGGTTGTTTTTCAACGTCCCTCCAAAAGAAAAGCCCACCGGAGAAAACAAGACACCAGATTCAAAAGCCTCAAACATCTCCAGGAAAACGCTCTTGGCTGCAGTGGACCCCTCTGCAAAACGTGTTTAACTTGTGAGTTCAGTGGAAGACCCCCTGTTCTCAGCCCAAAAGGCAAAGCTTAAAAACCCAACCCTTGTAGCAATCAATAATTTATTCTATGTATAATATTGACGTCATATTGACGTCCAACCCCGTGTCAAGGAACCCCTGTTTACTACTAAAAGGGTGTCCTTGGGTTTAGTGGGGATTCAGACCACTTTTAGAGGGGCAGCCACCCCCGTATCAAGAAAGGCTGGTTGGGTGATTCATCTGGCTAGGTCCTGCAGTAGAGAGGTTAGCGTATAGGCGCACTTTTCTCTGTAGTCTATTTTAGTAGGGGAACCCTCCCCAAGAAAGAAACGGTAAAAAGGCCGATAGTGGGGGACCGCTGGGGTCAACATTGAACCAAACCCTTTTTGCCCAGGGCCACAGGGCATCTACCCTCCAACCTGAGGCTTCCTCCAAAACCATGGGCCGAACAATGGACGTGCATCTTCCATTTGCCTTTCCGTCGCCGGGAAAAAAATGCAATTATGTCCAGTAGTGCAACCGATTCCCCCCTTAAAACCAAAGGGGGGGGGGAAAAACAGAGAAGCAACAACAACATTTGTTCATTTCAGCAAATGGACATGCATCGATTTCTGGACAAATCTGTGCCTCGGATGAAACTCTGCTCCGAGCCACGCGGAGTTGAAGCTGCCCGGCGCGCACGCCTCGCAGTCGCCCAAGGAGGACCCGCCCGAGGAGTTGCCTCGGAGCTTTTCCGCGAGCCATCGGCGCAGGAGTCACAGGGCTTGGTACCCGAACCGCACCCCGGCGTCAAGGGAAACAAAAGGAAAACGAAAACATGTTTGAGTGTCCAACTTGAGAAAAATAGGCTTGATTTGTTGATTTAGGCGTTCAATGAGCAGTTGAAGGCTCTGAGGCATGATTGTTGGGGTCCACATCCTGTATTCTCACACTTGTTGGGGCTGGTTTGAATGGACAAATGGACGACCGCCCGCCATTTTTGTTGGGTTCCAACCCCCTGGAGCTGCCACGTCCGTTCCGAGCTCCGTGCTGAAGGTGCCCAGAGGGCAGAGGACACACTCGGCCTCCGTGGTGGCGCCCACCACGGTGCTATACCGGCCTGGCGAGAGCGGCGCGGCGCTTTTTTTCCTGCAAATTTCTCGAGGGACCCGTAACCTCACAACTGGAGGGAGGCGCAATCAAATTGGGGGAGAACCTGCTCGACCTGTTTTGACCTGGTTTCCCCATGCTCCTTTATTGGTGTCCCAACTCCAGGGGAAGCTTCCCTATTCTCAAACAGAGGGATCCTTCTTTCTAGACCTCCGGAAACCCAGGGAACACGGATCCGGCTGTTGGAAAGGACGATGTTTGAAAAGAATGGCGAATCAGCCCGTAGAAAACTGGTATCGACCCCCGGATAAACGCTTCCTATGAAAAGGGTGGTGTTCTCCTCAATAGTGAAACCCCACTAAACCAGGGGCACGTCCCGATCAAAATCAACCGGAGGTTAACAAATCCGGGGTCGACATTTCCCCCAAAAAGGCCGCGTCTTTTCGTTTGACTTCTTCTCTTTAAGCCAAGGCAAAAAACTGCCCCATGTTGTCCAAAGCCTAAGATGAAGGAACCTCCCCCAGTTTCAAGGGTGTTTGTACCGGGCGGCGACAAGGATTCTCTACGTGTCCCCCGTAGGTATGCTGGAAGCTTTTGGTGGTCCTGCTCAAAAGCGCCAAAATGAGGATAGATAGATACCTATGTAGATATGGATACCTATGTAGACAAAGCATATGTATGTGCATATAAGTATAGTTTATACATTCATCATAGCTAACCCCGGTGAGACGCACTCACACTCACATCAACTTGGATGTGCAGCGCTGGTGATTCACAAGGTGCACACCCCTGTGCGGTTGAGGCATGAATGCCTTGCCATGATAAACACGTCTGCACGCACCTGCTCAAGCGCACCCTGCACACAAGCCTGCCAACTAATTGATTAGCGCACCCGCTCAAGAGACACGTGCCTTCCAAATGATAAGCCCACTCCCTCAAGAGTTTTTACCCAGCTCTGCGCATGCCGACTGATGCGCTGGCTTCTTGCCTGACCGGCTTGGCGCGTCTGGACCTTTGAAAGGGGCGGAAACAGGGTTGCGCGCCCAGAAATACCAACAACAAGCTGGCCCAACGGAACTAGCAAAAACAAAAGAGACATGCCAAGAACAGGTCGGTCGGTGCTTGATTTTGAAGCTGGGCAAACGAGGGCCTGCCACCATGCCCGAAAAATAGCGCAAGCGCACAGGCACAAAGAGCAGAGACTGACAGTCACAACTGGACAAAGAAACAAAAAACGGAGGAAAGGAACGCAGCAACGAAGGAACAAAGGAAGAAACGAAGGACGCAGGGCTAAAGGAAGGGAACAAACGAAAGCAAGAAAGGAGGAAAGAAACAAAATAATTAAAGGATGAAAGGAAGGAAAGAAAGGAAAGCAAAGAAAGAAAGAAACAACAGAAATGACAGATATGAAACGAAGGAAAAAAGAAAGAAAGAGAAAAACAAAGGAAGGAAGGAAGGAAGGAAGGAAGGAAGGAAGGAAGGAAAGAAGGAAGGAAGAAAGGAAGGAAAACAAAAAGAAGAAACACAGAAGGAAATCAAGAAAACGATGAACACATAAATAAAGGAAGAAAGGAAGAAAGGAAGAACGGAAGAAAGAAAGAAAGAAAGAAAGCAGGAAGGAAAGGAAGGACAGGAAGGAAAGGAAGGAAAGGAAAGGAAGGAAAGGAAGAACAGGAAGGAAAGGAAGGAAAGGAAAGAAAGGAAAGAAAGGAAAGAAAGGAAAGAAAGGGAAGAAAGGGAAGAAAGGAAAGAAAGGAAAGGAAGGAAAGCAAGGAAAGAAAGGAAAGACAGGAAAGAAAACAAGAAGAAAACATCCCAAAAAACAACGAAACAATGAACACACAAACAGCAACCTTCTAACAAACACACACCGCTCGGCCTTCAGGACACTCGAAGCACACTTCTGTGGAGAAGTTGCCGGTGAACCTGGACGCAAGGCCCCCCCCTTCCCCTTTTCCATAGAACAGTCAAAGCAGTGCTCAGTGTTGCAATAGCATTGCCAATGCTTGGTTTAGTATTCTGGGTCCTCCAGTACAGAGGTTAGAATAAGGGTACCCTTTTTCTGTAGTCAATTTTGGTAGGGTTCACTTGGATTGTACTTTGTTTAATGTTGCCTAGTCTAAATTTAGTGTTGCCAAGACTTACTTTCAAACTCCCAGTCTAAATTTGGAATTCCGAAGACTTACTCTCAGATTCGAGATTTTACCCACCCCAAAGAACCTTGACATTGATGAAGACCTCATATAACACATGTTCCCTGGCCGTGGGCAACCCCCCTTCGTGCGATTGCTCTTGAACTTGATGGTTTGGGGACTGCTTGCAAAGTTGAAGTTGCTAGACCTAAGAACTTGAGACTCGCTTGGCAAGGACTTAGATAAACCACCCGTTAAAAGCAAAAGGCTAAGGCCATATATGCCTGGATTATGCCTGGATTTAGGCATAAGCTAGCTGAGAGGAGAAATCAGTTGCCCATGTTGTGCCTTTTGCTCAGGTAGTTTGGAATGGGAGCTTTTGGAGTTTTAACTTGACAGGAAAGATTCCCCAAACAGTGGGGGGAATCGTGTTTACGCCGAGAAAACTTGACATAGTTCAGGGTCTCCATATTCAGACAGGTGCCACATGAATTGGTGGTTTGGAGTAGCGGTTTGGAGGTTAGGGTGTGGTTGTCCATTAAGATTAGGACTTCGAATCCAAACCCAAACCAATCCAAACCGCTTAAGAGTAAGGTGAGTTTCGGTGCCTGGCCGAAAACACGCGAGCGCATGATCCCTCCCGAAAAAAAACGTGGGAAAAAGCCGCTGCACAATCCGCGCAAAAGAAAACTGCACTGAGAAAAAACCTAACGGGTCCTGCAAGTGGCAAATTCAAAAGAACACCTAACTCCCTCCCTCTCTCTCTCTCTCACAAGGTGAGAGTGCAGCTCACTCTTGAGTTGGGATCAATTCTGGCCCAAGATCCTAGTTGCAGCAGTTTGCATTGGAAAGCAACACGAACACACTTGCTTGCAAGACCAAGTTGCGATGCCCCGGAAAAACAATCGTTTGACTTGCGCCTATGAAACACCCAATTCAGAAAGCCAAGGCAAGCAGTGCAACCGAACAACGGGAAGCTTACACAAGGCTTCCCAGGTCAGTTGACTCCCAGGACCTCAGGAGCACCTGACCGAACCATGAAAGTTCAGACCAATTGCATCCCCCAGTCCAAATGAGTCAAAATGCTCGTGCTTTCTCCTGAGTGAATTTGCCACTTGTGTTTTTACCCCTACAACAAGTATACGAAGTCCTGCCAAAATTGGGGCAGTGAGCTTAACTTCTTTTGAAGGCCATTCTCCCTGATTGGCGAAGGTGGGTGGAACCAGTCTTGGCCTTCAATGCGAAAATTCGAACACGCCTTGCAAATGAAAGGGGCGTCCTACAACAACACTTCAAGCACAGAGACACACCAACGAATAGATCTGCAAACAGAAGATGAATACAAACAATAGAAACAAACAAACAAAGAAACAAAGAAACAAACAAACAAAAAAACAAACAAATAAACACGCAAACAAACAAACAAAGAAAGAAGCAACCACACACACACACAGAACAAGCAGAACAGGCAGAACAGGCAGAACAGACCGACAGGCAGACAGGCAGACAGGCAGACAGGCAGACAGGCGGACAGGCGGACAGACAGACAGGCGGACAGACAGACAGACAGACAGACAGACAGACGGACGGACGGACAGACAGACAGACAGACAAACAGACAGACAGACAGACAAACAGAGACGCAAACACAGACACAGACACAGACAAACACAACAACAAAGAACACACGGACAAGCAAGCAAACAAAAATAAACAAACAAACAAACAAACAAAGAAAAACTAACAAACAAAAAAACAAACAAACAAACAAACAAACAAACAAACAAACAAACAAACAAACAAACAAACAAACAGAACAAGCCAGCGAGCGAGGCAGCAAACACACGCAAGCAACCACAAACACAAACAGGAAACAAACCAGGATAACACACCGGCGCACCTGGACAAACATCACAGAACAACAGCCCCGCCCACCACTCACCACCCCCAGGCCTCTACCCTAGAAGCTAGGAAGAAACTAGACTGAACCAAGACAGCCCAGAGCAAAAAAGCCAAACAGATTCCACACCTCTCCCCCCCACCCCCCGACCCCCCCGCCCAGCGGCCCCCCTTTCGCCTACCCGCCGGGCAGTCCACGCAGCTGGCTGCCCCCACGGCGCCCGGCGCAGGCGAGGCTGTGCCCAGCGGGCAGGCGCTGCAGGACTCGAAGCTGGTGGCGCCACTACTGGCGAGAGGGTTTCTACCCGGTTGCCTTCCTGTTTGCCTTCCTGTTTTAGAGGGGGACCTTCCTGAGTGGATTGGCCAGAGAGCTCAAACTTTGTGTTTACAACTAAATCGGTCTTCCCAACAAGTGACTAAACTCGGTTGCATTCTGCTCCCCTGCCAAAAGTGAAGAACTTTTAGTGGTCCATCAGTTGGCGAAAAGTTAAGGTCCTAACCCTTCTAAAAGTTCAACTTTTAGTGGTCCATTAGTTGGCGAAAAGAGTTAAGGTCCTAACATCCCTTGGCAAGATGCACCGAAGTAGCAGGCAACTCCACCGGAAGTTCTTCGGTGTTCTGCAGGGACTCAGGTTTCTACCCTACCCTTTTCACATGGAACCTGATGTGCGGGGCCCGGTCCCTTAAAAGGGAAAATGGTCCAAACCAGCACCCCCGAACCTCAGGTTCCATGTGAAAAGGGTGGGAAGGTAGGAAACCAGCAGGATATTCTACAGGAATTCAACTAGTTTTTGGTAGTCGATTGGCCAACTGCGTAGGTCTACAGGAATTCATCTTGTTTTTGGTGGGTGGTTGTTTCCTGTTTATGTTTGTGTTTGCTTGCTTGAGCTTGCTGGCTTGCTCGCTGGATTGTTTGTTTGTTATGTTGAATAGTAATTTGTTTGTGGTTTGTTTGCGTTTGTGTCTTATTTTTGTTTGTTTTTCTGTCTGTGTCTGTGTCTGTGTCGGTCTCTCTGTCTGTGTCTGTCTGTCTGGCTGGCTGGCTGTCTGTCTGTCTGGCTGGCTGTCTGTCTCTGTCTGTCTGTCTGCCTGCCTGCCTGTCTGTCTGTGTTCTCTCTGTTCTGCTTGTTCTGCTTGTTCTGTGTGTTTGTTTGATTGTTTGATTGATTGAGTGTGTTTTGGGGTGTGTGTGTGTGTTGTTTGTTGTTTTGTTTGTTTGCTTGTTGGGTTACGGTTTTTGCTGTTGATTGTTTATCTTTATGTGTTTGTTTGTTCGTTCGCTTGTTTGTTTGCATCGTTGTTCGTTTGCTTGTCTTCTATTGCTGGTGCCTATACAAGCAAACAAACAAACGAACAACAAACACAGAAAAAAAGAAAGAGAGAAAAAAAGAAGAAAAACACATCAACAGCAAAACGTAACCCAACAAGCAAACTGGTTGCATCCCATAGTATCATAGGGCCTAAAAAGTTGAACCTCGTCGTGAGGTACTTTTGAAGCGCCACATTTCACACGTCCCTGCCTAGCGATGCCATAGAATCCTCCAGGACAAGGCTCACACGCACTCTGCCCAGCATACCTGCAACCAAATCGTAGAGGGAACCCTTCCGCTTTGAAGGTTGACGTGATGTTTGCGGGGGAACCCGCAACGCAAAAAGTGCTTCTTTGTCAGAACTGCTGTTTGGCCAGCTGATATGTGTTTGTTGCGGGGAACCGAAGGACTAGACACTATTGAGAGTGCACTTAAAAACTGGGACACTCCTGCAGGTTGGGATGCCAAGTCCCAAAGCGAGCTTTGGAAGGCCTCATAAATATATCCTCATTTCGCGGCTTGGCCAAAACAAGCTCAACATGCTTCTTTGCCACTCACATGGTCCAAACCCCAAAGGTGACTGTAAAGGTCCGAGTCCCGGAACTCGGGAAGTGCGGCCTCGAACCTCGGGACACCGATGCCTCTACACCCAAAGTGAAGTCGCTGACTGTGGGGCATGTGGTCTTCCACCGGCTTCGTTGGGCCCATGTCCCAGAAAAAGTCGGAGCTAATCTCTCTGGTTTGGAGATCCCCGGGCACACAAGTCAGCTACATACACCAAATTTAGCGGCACGACTCCCCTTATTCTGCGAAAGATGGCCCATTCACCAAATTATTGGGTTGCGCCAGCCTGAAAAAGCCGACCGCTGCCTTCCTCCAAACCACCATCAAAAACCCCGACTTGGCATCGCCAAGGCGCGGGTTGAAACTCCCGGGCGGGCAAGACGTGCAAGACTCCGCGGCAGCCAGGGAGAAAGACCCAGCAGAGCAGATCTGAGAGCGATGCCGAGTCCCGAGCCATCCGGGCGGTTGCCTTTGTCTATTCCTATGGTTGTCCGTGGCGCCAAAGAGGAAAACATGGAAATGGTCCCCAAAGGAACGGGTCCATTAGAAGACACCATGGAAATGGTCCCCAAAAGGAACGGGTCCATTAGAAGACAACATGGAAATGGTCCCCAAAAGGAACGGGTCCTATTAGCCACTATTTTCCCCGGAAACGTGGACATTATTTACGTTGGGATGTCTTGGCAGCCATGTTCACAGTGCTCCCCATAGGCTCATAGCTTGTTACCCAAGGCTCCTTCCGACCCTTTCCTGGGCCCTTGGTTGTTTTCCGAGGGGGGGGGGGGGTGTGGGGGGGGGGGGCAGTTCATATGTAAGTACATATCTATACATCTATATATATATAATATATGTATAAGTATGTCGTGTCAAAACTATCGTACTTTGTACAGCTTGCGCGTATTGCGGTCGTGCTGTGCAAAGACGTTAGTCACGATGGCATTATCATTACCTATTCGTTGAGAGCAAGAAGTGAAACAAGCCACAGGGCTTCGCTCCTGCCTTGATTGCCCAGTTGCCTCCCCACCCCTGGGGCCAGTCTACTAAGACATCCTCAAAATGACCATGTAAACAGTGGCTTGCGGGGAAACCACCCCAAAGTCATGTTGAGAACCTTTCAGCATGTCTGCTTTACGGGACCCAGTAGCATCCACTCACTTTCCAAAAAAATGCAAGGTTGACGAGCTTTTGTTGTACCAGGTCCATATCAAAAGGTTGACCAACAAGAGGAAAAGCCAAGAAGGATTCCCAAGGCGTCCAAGCTTGCTTGTTTGCTGGGTGCCATCGCGTATTTGCTCATATTTGCTCAAAGACCACCGGGGGAAACATCCGCTGGAATCAAGTTTGGCTTTCCCCCCGTCCCCGGAAAAAAAGGCCCTTGACGCCAAAGAGCTATGCAGGAGCTTAGGCCTTGCGTTGGCCCGTGGTAGCCTGGCACGCGGACTTTCTTAGCTTGGACGATTCGGGCCCCCAGAATGCCCCCAGAAAGGTTCTATTCTACAAGCCCCTTCTGAGAAAGCTTCTTTCAGAACCTTTCCTGGGCCGCCCTTGATTTTCTCCTCTCTTGCTTCGAGAATTTCACCAATCGAATCGTCAGAAAGCAAATGCTTTTCACCTTGAGGTGATGCCTATAGCCTCTGTTCGGGGGCGGAATGGCCAACGCCACCAAACTCTTGGTTGACTCAAAGGGATGGTGTGGCCCAGTTGCCCAGTTGCGCATGTCTCAATTAGCTGTTTTTTTGGGGCTTGACCATGTTCAGGGTAACCGAATGAACAAGAGGGGTTGAGCAAAGTGGGCCACTCGAAGAAAGAGGCCAGAGGCGCCCAACATGACACCCGCCGACCTCAAAGCAGAACCGTTCCCGCCGACCTCGAAGAAACTGCTCCGCCATGCTTGACACCCCAAGCGCTTCGATTCCCATCGGCGTCCGTGTGAACTGAGACCCAAAACCCGGAATGGCGATGAACACATGGAGAAGCAACCACCAATGACTAAAACCACAAAGCTACAGCACCCGTAAAACCCCTCAACTTCTGCGCACCTTGGAGTAGCACCCAAATCCTCCATATCAAGTTGAAACTTGGATTTTCCGGCTGAGAGCGGAAGGCCATGTGAGGGACCCTGAGGCTTGGTGTGCTTCGTTTCATCCGTCCGATTTTGGGTGTCCGCAGTTTCGACCTCATGTTTTTGTTTTTTTTTAATGGACGAAATGGAGTCCTCTAGGTGCGTCGTACTGGGTCTCAAGCGGCTTAATTTCGAGGGGGCTATCCTAGAACCTTAGTCCAAAAAACAACACTCGGGACATTTTGGGGATACTATCCTTGGCCTGTGGGGAACGCCCTGTCTGACATGTTTTTGGGAGGAGGTTCCCTGCATACTCAACGCCCAAAACGGTGGAATTGATGGTCCGTTTGGGGATGGACAATGCGCCAAAAGGGCAATTCCGATGATCATCCCGACAGTTCCTCGCAGGAACTGACCGCCGTTTTCAAGTGAGCTTCGTTTGAGTTGGGACCCGAAGGACCGCACAAAAAACAAGTCGAGGAAATCTCCGGTCCAAGCGGATCCTACCCGAGACCGGTGGAGTTCATGGCCTGGGTCGCAGGGCAAACAGCTGGTCTGAGCCGTCGAGGGGATGTAGTAGCCCTTCTCGCAGGCACGGCAGCTAGAGGCGCCTGCGCGACCCACTCCCCGAACAAAACTTGCTGGTGCGAAGGCAGGGGATGAGTTGGAATGACCTCCCCTATGGTTTCCTTGAAGGGAATCCCCAGGTCCATTCCCTCATTCCCTGCTGAGCACCAGCAAGAAAATGCGAAACCTGACGAAAACCACTTGAACATAGTTGAAAGGGAGAAAAAGAAAGGGAGCCCTGTGGCATGCAGGCATGTGTGGACCCCCAAGGATAGTGGTTGCCACGTGCAAACCAGGCGCAACATGGCGCAACAAGGCAGCCTCGAAAGCATCCGCCCCATGTGGCATGAAACTCCGCGTGCCTTGGCCCACACTGAAGGTCCCACTATCACAGGCCAGACACGTCGTGGCACCAGAGGTTGGCGCATAATAGCCTCGAGCCGAACTCCGGCAAAAAGCTCGGATGTGGGTGTGTCTGATAAGAGGGCAACCCCAAAAACCGGTTGTTTCCCTCTGAAACAACGCCGGTAAAAAGGTTCCCTGAGTGCAGTATCCATGTGCCGCTTTGGTCCGTACTGTGGATGGACACAATCCGTTTGGTGCAGGATGCAGGCCACATGATTTGTCCAGCAACTAGAAAGCAATACTAGCAAGCAATTATCAGAGAGAGCCTGCGCAAATACGCTCCTGTGCAATAGCATGGAACGCACCAGAGGGTGTCTTTTTTTAATAAAGGAACACAAAGTCTTTCACGAGCCCTCTGTCAGGTTCCATGGCAACGTGAAGAGGGCATCAAAGCATCAAAACGAATTCGAAGCTCAGAACTCATGGCCATGCGAAAGCCCGAGGCTCGAATTGATATGTCACCCATTCACCCGGGACCCGGTACAACTGGAACCCTGCAGGCTCATGATATGAGTCGAGTTCTTTTTTGAGGCTACCCCTTTTTCTCGGCTTTCCAACAAAGACCAAGCAAGAATCCGTTAAGCCCTTTTGGGGCGTCCAAACTAACAAAGGACCTACCCATACGGTTTGCCTATGTTTGCCTTCATGGCCTTGATCTGCTGATCACGTTTTGTCCAACCCCAGAGCCAAGGGGCGAACACTTTGTGCTTGCCTCCAGTTTAGCCCCCGCAAAGTTGAGAAGCATTTTTGTGTGGCTCAAGAGGTTGCCCAAATCTAGGCTGCAAAACAAATTCGCCTCACTGTGAGGGTATCAAACGACCGCGAGAAACAGAAGTTCGGCTTTGCCCTTGCTTCCAGATGTTGAAAGATGTAGTTGCTTCACTTGGGCTTGGCCGTCAAAGGGCCGCAGCGGCTAGGTCCTCCAGTAGAGAGGTTAGCATAAGTTGGTACCAACTTTCTTCTGTAGTCTATTTTAGGGGAACCCTCCCCCAAAAAAGGATAACAGGGTACCTAGCTGATAACCTAGTCGCATCTACCACCAAAAGAGAAACGGTTGAGAGACGGGCTCACTGGGGGCCCGGTCTGGCGGCTGGGTTTGGGTTTCTCCGGTCCAAGGGGCCCTCAGCACAGCCAGTGCAGTCCGTGCTTCTGCTCTGCTGGTTGTAGGAGCCCGGGGAGCACAAGCTACAGCTGGGGGCGCCTCAAGTTTCGCGCTCGGAACCTCGGGGGTGTGGCCATCGGGGGTATGGCCGGCGCTACCTAAAGCACACAAATGAGGTGTGTTGCCAGGGGCGCTAAAGCACACAGATGACTCACTTGATCAAAGGGCCAAGTGAAACCAAGAGCTTCTGGGGCCTTCAGGTGAAGCAAACCAGGAATACCCAGAGGTACATGGTCGATTCGGATTGGACTGAGACTCTGGTCCACATGAACCTCAAGTTTCAACAGCGACAACCAACAAATCAACTTGCTGACATATCACTTGAAAAGGTGACTCTGGCCCAGAGTCATTCAGCTTACCACTGGTGGTTAGGGCTGGGTTCATACTAACACTCTACAAGAAGCAAGGGTTCAAACCCTAAGTCATTGGACCTTAAATGGTTGGTCAAAGATAGGGCAACCCCAAAATGGACCCCTGATAAATGAAACATGGACTAAAACCTGCGGTCCCCTGGTGGTTTGATTTTGACCCATACCCAACTGCAAAACAGATCAAGCAAGATCCTGTCGAGAGAAAAACCTCTCATGTCACCATGTCGCTTCCTAGGTCCTCCAGTAGAGAGGTTAGAATAAGGGTACCTTTTGTCTGTAGTCTATTTTAGTAGGGGTACCCTCCTCCAAAAAAGGGGAGAGAAGGGCACTACTGGGAGACCTAGTTCCCTAACGCTGTGCTACATGCTGGCCACAGAGAAGGAAAGAAAAACCACAGATCTGTGGATTGGCCCCAGAAAAGAACTCGCTGCTTGCCACGGACATGATCTGTGCTCTGCCTCCCGGAGCAAAAACCAAACAAAGCAACCATCCAGTTTGCTAGTAGATCAGAACATGTTGTCTCAACCGCCGCCCAGCCAAAAGCGTTTCTGCAACTCCGACATATGTGTTCCAGATAAACATCTGGGTGTGTCGTTTTCGAAAGAACCCTTTTTGGGATTGTGTTTTTTAGGTTTCACCCATGTTGGGGACCCCCATTTAGAGACAAACCCATCTCTCACTTGCCCAAACGACTTGGTGATCACTGTTCAGGCTGCCTGAGCTAAGAATGCAGGGTTTCCATCCCCGCGGTAAATGGCCAGGGACAAGCTAGAAACATTTTCGAGGTCCTTCAGTAGAGAGGTTAGACTAAGGGCACCCGATTTTTTTCTGTAGTCTATTTTAGTGGGGGAACCCTCCACCAAAAAAGGGGAGAGAAGGGCACTACTGGGGGACCTAGTTTTGTTTTGGTCTGAACTGACCGAGCCTCTACCCAGAAGGAATGATTTGGAAACTGAGGCCTGTAACTGACGCGCCTGAAAGAGCGTAGGATCCCGCGGAGCAGGACAAGCACTGAGTTGCCCCCGCTTGATCCTGAGAGCTCTGTGTCTGCGTAGGGAATGGGGCCTGGTGAGACGTGAGACGCCAAAGTAGACGTGAGACCCCCCTTGGGGATCTCACCATCAAAGGGATTTGCACCCCAGGTTTTGGTGGCGAAAGGAAACCACGATGAAACGGGTACCCTCCGAGAAAAAACAAACAACAAACAAACGCCACCTAGGCTTGGACACTACAAATGAAGCGAAGGGATTTGGATCTGCACGAAGGCTTCCATTCCGTTTTCAAAGCCCCAGCCCCAGACCCATCATTGCAGGCAGGGGAAGACCTCTGCAAAAGCGGTCTGAACTTTGAGAAGGTGACACCCCCTCACCAAGGCTTCTACTTAGATCCGAGGGTTCCTATTACCCAAGGGAAGCCCGTGGCAAGACATGGAGCCAGCGCTGGACTTGCGGGGTGGGCCACCCTCCTCGCACCGGTTGGAAGTCGCAGGTTTTTTAGGCCCGTCGCGAGCTTGGTCCCCCACGGCACCCAAAAGATGAAGGCATGTCTCAACCACTCGCCGCCTTTTGCTCAGCGCGAGCCCATCACTTGCAAAGACTCGAACCATTTCCACTTCCCAGATGTGAAACTTTCAACCAATCCAAGCGCATTCGCCTGTCTCCCTGTGGCGCTGCAGCCATCGCCCCAGGAAGCCACGCGCTCGCCGGTCAAAGAAGAGCATGACGGCCCAGCCGGGGAAGAAAATCAGGGCAAACGCGGCGACCATCGGCCACTCGCCATAAAGCACTCTGACATAAAGCCAGCAAAAGATGAAGGTGCCTGCCTCACTTGCCCAAAGGATCCAACTATACAAGGTTTATCTTTGGGGCCTTGACTACAAAGAGACCAACAAGAAAAAACAACAGCTCAACAGGTAGATTGGCTTCTTTTTTCTGCCACTGAGATGCAATAAAGAGAACCAATGGCAGGGCCAAGAGGATCACAGCCAAGTTTGTCAGGATCTCGCGGAGAAATGAGCTGCACTTCTGCCGAAAGCGGAAGGCCAAATACTTGCACCAGGACAGAAAGGGGCCCAGCCACAGCAGCGAGCAAACCTGGTCGAAGACTTCTTACCAACTGATTTTCTTGTTCGGCACCTGAAAAAGACAAGCAGATCTCCAACAGAGATGGATTCCCTTCAAAAGCAACAGGGGAAATCAACAACATTCTTAAGCAACTGGAAGACATGGGTTAGGACAAAGGACTTGGACAGCCCGGACTTCGGCCAAAGCAAGCTTTTTAGTTGCGTTCGTTGATTGTGAAAGGCGGGACCCGTGGTTCGCGGAGACGATTCGAAAGCTAACCTTCGAGAAGCTGCCTTTCAAAGGCACCCTCGCCCGGCTGATCGCCGGGGATTTGGTCCGGACAACACAAATGGCAGGAGACCGGCAGATTCAAGCCGGTCCACTCTTCTCTTTTAAGGGACCACCAGAAAAATGATCGTTCTCCTTTTGGCGCCCCTTTAAAACCAAACCACCAAAAAAAACAAAGAGAAAGCCACACGCCCAATCAAAAACCCAGCGGAAAAACCAAAGCTCCGGTTCACTTCGAAGGGCTGCCAGCTCCAGCCAAAGAATGATCCGCGAGCCCGCCACCTGCTTCCACATGAGCTCGTGCTGAATGAGGTCCATTGCCGCCCAGCAGGCCGGAGCCCCCACGCAAATGCCCCAAGAAAAGCCTTGCCACATCGGCGTCTTGCTTGAGGATCATGTTGAACCCGGATGAATTGATAAACCCCGTGTTTATTGAACATGGGGGGTGTTTTCCCCTCCGAAAGTCGTGAATCCGCACCAAAATCAGGACACCCCCGTCTTACGAAGCTGGGGTGTATTCATCCGGGGTCAACATTGCCGTAGCCTTTCTGGGGAGTGCGTGCCCATTGAAAGACTCCCAAATGACTGGCTTTCCCATGCGGAACAAACGCGCTGCAGTCGTACCATTGGACGGCACACTGGCAATCATGCCCCCCGCAACTGCGGACGTCCCCACACTACATTTAGCAGAAGGGAAACAAGCCACCCCTTACATCCGGCTGGGTAGCCGAAGGTATTCTTCTCAAGCGTGGCCGTGATCACCTCCACCACCTCTGTGCGGATGTGGCTAGCAAAGTCGATGTCGCTCCCGTACCATCGGGCGATGCATTCCTTACTCGTGGTAGGTCACGCAAACAAATGCCGTGTTGCCACCCAAAACAAACGCACCAAAACCACTGAATGATTTCGTCGATCCAAGATTCGCAAATGACCTGTCTGTCACACAGCACGGCTTCGCCATCGTCAGTTACGTGACCGATGCTGCAGCAGCAACATTTCAACTCTTCTAGCTGTAGGGACAGCAGCTGCCTCTGCATTGTCTCCACGGAACGATAAAAGCCCCGGAGCACATGAACTGTGGCAAGTGCTCCGCCAACACCCAGAGCAAGGAAGCCGGCGACATTTCCCGCGATCGAGTCATCTGCTGGCAGAGGTAGCGCGATGATTGGGATAAACGAGGCCAGCACCGTCAAGAAGAAAGCGACAGATACTGGCCCCAGCAAGGTTGGGACAACCACCAGCGGCTTTGCTTGCCCCCTTCTGCTTTTCAGAAATGCGGACAATTCAAAGACACACCACAGCCTCTCTGCATAGGTTGCATCCCAAAGCACAAGCATGGCGTCTGACCTATCCAGCATTCCTGCAAGGCTGTAGAGTGCCTCCACCTTCATGTCATTGTCGCGTTGGTTGATGCAAGCGCGATCTAGGAATACGCGCTTTCCCGATTGCCAGAACAGAAAGGTAAGTGCAGAGCAACAAAGGCCAAGTGACTGTGACCAAACCGACGAGGGCACGTGACGGGCGGCATGCCTGGGATACCCGGGCAGGGCACCATACAAGAAGAGAACCATTCCCATACAGGAACCAATGCTTCCCAGCAACACTGCCGGCAGGCCGTTGTTGAGCACCATCAAGGTCAAAGATTTCTTCCATGCACGTTCCTGCCAAGAATGGCTCCAAAACTCCTGGATTCTTTCAGACTGCTGGCTGGTGGGAAAGAAATCCCGGTCGCCAGACCTGAAGGCTGCCGAGCAGGACTTCAATGTCTGGTAGGCCGCTGTTGTCCTCACGATTTCAGGTCGGGCGATGTCCATCGCGGTCATGAACCCGATCAGGACCGCAACCTGGCGCTGGCTGGCTGCATGCTGAAAGCCGGCTCTTTTTTCAGGCCTTGTTGGACGGCGTGGGACAGCAACGCCTTGCACCAAGCAAAAAAACACTACAAAAAGGGTCCAAGGGGCTGGGTCGTGGATTGGGAGACTTTTCTCGGAGATGCACCTCACTGGCTCCTTGGGAACGAACTCGTCCAAGTTGTCAAATGAAGCTGTGTCGACTTGCTCCATGGCTCGTTGCCCAGTTTGGACCCAGAATTAAAGGGTTCACCTTTTGGGGACACCAATATTCGGAAACAAACAGGTCAAGAGGTCGAGTCGCTTTAGGCAATTGGCAAAAACTGCTCGCGCAGACGTGCTCTCGCCAATAAGCCCTGAGATGGCTTCAATCCACGATCCATGATCCCGACTCCGCACAAAGCCCCTCCACATTAACACTGTGACCACTAGAAAATGCAGATGTTTGCTGGCCGAGCCATCTTCTGGGACATCCACTGGTGCTTATTTGGTGGCTGACTGGTGGAAGCTAGGAGGTAGGAGTGCTGTGAATATTTTGGCCGTTCTCTCCGAGGTGTTCCAATGAATCCTGAAAGGAGATCCTGTTGCAGCACACCATGTTAGAACAAGAAGCCAGGATGCAAAATAGGGGGACCAGGTCTGCTAAACCCTGGCATGCATTGAAGCCTAGTTTCGTGTCAGGCTATCAACATTCCGGGTCGCAAAGCTGTTCAAAGCAAGTTTGGAGCGAGCCATGCGAGCCAGGAAAAGAAGTTCAGCATTCTTCTCCTTCCATTCTGGATTTGCCAGGCAGGTTGGAAGACTCCCTGAATAAAATTGACACGACATCGGGCCTCAAACAGATCCTCTTCGGCGTGATCGGGTTCCGAGTGACTTTTTTCGTGGGTGGTCAGCTGGGACCATGTCAAATGAGGCGCTGCAAACCGCCCACTTGTTCAAATGCAACAGTAGTATGCCCGCAACCCTTATCAAAGGCAGAAGGGGGGGGGCCAACCCCGCTGACTTTTGGTGCCACAAAGTTGGCCCCTGCCACCTCGATTCTACAAAACCGCCCCGCGCATCCCGCGCGCCTTTCGTTGAAACCCCGGCCCCCACGAAACCAATTGCCCTCAAGCCAAAGAGTTCGGCCTCTGGAAGGGATATCCTTGATCCATGGAAACCTCTTGTCAAAAGCTGTGAGAGGACTGGCTCATGGCACTAGAAAAAACCTGTTCTCAAGCTTCCTTGCTATACCCTTTTCTATGGATTGACTCTCCATTCTCAGCCATTGTTCCTTTCAACAGCCATTTGTTCGGAGACCTTGTGCAGAGGAATGGGAAGTTCCATTGAGCTTCTACCAGCCAGTGCTCAGCAACGAGTAAACTGAGTTTCCCCAAAACCCCTTGCGAAACAACAATCCATGTGTTCACCCCACTAATCATTGATGAACAATGGGCCTCAAACCAGCGCAGTCCTGCTGTGCAATCAGAAAACGCCTTTCTTTCCCGGGAGCCTTGCAAACTTCGAAATCCTACATTTGGAGCAAAATCGAGATATGTCCAAAACTCTGGAAGGCAAATTTGTGGGGGCCTTAGCTTTGTTTCGTAAATTGAGGCAATCCAACTTGCAAGGGGACGCCCTCTTCGTTGCCTAGCCTCAATCTCAGAGGCTGACTGTACCGCCACAAGGTACGAGGGTGCTTCCGAGTTGGGACCAAACGAACAGCCCGGATGGACGGATGGAGGCCTTTTCTGCTCTGCCATGTCCCTCCCCCAATGGGCCAGATTTCAAATCTGGTTTCAGACTGGGTTCAGACCTTTGGCAAGACCTTTCTTGGGGTATTTTTTTATAGGGAACCAGGTCGGTGAGATAGGTTGTCATTGTCGTTTCTGGGCGCAGCTCGCTCCGGAAATGAGGAACTAATTGGTTTCCTCATGGCCCTAAGTGGCTCCCCAAGACAACTCTATGTCGAATATATGGTGCTTTGCTTGCTGACACGTGGCATGGGTACTTTTTCTCCCCCAAAAAGAGGGCGAACGGACAGCCCTTTTTGGAGTTTGCGTTTAGGGCCTAAGGGGGCCAAATTGGGCATGCCGCTTCTTTCAGCGTGCTTTTGTGTTTTTAAACCTCAAACTTCATCCTGCCATCATGTGCGTGCATCTGCCTGAATGCACTGCCGGGGTCCCCAAGCGGAAGCACATTATCTCATCTTTTGCTGCATGTTGGTCGAGGGATTGAGGTTTCGCAAAGGGTGCGACTTTTCGGAAACCTCTGGAGACTGGGTTGATCTTCCCATACCCACCCACCCCCCGCAAAAGGTCGGTCACCTTTTCTAGGTGTTATTTGGAAGAGCCAAACTTGTTTCATGTCCGGCTCCTTTTGTTGGCGACCATCCTGGACGCCCAGCCAGGCTTCTTAACACCGCTACCCATTTTGGATACCCAGCTCTGGAAGGGCTGACCGCCAAACCCTAAAACCCTGAAAGCCTGAGACTTGACGTTGGAAGGGGAGCAATAATTTAATTTTCAGCAGTGGTGATTTCAACCACTCAACCACAGAAAGCAAAAATGCAAACAGTTTCCCAACAACCACCATGGGGTTTTGGCTGGCTCCGAACCTCCCGGCAAATCCGGGTGATCGATGTGTTTTTTCTCCGCCCGAGCGGCTGCGTAGAAGCCCGGGTCGCAGTCCAGGCAGTCAGAGGACCGGGAGGAGCCCATGTAGCGCCCCACAGCGCCTGTGCGCGAAGCTTTTCATATGGCCATGGGTCAAAGGCCCGGTTCGCCCCCAGTGAACATCAACCAGTCCCCACTCAAATCGGTTCCAACAAAAATGGGTGGTGAATTCACCCACCCCCCAAAAATATGGGATGCCATTGGTTTTGACAACCACGGCCATATGTCCCGAGCCAACGAAAAGGAGCAGCGGGATTCATGGCTCCGAACTTGGGGGATTTCTAGACAACTTACCATTGCAAACTCAGAATGGTCCAACTCTTTGACCTGAAAACCGTCAAACACCCGGAGTAAGGTTGGTTGGTGGTAAATTGCTCCACGCTTGAAAGGAATGGAGAACCAAACCCCGGCGCCTCTTAAAGCAAAGGGAGAAATGCGAGCATGCGTTGGAGTTAAGTTGAAATTGGCCAGGGGGATCCCATTCAAAATGCAGCTGTTGGGGCAAACAAGCTGGAGACGCTGGGGGGGCCGTGTCAAAGCTGAGGTCCGTCCCCAAGAAAGGACCCGTATGTGTATATATATATATACATACATACACATGCATGTATATATATATATATATATGTGTGTGTGTATATATATGTGTATATATATATATATATTGCGTGAGCTCGCTGAACCGGTCCGCGAACGGCGATTCGAATCGCCCATTGCCATGAAATCAGCCAAATTCCACTGCCAGTTGGCCCTCCGCCCCTATTTATACATGAGGGACACTCAATAGAACATGTGACAAAAGGCCCTTTGGATGTGGACAGGGACCCTGCAAAGGTTAAAGATCCAACCCAATAGAAACCAAGATTCATTAGGGGCAGTATGAGCCGGGAAAGAGTAATTACATGACATGCCCTTTGTGTAAGTCAAAGCAAATGCTAAAAACCAAATCCAACTCCTCGCTTCCTGAGTGGACTTGCCAAAAAAAAACAGAACAACTTATTGGTTGCCAGACCACTTTGAGCCATTTTTTGGACAGACCACGTTTTGCGCTTTGGTGGCCAAAACCTGGCTGAAAATTGTCCAAACCCCAAAAGTGACAACAGTCCAACCCAGGACGTGAGACAAGCCCAACGCTGGGGACCTCTGCGGCTCGCTATTTATCGAGTCGTCGAGTCGCAGTCCGTGCACAGCGCGTCGCCCCGAGCAGCAAAGCTCCCAGCCAGGCAGTCGCTACAGCTACGGCTGCCCTCCAGATCGGAGGAGCGCGTCCCCGCGTCGCAGCTGTAGCCTGAGGTCATTACTCAATCAACCAGTTTATCAATAGGGGGGGTGGTTTTCGGCCCCAAAAGTGGGCTGATGCCCCGAACCCCGGGAAACACCCCCCTATTCAATTGCCCGGAGTGGATTGTCCTGGAAAAAAAGAGTCCCACATAAAGTGGCCTTCCCCAAAACGACGGTTCAAGTCCAGCTCAGGGAGTGAGACGTCATTTTGTGTAACCTCACTGCACATCACCTTACCAAAAGGTGGCAACCAGCTGGTGACGAATCAAACAAAGCGTACAAACTATGAAGGGTTTTCTCAACATAATGGACCCCCTTGTAGTTGGCACTTTAAAGGAGGACCATTGTATAATACCCCTACTTCCCATAGGCCAAAAGGAAAGTTTTTGGTTTGTTTCCCACCGAGCTGGTCTTCCCCAAAAGTATAAAGTCCAGCACCTCTTGTTTGTGCGGGTCACTCTGGCCCAGGGTGCTTCCACTCCCCGATGAGGAAGAAGAGGAGCCCTCACTGCCCATTCCGCTAAGCAGCAGTAGCCCATGCCCGCGTAGGGCTGATATTGACCGCCGGGGCCTTGGCTTTTGGGCGGCGTCTGACGGTAAAACCCCCACAACACATCGGTTTACTTGCTGGTTCCCAGCAGCGAATGAGAACTGAAATTAGACTCATATTTTTTTTTAATTTTTTTAATTTTTTTTTAAACATCCCCTACGGTTTCTTTCAAGAAACCCCCAAATTACCAAGTTCATTCCCAACACGCTGGGGCATCCCCTGCGCGCGAAGAAGTTCAAACCCCTTTTTGTGCGGCTTTTTGGCTTCCCCAGCCATCAACCGCTAAGGCCTCCGCACAACGAGCATTCCGCAGCTCCTGGAGCGAGGGGTTCTGCTCGAGGCTCCAAACAGAAGCCGATTCGCGTTGGAGATCAGTTAGGTTTTCGAGTAGAGAGGTTAGAACAAGGGTACCCGATTTTTTTTTTATGTAGTCAATTTGAATAGGGGAGCCCTCCCCCAAAAAAGGGCGAGAAAGGGCACTAGTGGGGGACCTAGTCATTTAGGTGGGGTTCATGTCCACCAATTGAACTGTGGCTTCAACTCTTGAAAATCGCAGCCGGTTGGTGGGATATATGGGCATGGGGGGTTGGAGGGGTTTTGGTGAATAGGAATGGCCCTTGAGAAACCATTCTCAAGGGATCCAGAAAGCCACGCTTTTCCCATCTGTGCGTACCTGAAGGAGGTTGACCCAAACCCCTGGTTTTGGTGGAAATTTCAAGGCAAAGCAAAGGATTGCTGGATATTTGAGGGAAGTTCGCCCAGCCCCAGGTTTTGTGGATAGTTGAAGGAAGGTAGCCCAATCTGCAGGGTGCTTGAGGGGTTTTTGGTACGGCTTTTTCTGCCAACATTTCTGTCGCTTGCTTTCAGACCGGGGGCCGCTTGGATTTCCTAGGTCTCAGCTTCAGACTCAGACTGGACGCCCTGTGTTTTTCGAGCACCTTGTGGGGGATAAGACTGGACCTGACAAGGGGAAATGAGAGGTGAAATCCTGTGACTTGAGTCCTCTCAGACTTCAATCCTTTCCATGAACTTGAGCAAATATGATCACTTATTAGCCTGTTGCCTTCAAAACACCATTCTTGTAACGTTTGCTTCACGATTCGCCACCTTTTGTTTCAATCGCACATGCTTGTGGAACAGAATAGTTTTTGTGACACGAAGGTGGTTGAATCCCAAGGAGGTCAACCAATGCCAAAAGCAACCTCTCCACCGTAACTCTGGTCAAAGAACCCCTTGTTGGGGTTGGCCCTTTTGGGTAGGCAAAACAGGGTACCCAAAACCAGGCGGTTTCCCAGGCCAACCCAAAACCCAACCTGGGTACCCTGTTTCCCAGTAAACCGGAAACCGCCACCAGCTCGCCCGCTCGAAGCTTCCGTTCGTCCTCCTCTGGAATACCTCCCTGCTTGGCAGGCCGGGCAGTAGCCGAGCTGGCGAACAAGCCGAGGCACGACTCAGCGGGGTTTCGGGTTTTGGGCCAGCGATTCTCCGCCCAGGAATTGAAGGGATGTTGTGTCAAGCCAAGGAACTCTTATTGTCATTGTGGCAGGCAAACTTTGAAGGTTAAGCGTGCAACCTTGCTTTTGAACATGGGAGTAAACAGGCCTGTGTGCAAACAAAGTAGCTTGCAGCAAATGATGTCACGCAAGTGAGAACATGACTCGCCCGAAAAGTTCATGGAGAGAAAGGACGCAGGACGAATAAGAAGGATACCAGAGGATGGATCCCAAGCAAGTTCAAGATAACAAATATCGAAGCTGGCAAAGCAGAACCAGATCTTGGCCTTAAGCCTTAAGTGCCGGACACCCAGTTCCTGAAGCACTCCAATACCCGAGCGTATAATGATGTATGATGTTCACCTTTGACAAAACAGAAAGGTATTTGCAATTGGGGGCATTCCTATGAAACCACTAAATGACCGAACCCAAGCACGCCTGCAAATGCATTGTTTAACCAAAACCACAAATTGTCCCACTTACCCAAAGGACCCAGAAATAACGGCCTAGCCTTGTGGGGGCATGACTCAAATGGACCAAACTTTGGGCAAGTGAGCATGGGTAACCTGGGTATTGCTTTGGGAGTCTGAATCAAAAACTGTGCTGGCTGACTATCGCGGGTTTCCTAGCATGCTGCACGAAACCTATCTTCTTCCGAGGTATGTGAACTGACACCTTCAGTTTGAACAGCTGGATCCTCGGCCTAAGTGGGCCAAACCATTTGGCCGTCCCCTTTATCCTTGTTTTTTGGGGGGGGGCTTCCCTTTGAATGCCTGTCCTAAGGTGCCATGTTTTTTAATGCGCCAGAGCACCTTCAAGGGTCAAACACTTGGCCCACCTTGGAGGCGGCGGAAAGTACGCCTTGCAGACTCGGATTGTTGTCCTTGGACCCAGAAAAACAGGGTGAACCTTGTGGGGCCATGACAAGTGGACCAAAAAGAGGAAACCAAAAGGTAAGATGCGGTCGATTCGCTTTGGGCAACTGAGGAGTTTGGTTCTAGCCTCACATCTACGTTTGTTTTGGAAGAGACCTCCAGGATAGGAAGACTAAAACTGGAACAACACGTCGACAGGTCGATTCACACTGCGCCGCACAACGAGGCCAACGGAGCACTCTCTCAAAAAGGGGATTGATTACCTGCCCCGGCCATGTAAAAAAAAAAACACGTCTGTGTTTTTGGTTCATGTTCAAAGGAAACTCCACCCAATTCATGAGGACAAGGGTTGGAATCCACCGGACAAACATAGGTACTAGTCATGACCCTTGACACATTGTAGATCACCAGCCACAACTCATGAAACAATCATATTCCCTTTTTACACTTGAACTTGTTCCGGCCATGCCCATGTTCCTTGAGGATCAGCTCGCTTCCTGAGTGGATTGGCTGAGAAACTCCACACTTTTTATTTACCACTAACACGGTCTTCCCCAAAATTAGACAAAGTCCAACTCAGGAAGTGAGACGAAGAAGCGTACATCAGACACACACACACACACACACGCCAACCAACCAACCAACCAACCAACCCACCCACCCACCCACCCACCCACCGAGCGAGCAAGCAAGCAAGCAAGCAATCAAGCAACAAACCAATGGCATCTATTTCCGTTGCGTCCGCCGGATGATCAAAGGGCGCTTTCAGACTCTTCCATTGAGGCGCTTTCGAGGTGGCGCTTCACCTGAGCCGGATGGGTTGTGCCAGTCGAGCGCTCCCAAACCACCCTCCCAATGGAAGTGAAGGGTCCCCCCTTCTTGTTCAAAAACGGTTTTTGGGGCGTTTCTCAAAATAGGGAACCCCTTTTTGGATGGCTGGAAAGGGAAACTCAAGTAACCACCTACGTGGAAGGGTCACCAATTTCAAGTAACATCCTGGCGAGCCTAGGCAACTATTCAAAAAAAAGGACTCGAGAGACCTCATGAACTCGTTTTGCGCCATAACTTGCCAAACTGGCTTCTACCCCCCCCCCCCCTCCCCACCAATAAAAATATTGACAAAACAAAACAAGACCATGTGGTATTTCTAGCAGCCCAGCAACCTTTTGGAATCCTCCGTAACCCTCCCTGAAAGCTTTTCCGAACTACCACAAAGCAAATTTGGGCCTATGGAACCCTAAGCTTTCAACCTTGGACCAAAGTGTTGGAGGATACAAAGGCATCGTTTGGTCGGCCGGGGTTCTCTAGAAAGGGAAAGCAGCACCAACCCCCAGAAAATCCTGCGCGTGTGGCCAAAGCAATCATGGGAAGCCACGGAACATGTTGCGATTAAATACAGACTCGGTCCGAGGGACCCCTTACACACAGTGCATAACGTACTGCTAGGCCGTGAGGAACACATCTATTTACCCATGCCAAACACATGAAGTTCCTTCCAATTGTCATAACACAGTCCCGATGCTTCTACAATCAGTAGGCTAACTAGAGGTTTCTAACCTTTAGTAGGTGAAAAAGGGAAACCCAACCACTAAACCCTAGAAAGCTCAACAATTGGCTGGGAGCCACCAAGAAAAGAGCTCCGACTTGATTCCAGGAACCCAAGTGAGGCTCCCCCTCATCCAAAGGCCAAGGGTTTGAACTCGCAGCCAAGGTGCGCCGTTGCAGTGTGCCGCACCCAGTACGGCCACCACCTAAAAGACCAACCAGTCCGCATCGACTCCCTTTGGGGCCCAAAAACCACACTCCCGTCCCCCCCAAAAAAACAATAAAAAAAGAAAAAGAAAAAACAACAACAACACACAAAAGGGGGTTGGTAGGAGCAGTTAAGGGGGCAAAGTAAGGAGTTGATGCCCTTGAGGCTTTGGCTCCCTTCGTGGTCAGGCCTAAGTACCCTCCCACCAGACCTCACAAAAGGTGGTTGGTTTCCACCATGCTCCTCAAGGGACCTCCTGGCAACATGCAGACACGGGTGAAAGCGCAGGGACCCATTCTCACTTGCCCAAAAAGGACCCCAGAAATATAAGGCCAGCCTTTGGGGGGATGACCAAACATTGGCAAAACCTGGAAATCCATGAGGTCAAAAGAACGGCTTTGGGCAAGCGAGCATTTCCATGGGTCTTTGCAGTAAGCAAGTCAGTGACATGCATCATGGCCCAATTGGCTGTTGCTGAGTTTTACCGGGCCGCGGATGGGTCAGAAAGGAAAGCTGATCGAGCGGGGGAGGCTCGGAGGGGTGCCTGAGGAAATGAACCCTTGTTTACCAACACCCCGGAACAAACAAGAAACAACGAGCCGAAAGTAGGAGGTGCCAGACATCTGACTCACGGTGCCCAACCGAGCGGCGGTGCCGGGGTCTCGGGCGGAGGCGGCGGTTTGGCGGATGGAGCGCGCCAAGATGAGATCCCGGTCCCGGAGCAGCACGCCTGAGGCGTGCGAAACCGGGAGGGAAACCTCGGGGCTTTTCTCTGAGCCCGGTACGGGCGGAAAAATGAGAAAAGAAACGAGAAGACCAACTTGCTTTTCTCACTTAGGACTTGGAAATAACAGGTCAACCTGCTGGCACTTCTAAGGAAGGACCAAAAATGGAAAACCAGGTTGAAAGGTCGGCTTTGGGCAAGTGAGTTTTTTTGGGGCCCCCCCCCCCCACTAAAAATGAACAGAGCCCAACAAACTGTGAAGTCATCCTGAGCCTTTTTCTTGGTGGTTTGGATTCTGGTGGCTTGGAGGCTGATGGTCTTCACTCCTGGCAGCTCCGAAAAGGCTCCCTTAACCGAACATTCGACCAGGGGTTGTACTTCTTGGGCAAAAAGTCATTTTTTGGGGGTCCAACGGAAAATCCACAGAGTTGCAACGGACAAGTCAAAGTCCAAAGATCCAACCACATAGCCATACAGCTTGATTTGGCTTGGATCGGTGGGGCTTTGGTTTCCCATTTGTCCTCTACAAGGTCGTCAAATCCCCAACTCGCCAAGGCACCAGGTAAGGGCAACCTGAAAGATGCGGCCTCCCAAAAACTGCTGGTTTTCTCGGAGCATCTCGCTTTTCTGCCCCCAACAGGAGCAACCTGGCCTGCCCAAAACCCGTGCGACCACAAGCTTCTTGCACTCCTGGTGGCTCCGAAAGGCTCCCTTTCACAAATTTGGATGCCGGGCAGCTTCTTGACCCCCGGAGCCAACCACCAGCTAGGAGATCTTAAGGACTGAGAAGGCAATTGGGATCTCTCAGCCCAGAAACCTGAAATTCTGGGCCCCAACAACCGGAATCTCTGGAGTCGGTTCTCCCCCAAATGAAACTCCCCTGAAAACAATGGTTCGGAGGTTCCCTTTTGGCCTGGACTTGGCTTTGGGCGCAGGGTTGAAGATCTGAGTCCGAAAGCGTCCAGGGTAGTAGGATAAAAGGACGCAAACGAACAACCACAATGAAAACAGGACGTATCTCCATTTCACATTCCCTCAGCTTTATTGGACAACCAAACAATTCAATCTACACTTCCAAGACATCAAAGGTGCCTAAACTAAAAGTGGCTGCCAGCAGTGGACCCCCAAGTGCAAGCTTCCCTCCAAAACAGTGACTTCCCCCCCCCAAGTGCAACTTCCGCTTTGTTCCAAGAAGAATTCACTGCCCTCAAACCACTCTCAAGACCAAGGGAAACGGGGGTGCCAAACTTGCCAAAAATTTTAGCTGTCAAAATTTGGTACCTGCCCCCGCCCCCCCCCCCCCCCCACAGAAGAAAAGAGGACGCCGCCCTTGTGGTTTACCTAAACAACCGCGACAGGGCTGCATCTTGCCAAAAAGAGGCTGAACATGAATCGGCCCAAAAGGGCCAATGCTTAGAATCTCTAAAAGGGAAACTTAGGAATCGACCGCTGGCCCAAGCCCAGTCCACTTGACCATATCGGCTGGTGCTCTGCACTATTCTGGGGCTCAGGCTCAGGATGACACGAAGCATCACTGCCTCAATCAAGAAGACCAAGACGTCCCCCAGAAGATTCCTCGAATGCCGAAGTGTGGCATGCCACAACTCTTCTCACTTTGGGGATCCCCCGTCCCAATCCGTATCGCTGAAAGCGACAACCCAAAAAGCCTGTCCCACGTGGCTGAGCGCATGGACAAACAGAATGAACATGTAAGGGACACTCCGGCCAGGCCAGACTCCCCTAACTGGATGCTGTGTCTAGTGTGGATTTTCACCCAAACCTGCAGCGACCATGACGGCATCCATGTTGGGCCTTGTTTCTTAACGGCCCCCCACTCAAGAATGTACAAAGGAGATGCAACACGTGCGTAGCATGCCGTCGAACTCCTATCCGCCTTTGGCATGGCTACCAGGAGCATTTGCCATGAATCAGTTTCCCTCTTGATATGTTTGGATCGGATTGGAGGTGACCGGAGGTGCCCTCTAGGCCAGCGGTTAGGAGCCGTCAACTCACCAAAGGGTTGCCTGAATTTCTGAATGGTTGTCGAACACCTCCATGACCTTGGCCAGGCAGCATGTTGCTCAAAGCGGCAAACCGGTCATGAGTGTCGTTGCAACATTGAAAGCTTCATCACGATCAATCAACAACCTGGTATTTCTGGTATTGAAGTCTACTCGACCCCCCCCAAACAAAAAAGAAAAAAGCAAAAACAAATACCTAGAAACTCCAAAGGCCCAGGGTTTCACCGTTTTTTCCTGGCAAAGGGGACGTCCCCAAAAAACCCGGCGCATGCGTTAGGGCTCTCCCCCGGTCTTTGCATTCAGCGCAAGGTGCGCGGGCAGCAGCGCATAGAGCGTGAAGAAGGCCAAGACCGCCAGCAGCAGCGCGGGCGCCTGGGCGGGGGGGCGTTGCTTTGTTGGCGGTTTTTGGGGCAGACGCCGGTGGTGGCAGTTTCTTGGCTTGGCCGGACAACTAGGACCCCGGCAAAAAACGAATCATATGTTTTGCCTGGTGGAAAACAACCGGGACTCAAAAAAGAAAACAAATCAAAAAGGGGAAGTTGGTTGCTGGCTTCGACCACGGTTGTTTATAGGAGTAATGATATACAGTAGACTTTAGCCCCAATTAAACTAGGTACTGCCAACCCCTCTGCAAAGAGTTGTTCATATATAGGGATACATAGACTTTAGCCCCATTAAACCAGGAGCCAAGAGTAACTTGGTTGCTGCTGCTGCCACCTCTGCACAAAGTGTTTGACTTTTTGTGGGTTTAATGGAAACCCTGGATTCCTTGGCTGGGTTCGACCCCCTGCGAACAGTTCTTAGAGAGTGTTTATAGGCCTTAGCCCAAATTGAGCCAGGTAGAACCGACAGTAACTTGGTTGCTGACGAGAATCTTCTGTGCACAAAGTGTTTGACTTGTTGGTATAGAACATCCAACCTGTTTCAACAAGTTAAAGTCCAAAGATCTGTTACCAAAGAGCCAAAGAGCAAAGGGCACCAAAGCACAGCCCAAAGAGGGCTCCGTTTGAGCCCAGGTTCTTAGCTCAACTTCATTGGGGGATCTGGTGTCTCCTCGCTTTTGGCAGGAGAAAATGACAGAACTTGACTTGGCTTTGAGGGCTCCGTAAGGCTGAAACCCAGAAAAAAACCATTGGCTTGCAGCTCCCATGTTTCCACCCTTGCACCCATATTCCTTGGGGTTCCGACAAGGACAGCAAACGGAGGTTGCCGTATTTTGAAATTTTTTGGAGGTCTCAGAGGCGAGGAGACAAGTCCCCCCCTAGGTTGGCATCTGTTCCTCGTTTTGGTTGGGCGCCTTGAGCGCGGTGGACAGGAGGTACCGGGGCACCGCCACCAGGAAGCCGAAAACCAGCGCAGGGTCCGCAAAGTCCCACAGGCCCAAGGCATCTGGAAATAGAGATCTCCGGACGAAAACCCCAAGCTGTTGAGTTCCGTTGAGTGGCATGCAATAACCCCAAAGTGCAAATATTTGGAGCATATACAATCCCAAACTACCCTTTCAAATTGAGGAGCTGAAAGCCTAAATGGACATAACAGGCTCTCTCTCTCTCTCTCTATCTCTCTTTCTCTCTCTCTCTCTCACTCTCTCTCTCTCTCTCTCTCTCTTTGCCGTTGCGTCTCAAGGCTGACGTCGATTGCAAAAGTCGAGAGTTGAAACAACCGACCCGATTGGGTCCCAGTCCAAGTCCTTCAACTCACTTCCTGAGTGCATTGGCACAGTAACGAGCGTTATAAATTTGTGTTTGGACAAGTGGTCTTCCCCAAAAGGGTAAAGCCCAGGAATTCATGGAGTGAGAATAAGCTGTGTCTGAAATTGAGGGGCAGAATAAATGCGTCATTGTCCTCAACCTTTTCTGGGAGATAGACAGCAGGTCTGCAAAAACAAGAGACTTATCCATTCCCTTTCAGCCAGGGAAGAATCTGCATGACTCGGGACCCGAACCTTGCGTTCCGAGTCACAGGGTTTGGCACGTACTGGGAATCACTGTATGTTGGCAGCTTCGATTTGAACCATCACCTTCTGCTGGGCGCGAAATTGTGGATGTTCTAAGGCTTGTTTTCGATTCCATTCTTTCCAACCATCGTTCTTTTCGAAACCGGCCGTTTCCCTGGTTTCCGGAGGTTTTCTAGAAAGAAGGATCCCTGGAAACAATGGCCCTTCGGGCCGCCTGGGATATGATACACATGGGTGATTTAGTGCCTGCGTGGTGCGCGTGTGAATTTTCAGTCGGCTTGCCTCTCAAACTTCGGCTGCGTGCAAAAACGTCAGGGAAATTCTCCCATGATTTTGCTTCCCTGGTTTCCCTGCTGGTATTTGTTTGGCAACCCCCTCGTGCCAGGGCTAGTGGACATAAAGGAAAAGCCAAGTTTCTTTCCAAAAGATCCTGACGGGGCCTTTGGGGTCACAAGCAACAACACAAGCGCAAATTCCCAACATCCACGAAGATCAATCAAACAAACAAACCAACCAACTAACCAACAAACCCACACAAAAAAAGACCACACAAACACACAGAAACAGAAACACACCCCTTGGCTTCTCTGACCCCCCCCCCTCCGTGACCCTGCCTGAGCCGCCTTTCGCCTTGGCTTTGCGGCCCAGCAGCGTCAGCGCGCCGTCCCAGATCTCCGCGAAGGTGCGGAACCAGCCCTGGGGAAGTGGGTAAGCAACTCGGCAGGTGGCCATGGGTCAAAATCCAAATCGTACCCCAGCGAACATCCGATTCAATCCAACCACTAGAATAGACTAAAATGGGTGGTGAATTCACCTACCCCAAAATAGTACCATTGGTTTTACAGCCATGTCTTTTTCGGTGGAACCGTTCAGTTGGGCCCCGTTTTTGTGGTTCATCCCAAAAGCCACGAGTTTCGGAAACTCCCGATTTGGGGTCCACAAATTGGTGGGTTCCTTAAAAATCTGGCTTTACTGATCAGGGTAGGGATTATTTTCGACTATCGTTCTTTGCAAACAAATTCTACGTGTCCGTGTCCCAACTTGTTTGTGGTGGTTTCCTCAAGGAAAGAGTGGGGAAGGTGCTCCTAACATTCGCAGCCACTACCACAGGTATAAAACCATGGCCAGTGGAACCAAATGGATCGGCCCGTGATTCAAACCATCTCCCAACCGAGAATTTCCCGGCTCACCCTGTCTTAAATTAAAGTAGCACAGGACTTGGACCCCCCTTGTTTGAAGCGCAACAAAAACGGATCCCGTTTTGCCAGAAACAACCCAATTTTTGGAACTCCAAGGCGCAAAGGGGAGCTCGAGGCTCAGTCTGGCAATGCTCTCCATGCTCCGTGGCTATTCAAAAATATGAAAAGAGTTGAAGGATGAAGATCCAACCAAATAGTCTCACTTCCTGGGTGGATTGGCCAAAAAAAGTAAGCAACTGCTGTTTCCCACTAAAAGGGCATCCCCCAAAAAGTATGAAGTCCAGGAACCCAGGAAGTGAGAATAGCAGCCAAGTTAACGTAAATCAGTTTTCGGTCCCGTTGCCCTGGCCGCGATTCGGGAAAATTTACTTGCCTCCTTCCATCGGAAGGGGCAACCCAGCTATTTCTCACCTCTTGGAAAGGATTCTCCGCTGTCCCTTTGATTGCTCCCAACTTTTCGGAAGTGTGGCAAAATCGGCAAGCCTGCCAACTTTCAACTTGATGTTTCCCTCTCCACAAAGAAAGCAGCCAAAAGGTTGCTGTAACAGTTCAAAACTGTTTGTGGGTTCAAAACGGAAAGCCAACTTGATTTCAACCAACAAGTTGAAGTCCAAAGACCCGCTACCCAATACCAATCAAGATATGTGGATGTGCGACATATTTTGTGGTTTCCTCCAAAGATCACCCCATGTAGTAAAGGACCCACCCCTGAGTTCCTGGACTCGAAAACTCTCAGAGGACCAGCTCATGGCAAGCCACCAACTTGGACTTGCTTGGTGTGGAATTTTAATTTGGGATCCTTCGGTGGACATCAAATTTAGGTGGGGATTTATGTCCACCAACCACTTTTCAGGGGGTTCCCACTAAAATTCATAGCCATGTGGCCATGTGGGGACATATTTGATTTTTAGTGGCTTCCCCCAATGGTCATCCCATGTAGTGAAGGACTTTTGGATTCAAACCCCCATATGGCTGCGGGTCAAAACCCTGTGGTACGTGGGTGTTGGATATGACCCTGTTACCGAATCTTGTGATCAACCCCCATATTTATTAGGGACACTTTGGAGGACATTATTTAGGTAGTCCACCAACCACTTTTCCTTGCTTGACGTTGGAAGGGAAGCAAAACTTTAAATTTTAGCAGTTAAGTGGGGATTCCCCACTAAACCACAATAAGCAAAAATGTAACATGTTTCCCAACGACAACCATGTTTCAGGGGGTTCTACATTTTGTTTCGCATTTCAACTCGTGCTCCAAATCCTCGCCTCCGGGAAGCTGCCGAGGTCCTCCAGCGCTTCTTGGCCCGCCGCTTTGATGTCCGTCGACAGGTCCTCGATGCGCTGGTCCCCCAGAACCACCGCGCGGCCCACAGCCTTGGCCTCGTCCTGCGTTGGAATGGCCACTCGGATGCCCAGAGGATTTCCATGGGGAAATAGAGGGCATCCGATTTTTTGGTTGAGCTCAAAAGAGAACCCTTCCCAAAAAAAGTTGACAAAGATGGCGGAATCCACTCAGCAACTGGGATAACTCACGTAAACCTTAGTTGGTTTGGATTCGTGGTTTGGGTTTGGATTTGAACCCCTGGTTCTTGAAGAGGGTCCTGGTTCTTGTAGAGTGTAAATGAGAGTCTCCTCCTGATTCACCAAGCCACCAATCCAAATCACCAACTGAGGGGAAGATGGATAATTGCATACTAGAAAAGCTTGCTCCCTACTGAAAATGAACAGAACCAAAACATACTAGTAACATCTAGTAACATATTGATGTTAGACTTTGATTTACAAGTACTCATTCTCGAGCTAAATTCAAAAACCGAAAAAAAGAAACATAATAAACACTAAATACAGAAAGACACCAGTTAAAACCATATGGGCAACTATTTGGAGTTTTCGATCCAGAAAAGGAATTGGCTTCACGATCGAAACAAGGCAACCGCATTTAGTTTTTCAGGCTGTTCGCTCGCCCTTTCTGCGGCTCGAACAACCCCTAATGACTGAGAAAAAGGGAGCAAACTTGTTGTGTTTAAAGGGACACCCCGAAAGGAACCAAGGAAGCAACCCACGACTGGGTGAAAGGTGGGGCATTTCTTTCTTTCCTAAAATCCGATCAAGTGCATTGGTTTGCCAAAGTCCGGAAACTTGTTGTGTGCCAACAACTAACGTTCGGAAAACAGGGGAGTGAGAAACCCGTCCCGATTTAAGAGCGCCCTTTGAAGCTCCAAGCGGGTCAACTGTCAAACCACACCCAGTCACGGAGAATTGTTCGAATGGGGGGCACATCCCTGGATAAGCCAACTCAATAAGGCCTGAGGAGGGATAGCCCCCCTCCCCATAGCCCCTAGCCGGTCCATGCGAATTTGCAAGGTTCCCCTTCTTCACTTCCAATATTTCTTCAGGACCCAACAGTAGCCTTTGCCTCCCATAAGTCACAGCCAACTCGCAACAGGCTTCTCCCAATCGTCACTAGGCTGCAAATGGCTCCCCTGAAGTCATACATGATTAAAATTCGAAAGGGGGGGGGTACTTAAAAACAATACTTCGTGGTCACAAGACTCAAAATGTGCTCACTTCCGATCGAGTGGATTGGAAGTCCTGAACAACTCGGAATGCTTTTTAATTATTACTAACATTTGCTCCAAACCCCCAAACAAGTGCCGACAGTCCAGAACTCAGGGCTCATGGGTCTCACCAGGTCTTTCGCCATGACCAAGTTAGGCCCTCCAAAGCCCCGAGCCACACAAACCTCGCTCGGGGCTCGTGGGGCCTGCCCGCCAAGCCCTCGCTCGCTCACTCCTCGCCCGCAAGCCCCGCCAACCCCAGGCCTCCGCCGCCTGCATCTCGTTGTCCAGCAGCAGACGCCACAGGCTGCCTGGCTGTTGGAGCTCCTCCACCTCCGCGCCGCGTTTTTTTGTTTTGCTTTTTGTTTCTCGGAGAGCCGAGCTGGAACCATCTGGCTCCGTCTTCTATTTGGTACCCTGGTTTTTCTTAGGCGGATTAAAAAGGGAAACCCACAACAGGAAAAACCATGCCGGTTTTTTGGGTGGCACTTTGTTTTTTTTTGTGGGTTTCAAGGGAAACCCGAGGGAACCCACGATGTTTTTTTGGGGGGGGGCCAAAAAAAGAGGACACGCCCATGTCCGAATGCAGAAAAAGGAATGCCGCATCTCACGGAAGCCCGCGGATTGGCCAAAGAGTTGAGGTTGGTCAAAGCCAAAGCCCTTGAAACAGTCAACGGAGGGACACTTGGACACTTGGACTCTAGTTTGCCTGGAGGGCAACAAGAACGGGATGTGTGTTTTCTGGGTTTGGTGAACAAAAAAGCCTCTGCGCATCCTTGAAATCAATGAAACATTGGGGCTTTCAGTCGTGCGGTGTGTCTTTTCCCCGCCCGCCCGCCCCCCCGCAGTGACTCAGGGGGCCTTGGCCCAGCGAGAGGGGCAGGATTCCAAGACCACCGCCGCCAGCTCCTCCTGCCGCGCCAGGCGTCGCGTCACCTGAGCTCTCGGAGAGAGGCCTTTGGAGAGAGGCCGTCTGGGGTGGAAAAAAAGAACCGATGCGGCTGCAACAAACGGAGTACCCTCACTCCCACTAACATGGCACCTGACACGGGGTCCCTCTAATAGTAAAATGATCTTCCAGGTACCCTCTCACAGGTGCCATGTTAGTGGAAGGGAGGGTAGGCGTTCTGAGTCTGCTTCACCTTGTTGTTTAAGTAATAGACCATGCAATGGGGTCATTTGGTACCCAAATAAACAATGTGCAGATCTTGCTTCATACTGAGCCTATCCTAAACTAGAATATATTGGGAGAAGACCCCAAGTTTGTTTGCTTAATCCCTGCCCAGTGGCCCTGCTAGAATCAGGAAAGGAAATGGGGTGGGGCGGGGGGACGGGGGGGGGGGGGGCAAATCTTTTTCAAATTCCAAAGCTATGTTTGACCTCCCATCTGCTTGGTTTGTGGGCCCCAGAAAAACAAGTTGGGGCTTCGCGAAACAAGGTCCCTTTTCAAGACAGGTGGACCGGCTTAGGGGGAACAACACTTCGCGGGAACCCCCTGGCGCTCCAAGCCACTCATTACCTCAGTGGGCTGTACACAAAGAGTCCAAGCTGGTTGTTTACCACTATGGTCCGAACCCAAAAGGTGACGAAAGTCCAAGAACTGACGGAGATCCGAGGCCTCGAACGGCCTGGGATTTGAAAATGGGGCCAAGGATCGAGGCCCCAAGGCGTAACCCAGACTCCCCTGCCCCAAACAGGCGAAACAAAGCCTGGCGAACGTGAAGTCAGAGTCCGGTCAAAGGAGGAAAAGCATCAACTGACACCACCTGGCACGAAGGTCTGGGAAAGCAGCTCGCATTCCAGTTTCTGCATGGCGTCCCGAACGTTGCGTAAGTCATCGACTCATTTTGGAAATTGGTCCCCTTGGAGTCAAGCCCATGGCAAACTACAGGCTCCCTGCTTGTTGCAGTCCCCTTGCTCGGGGAAAGGAATCCTTGAGGATACCTCTGGTGGCCAGGGGCAAGATGGGAAGCATACGATCGACAGCCTTGAGGATCCTCTATGTTTTTTGTTGTTTTTGAAAAAAGAAGAAGACACAAAAAACGAAAACAACACTAGTCTTGCCCTCTTTCCATCAAGCATCTGCAAAGACCACTTTTTGCCGGTTGAAAAGTCATGGAAAACCAAACAGCCAAACGTCAATCAGGAAAGCTACGTCTGGCAACGAAAGCAAGGCTTCCATTTGGTCAAGACCCCGGAACAAATACAAATAATAATAATAATAATAATAATAATAATAATAATAATAATAATAATAATAATAAAATTATTAAAAATAATAATAATAATATAACAGTAGTGAAAAAGTCCTTCTAAAACCAAGAAGGGAGAATAAACAATAAAATAAAATTTTCTTACGCAAATGGAAAGAAGAAGAAGAAAGTCCGTGCCGAGCTTCTGCGGCCGCCTTCTCCACCGAGCGGGGGTTGAAGTGGACGGAGGCAATGAGAACCTCCCAACCATAGGTGTCCTTTTAGCTTGGAAATAGATGGCCCTGGTAGAATAAAAAATATTAGGTAAACCTGGAATCGCCATCGATTTTTCGAGCACAGCCAAAAAGGACACCTATGCTCCCAACGACTCCCGCCCCTTGGCCGCTTTCCCAATGGGGGGCCTTTGGGCACAAGCGCTGTCCCAAAGCCCCCCTCAAACTAACAAGCGCAGTGGGGGTCCAAGAAACCTCAAAACCAAGCGTAGTCAGGATTGTGTGTGTGTGTGCGTAGCCATCTGCATGACTTGAGTCAGGGTTTCACAGAAAAAAGGCCCCATATCTCGATCACCATCAGGTTGAACCTTGCTTCGCCAGGGATGAATGTCCTCTGCACCAGTTGGTACGGATGAAGCGTATTTTAGCTGTGGAAAGCCAAGCCAGCCAGCTACTGGCTGCCTGGCGTCGATTTTGTCCATCCACAGCACGACACAATACACACTGCCCCCAAACCCCCAACGGCCGTGAAACCTCTTTCCCATGTCCCCCATGTCGGCAAGTACTGTCCCAAAAGCAGTAGTTGGGGGGGGGGGGGGGTGCTGGTTTGGTTGTAGTTCAAAGGACAACCCGCACCCCCAAAAAAAACAAAACAACCAAAAAACACGAACCAGCACACGGAAGGGTATCGCAGGAACGGTCTGAATGGCCAACTGCCCGGTTAAGCCTGGGGGTCCCGGCCACCTCTCGGCCACTGGCGGAGTCAACGAAGGGCAAGACCTGGCTTCTCCATGCCCAAGAGGTCCAGCAACTAGGCCCTCCAGTAAAAAGGTTAGAATCAGTTGGTCCCTATTTAGTGGGGGAACCCTCCCAACCAATAAAGGGGAGAGAAGGCAGTACTGGGGGACCCAGGCAAGTTGGGACGCAAGTTGGGACCAGCTTCTCAGAGCTGCACTATGCCAAAAAATGCACAAAAAGCTTTAAACAAAGCGGTGGCCTACCCGAAACAAATCTGTCAAGACTCAGAAGGCCGGAACTCAAAAAGGATATCCTAGTGAGTGTCAATTTCTTAACTGCCCAAATAGATTAGGGGAACACTTTCAGAAGCTACATTCTGGCTTTCAAGGTCACATTTAACTTGCCCAAATGTTGCATTCTTTAGGCATCTTATTTCCTTGAAATTGCTGGTAATTTGTGGCATCTTAGGGCTCCTTGGCTCTCCATCTAGTGGCTTTACTTTTGGTCCCCCCCAATAAACATGGCCAGCATTGATCTTAGCCCAGATTCTGTTTCACATTCCTCTCCCCCGCCTGGGACCCCTCCCCCGAACCCGCCCACCCGGGCGCCTGCTGCTCCCGCCCGGTGGCGCGGCGCCGGGCAGCTTCCGCCCGGCCGCGTCCGTGCGCGGCGCGAACATGGACCGCCGCGAGGGCGAGGGACAGGGGGAAACCCCAGCGTCCTGGCGAGTGCCACGGAGTCGCCAGCAGCTTCTTCGAGCAAACCGGCTTTTGCTAGGTCCTCCAGAGAGGTTAGAATCAAGGTACCGACTGTTCTTTTTTAATTTTTTTCTGTAGTCTGTTTTAGTAGGGGAACCCTCCCCCCAAAAGGGTAAAAGGGCACTACAGGGGGACCTAGTTTCGGGACCCGGAAGAAGCAAGAAGCAAGAAGCAAGAGTGCGAAGAAAAAACACGAGCCGAAGGTTGGAAAATAAGATCTCTGTGTGTCCCTGGGCCAATTTCCAGTTGGGGTCCATGTCTAAAACCCGAAGCCAAAAAGAAAGAACAAACATTCGAACTAGTGTCGCCTGCAACCCCCAGATAGCAACACAAAGATGCGGTTTTTCATGGATCCATCTTTAGGGTTTCCAAAGTCGCGACAGGATGCCCCTCCAACAAGGAAAGGCAGGGTGTCTGGGGCCCCTGTCTAATCTAAGACCAGATGGAAACACAAACCCTGGACCGCGAGATCAGGTTTCCGATTTCCCACTTTGCACTCGTGCTGCTACACAAAATGAGTGTCATGTTTGGGGATTCTGAGCCCAAACATGATTCAGACGGTTTGGTGGCGAAATGGAGGGGGGTCCCATTTACCCTCTACACAAGCCAGGGGCTCGAATCCCCAAACCACCACTCCAAACCGCCATCCCTCAGCTAGCTGAGATGCAACACTACCACCCTGCCAAGGAAAACCAAATGCAAACTAAATGGAAACCAAATGGAAACCACAGGCAAGCCAAATGGAAACGGAGCCGAAGCTTGGCTTTATATGGCTTGAACTTGTCCCGTAACACCAACTTCGGTGTCACCACTCCCTTCTTCACTTCTGTCGCTGGCTTCCGAAAAGTGGCAAAAAAGGACCCACCTCATGCCCAACACCCGTGTCAGTTGCCCGCTCTGGGAAAGGGCATTGCTTATTTTTGTAGGCTTCCCAACAGTCTTGCTTGTTCGATAGGCAGGGAATGAGAAATGGAATGGCCCTTGTAAACCATCCAACTCGTGGTTAAGGGGACCAAAGCCTGGCTTCATTCCGTTTCTCATTCCCTACCGATGGTTTCCTTCAAGGTGGCCAAAGCCTGGCTTCATTCCATTTATCATTTCCTACCGAGGTCGCACCAGCAAGATCATCAAACCAACGACTCTTTCCCAGCCCGCTCCTCCGCCGCCTTGCCCCACGCCACCCGCGCTCGGCCGCGGCCCAAGCGCAGGCGCCGGCACAACCGCCGCGCGCGAAAAGGAAGTGCCCGTGCCGGGCGGCAGGGCAAAGGCGAGAGATCCCGCCATGGCCCGGAAAATCGCAGGCCCCGCGATATCTGAAAAAGCCGTATACGCTTTTAGGGATGGGGGTGGAATCCACTGGGCAATCCTGGTAAATTCCATGGCTGTAGTTTGCCACCATCCGCCTCAGCCAAGGGAAGAACGCAACAAATCGATTTGGCACATGAGTCATGAAACGCAAGTGTTCGACGTAGGATTGACTGCAGGGTCACATGTACCCAGGAGAACTGATGTTCCGTGGTCCAGGAGAGCCCGAGAAACAGCCAAAAAGGCTGTGGTGTTATTATTTGTTATTCGGGTGAGATCCGAGTGTCGTGGTTGGTTCTGCTGCACTAAACCTCTTGGTCTGATTCTAAACCTTTTGAAGCATCAATTTGAGCCACAATCAAACCCGCTTGAGTGAAGGTATGATCCCAACTTCGCATAACCACATATGTGTGCGTGGATGTCCGCCCTGACTCGCATTCCCCCTTGTCGGATAGTAACCGTGGTCTTTGCCAGTGTCCTTTGTCCATCGTGTCTCACTCAATGAGGGCGCACCACTGTGTAGCACCATCGCCCCATACAAAGTGAAATCGCGCCCTGTATCCGGTTCACATGCTTTTCAGGCGGTAGGCACGTGACTTTGGCTGAAAAGCAACGGGGAAACTTGCCGGAACTCAGGCCTAACCACTGCAAAAAAATGCTTCCTTCGACAGAACTCGCGCTGAGAAGCAAAAGATCAGCTTCCCCGTCTAACTGGTGGGTTGGTTGGTGGCTTGCAGGTTAGGGAGGAGCTTCCCATGTACCCTCTACAAACTCCAGGGGTTCAAATTCTCAAACCAGCAATTCAAACCACCAATGGGGGCAACCAGCAAAAACCACCGCGGTTTTGTGTCATGGCAAGGCACGGGACGATCGAAACCGAGTAACCCAACTATCAACTCATCTTCCGGGAACTCCACAAGCTATCATATCAGATCCCCCGCTAAAAGCTCGACTTTCAGTGGGTTAAATGGAAACTACCGCTAAACACGAAACGGCTAAAAAGCTAAGGGGATGGCTGGGAGCCACCAAGTTGTGTAAATGGCTATTGGGCTATCTGTCCAACATAGGCACGAACAACTAGCAGACGTGTAGCTCCAGGGGTTGCCCGGCCTCTCCCGCAAATGGGATTGAGACCCGATATGCGTTTCCGCATGGAAAGGCTTCAGGAAACCTCCCATCTTCTCCCAAAACAAGCACCTAGACCCACTTGCCCAAAGGACCCAGAAATAAAAGGTTAACCTTTTGGGGCCACGACTAAAACTAGACCAAAAAGGAGAAACCAAAAGGTCAAAAGGTCGGCTTTGGGCAACAGAGAGTCTCCATGACCCAGCCATTTGAGCCACAGCCTCAAATGGCCCGGCTGAATTTTGGTCAGCCCGAGTTCTATCCCGTGGCGAGGGTAGGTGCTACGTTGCTAACCTTTGGTGCATTTTGCTTGGATGTTAGGACTTTAACTTTTTGCCAACTAATGCGTTTTCCATTAAACCACTAAAAGCTATTTTTTTAGCAGGGGAGTCCATGACCCCTGATTTTTTGGTACTGGCCCCATTTTTTGGGGGTCATGGAGACTCCAGGCAGGGACCAAAAATCGGCCAACGCGGCCCAAGACCCCTCAAAATGTCCCAACCGTCGTCCGCTGGCCGTCGGTTTTCGCGCGCCTGGTTCGTGCCGCTCTTGGCGAAGCCAGAGCCGCAGGAGAGGCAGTTGCCTGGCCATTCTTTCGGGTTTTGGTGTCACAGCCTGGGAATGCCGGCCGGACTAGTGGTAGGGTGCCCTAGGGCGGGCAGGTATTTGTTTAGCAACCCAAATCTAAGGGTTTTTTTGTACTAATTCCACTCTGGGACTTCACCTGGGTATTGACCCCAAGACAGGCACATGTCCGGATAAAAAACCGCAGTGTTATTTGAACCTTTCCAGGGGTTCTTTCCCAAGGGCGTAGTCGAGCGAAGGGCGGGAAAACCGGTCACCCAAGGACTAGGATGGGCCGTGGGTGTGGGGCGTGCCTGGAGCAATCAGGCACCCCAGAAAGGCGTACGGTCATGTTTTGACCCCTGGAATAGCTTCACCCCCGGTTTTTTTTCTTCAGTTTTTTAGTGGGGATTCATCACTTTTCGAGGGGAACACATTGGCAGTGGGTCGCTGGGCGTGCCATGGGCTGGATCAAGCAGTCAGAGTAGATGGAATCTCCTTTTGAGGGCTTTTGGACTCCCGAATGAGTTTGATCGAGCCAGCGAAATCGCCCAACTGTGCGTCCACACGCCACATTGCAAGGATGCCGATCCTCCAAATCAGCTGGGAAAGGTAACAACATGCTTTGGCTGGTCCAAACGCACCCTTTCGACCCCGGAAAATTGCGTGCGGACCTCCGCGAAGCCACTGCTCAAGTTGTTTCTTTGATGCGCCTGGGGTGTTTCCCTGGCACCAAGCATTCCTATCCCTTCAAAACTGCGGGTGTCAACTGAATGAAAAAGTAAGAGGTATATATGGGCGTCTCTTTTATTCCAGGACCCCCCCCCCACAATGGCGGTTCAAAACCCATTAACCCGGGCAGCCAAAACCAAAAAGACGCAGCCGTCTTTCTAGGCCCTTGGCTTAGAAAACATCCCAGCCCATGAGGCCGGGAGCCAGGGGGTCCGTGCCTGCGCTCCCCCCGCCGCAGAAGAGCAGGTAGGAGCCCGGGGAGCAGGTGGCGCACTCGTTGCAGGTCTGAATCCTGGCGCCGGGTCAAGAAGTCGCGCACGCTGCTCCCAGCTGCTGAAGGAAGATGTTGAAACTGGCGGGGAGAAGGGAAGCGGGGATGAAACGAATTCCCCATGAACAGAAGCTTCTCACAGTGTCCTTCCATGGCCGCCCACCCCGACCCACAATCTAAGCCCTGCGCTTGTTGCCGTTGATCCAACTGAAGAAGTCGCAATCTTCCGCGCTGACCCTCGCGCTCGCATCGATGGAACGAGAATTGGCGGGGACCCGCTTGGCAACAGCAGCCCAAAATGGGTGAACATATATATATATATAATACACATATTATAAATACGTATATGTCAAAAACTAACATGGAACTACCTGACATGGATTCACTCTGCTTTGCCCTTTACGCTGCTTTCTCGCAGCGGTTTCCCTTTGTTTGGCAAAGAGGGATCCTACTTCACGGAGAATGCCAGTGTGTGTCTGCTTCATTTCTCCTGACGAGCAAAACAAAGCAGGGATGGAGAATGATGCCTCAGGGGTTGGCAACATGATCTAATGGTCATAATCTGCCTCTGCGTGTATTCCCAGGCCAAACCCTATCAACACACAAACGCAACACCTAGCCAAACACACAAGTATTCATCTTCCAGGTTATGTTGCACCTGGAAGACTGTATTGGCAAAACATGCCTAGCACTGGTCAGATTTACTGTACCATGTTCTCGGAGGCGCCTCCCTCGGTGCCTGCATGTGCTAAGCCGATTCCAAACTGCAAGGACGAGCGAGCACCAAACCAATACTAGACTAAGACAAGTTCAGTACCAATAGAAAGGTCCGAAGAGGACCAAAGGCTAGCAGGCAGCCGGGGCCACATATCAATCAAGCACAATGCCACGTTCACAAGGAACTGGAAGAGGGGTTCCCAACAAACGGGATTCCTCTAGTTAGACAAAAGGCTTTTTGGGCTCCCTATTGATTTCCAGGGGAGTTAAACACATGCAAAGAAGTTGGACCTTCGGCGTTGAGGTACCGGCCAGTAGTGCCCAGAGGGGCAGCACGCATCGCCGGAGCAACCTCAAGCGAAGCGGACCCCCCCCCACCCCAACTGAGAATCCAAAACGCCACCCTTGGAATCACAGCCCCGCCCTTACTTGGGCATCCAATGCCGGTCCTTGCTTGCGACATGTTTGAACCAACCCCCCCGTCCCCCGGCCTCGATACCGATGCTGAAAACCCACCCACATCGGGAAACAAGACAATAAATCACCAATTTGGCAAAAGTGTGGAATGTCAATCTCGGATTAGTCAAAAGGGAGGCCCGCTTTGCTGACTTCATTCCAACCAAACGAGAACCTACTCGACCGGGTTTCTGTTTGGCATCCACATGGTTTCCGCTATCGCCAGGTTTTGGCGCGATAAGGAAAATATGGAATGGCCGTGAGTTGGAGGTCTTAAAACATTGCCCATGAGATATCAACAACGGCAGTGACGTTGGCTGATCTTTGCTTTTCGACTCCCAAGGCTGTGCCGGACTCACTCTGAAGAAGGGGAGGATGAGACGAAGTTCGGGGTTGACCCCTTGCCAAAAGTGAACAACTTCTAGTGGGCTTCGCACTCCTCTAAACCCTAAGAGAGGTAAGGGAGTCGACACCTGGAGTTGAAAACCAAGACGCAGCCCGGGAACCCCCTTGAAATTCGGCTTGTTTGCTGTTGGTTTCAATGGCAAATCCACCGTTTTGAACCAACAAGTGCAAGTCCAAAGATCCAACCAAATGGCCTTGCAACTTTGCATGTGTTGAAATGGGAACATCTCCGCCCACGCCGGATCTGACACCCTTCCTTTTGGTTTCGCCTTGAAACCACCCCCTTGAAACCACCCAAAAAAGGGTACCCTCAAAGAAAACCACCACACCCATGGACATCGGTCGAGCCTGAGGCGTAAGCTCGGGTCTCCAATCCCAAAGGACCCCCGGATCACTCACCTTGCCTAAGACTTGGCGCTCGCCGTGCCCCCTGGTAAGATTCATCGGAGCGGAACCACCTTGGACAGGTGTATGAATCCATTTGGCTAAGAGTTTTTCCGGAAAGAAGAATATATATGTCCAGTGGTGATCAATTCCTTTTGAAACCTCCGGGGTCACAAACCAAAAACTTCCCCGAGGACCCTTCCCAGGCTGAGGTCCCTGCCCGTGTTCTCGCAGCCCGAGGTCCAGCCAACGGCCAAACGCAGCAGCGGGAGCAACAGCAGCGCCTGGTGGTTTGACTCCAACCGAGGCACGCGGACGCCTTTGG